ACTTGGTAAAGGTTTATTCAGAAGCACATTTTGATACTCTCTTAGTATTCAAGTCAAATCAATTTTATCACAATTTGGTTTAAACCATTTTAAATTCATTCATTCATCTTCCTGTGAAATCAAAATTAATGGATAGTTGTCAGATTATTATATTATTATCATTGAATGGAAGAGCAAAAAAATCAAATCCTCATTTTTGACAATAAAAAAGGTTAGGTTTGGATTTTTCATTTTCTGGTTTCTTCATTGATGTTACCAGTTATGTGCTTTAACTGTAATATGGATCAACATTGATTAAACAATTAACATTGATTGTTACCTTGTTTTTTTAATTCTAGTTAGTACAATGGGTTGACAATAAACTAACATTTTAATAAGGAAAAGGATTGACAATTATAACTGTTAGTTGCTTTAACCTTGTTGTTTACTTGTTTTCTGGTTAAATTGTTGTTTTATTTACTTAATTTCGCTCTAATTAACTTAACCAGCTTCTTTCCAATTATATTTAAAACATGAAAAGGTTTAATTATAATGGAGTAATGATCATGTTGATGAACAATTAACAACTCATGGTTAATCATTTATTTCATGTACTCTGGATAATCTAATATTGCCCATTAAATATGTATAACAGCAACAATTTCAATTTACCATGGGAGTGTCTGGTGATTTAATTCATCTTGAATGGTTAAATTGGACAATTGAAATTGTTAAGCCTTTGGCCTGAAAGTATTATTCATCCATTTTTTTGTATATCATCTTCATCATCCAATTATCATGAATGATGTTTCAATGATTCTCTTGACTATCAAGTTGAAGGTAAAATTGATGTATTTCAAGTAATAAGCGTAAATAAGGCAAAAAAATATCAAGGCAACAATGAACTCATCAACTTGATTCAATTCAATTCTGTTAAGAATTTGTTTTCTTCATGGGCTGTTTCGCCAACATTTCATCTTTCAATCATCGAAACTTCATTTCAACTGTTGGAAGAAGAAAAAAGAGAATCCAAAATATTCTTCATCATCTGATTATCATAGGAAACAATTGTCTTGAACATTTTTCTTCTCATCTTCTTGTTCAAGGTAATCTGACCAGTTTCTGTGTAAACAATGAATCTTTCAAGATGAATAGTACAGATTGCCTTTCAAATCATGAGATCATTTTGAATTGTAAAACTTTTTCCGATTTTCTTCATCTTATAAGCTTCTTTATAATGAAACAACCATGTGAAAAGATTAACTCACAGAAACTTAAGAAGCATCATTTCCGGATGCAATTGTTCCATGAGTTTCAAAGCAAAATTTTTCAAATTTTTATACTTTTTATAGACAGTGAAAAGTGCCTCATAAAGGCAAGAAAAGCTGAACCAAAAATATTTAAATTGATGAAAAGTTTTCAATCAACTTTACAATCAAAGGCCAATTAACATAGGAAAGTAATTGTTAATGTTAATCAATCGAGATTAACATTAACAAGTTAATGACCTGAAGCAAGTTTCAGTCTTTCATTTGTTTCAAATTCAAATTGGATAATCTTGTAGTTTTCAGAAGTTCATTGACCAAGCTAGACTCAATTTTAGAAGCTGTTTCAAAGTTTTTCAATATCAAGTAAAAGCAGAATCAAGATCAAATGATTTAAAAAGGTGTAAATTGGCAACTTTTGTCAATGTTAATATAATAGCATTTTGATGACTGAATTTTGAATCATTATGAAACATTTGAGATTCACACTGAAAAGGGTGACCTCATCTGTTTCATGATGATAGATGATAAAATGATGAAAAGGAAGAGGGAAAAAAGAAGTAAATTTGATGAATAAACAACGTGAAAAGAAAGGTAATATTGTGAGAAAAGATTTGAATTTAAATTTTAATATTATATGTATTATATTGTTGTTATCATTTTTATATGGAAGCTGCTTTTTCAGGTAGAAAGCAAGTGAAAACCTTGAATGCGTGTTTATACGTTTCTTTCATCTGATCTGATGTTTATCACGAATTTTCGTGTTGATTCACTGAAAAGGATTGGTCTGAGCTCAATTTTTACCATCATTATTATTAACATAATATCATCATCACTTATCAACAAATTTACAAGTAATTCATGGTGCAAAAAGGGTTATCATGTGAAAGTTTATTATTTTACTTCTGAACACTCATCACACATTCATTTATCATAATAATCATCAGCATTTCATGTTGATATTCAATGGAAACAAAGTCAACAAATTAAAAGCAAACAAACATAAAAGGTTAGGAAAAAAGGTGATAATGAAAGGTAACCTTAAGATATAATTAATGCCTACAAATGATATCATAAAATTCAAGTGTTGAGCCTGAAATGGTGAAAAATTTCCTGATAATTGTTGGCCATTTTATCGATGAAAATGTTTTTCAATTCTTCTGATCACTTAATTCATTTTATGACATAATATGAATTATTTGAGGCAATATTTTTAGCTCAAATCATTGGTTGTTTTATAAGGAAATAAATCAATGATTAAATGATTATTAGTTATTAGTTGACTTTTGTTTTCCTTATAACAATTGATTTGATGATTTGAATGAAGAGACTTTTTTTATGGCAAAAACATTGCACATAAAAATTAAATGGAAGTGGAAAAACATTTTTTTTCAAATCATTCAATTGTTGCATGAATTATTTTATTATTACATCCTGAATGTTGTTGTTACTGTTGATGGTTATGATTATGATGATCACACAGTGGACTGAAAAATTCATCCTGACGACACTAATGATGATGACCATGGCTTCCATTTTGTTCCCAACCTCAATTCAAATTCATCTTCTTCTCTTTCATTTCCTTTCTCTTTTATTTTCTCTTTAAACTTTCCTTCCTTTCTTTTCCCATTCTGTCCATTCTTCATTATCATTATCATCATCAGGTTCATCTTTATCCGAACAAGATTGAACCATGAAAAAAACAAGATAGAGATGGAAACGAGAACTGAATCAAGACAACAAGTAGTAAAAGAAGTATTAAAGAAGAAAACGAGAGAAAAAAGATGAAGATGAAAAAATGGTGAAAAGCAAACCAGGTCAGCTGATTAAATGGTTAAGATGATTACAAGGATGCGTAACGGTATCAGGTCAGTTTACTGCATACCAATGTAATACCGATGACGGTTATGTTACCATAGAGATGTTTACCTATTTAGGCAAAGTTAACCAACAGTGACCTTTGGTTTCATCGTATATTGGGTCAGGTCAATGATGGTAATAAAAAAGTAGGTGAGTGATGAGAAGAAAGTGTCTCGGAGAAAAAAAGAAAATTGAAATCAGAGCAACAAAGATGATAATGATGAGGATGAAATAGGTAGGGCTAAAGATTGTTTATGGCTAGGATCAAAATTTGCCTTCGTTTTTTTTAGTTCAAATCTTGAAACTGGTTTTACAATTTACTCAATAGAAAGTAATAACCAGTAGTTAACCATTAATTTTTTTTCTTCATTTCAACTGCTCATCTTCATCGTCTTGATGATTACACGTAACTTTTTGAAATAAGAAAGTGACTTTAAGGCATCTTCATCATGTAACTGTGACCCGTTCATGGAACCAGTCTATTGCTACTTTGAAATGAGGCTGTCCGATAAATTATTGTTGGTCAAAATTATGCCCTCAAATTAATGGGATCAGCAACAATTAACATTGATTTTACTAAGAAAATGGTAATTTGGTTGAAATTTGATTGAAAAGGAGCAGAAAAAAGGTTAAAAAGTTGAAGTATTGACCAGTAAACATACTTTCATGTTTAAGGCAAAATAAATGGGAATTTATTGTTGATCAATTTTAATATCAATGCTATTTTTAATTTCTACGGGAATTTTTGTATTAATTTTCATAACAATCTTGTTAACAACATTGAAACTCTGATTATTATGTGTTAAAATCATTGTTTTACTATTAACTTGTAATAAAAATGATTGAAACCCTCATTATTTTGGCCTCAATTTTTTTAATTCATAGCAAAAGTAATCATTACAATTAGTTTTTTGTCTCTCTTACTGACAGTAATTAGTTCACTTTTCATCATTATAATAATGGTAATAGCGGCCAACAAGAAAATTTGAAAATTGCAGTTAACAGTACAGTTATTTAGTTGGTTAATGGTCACCGGAAAAGTTGAAAAATTGTGATAATCTGGTTGAAATCTGGTTAATTGATATTCAACTCAATCATCAAATCTTTCTTGACCATCTTTAAAGCAATTGTTTGATTGGACTTTAAATTTGCATCAATGGTTGTAATCAAATGAAATCAATGGGTCAAAATGAAATGCATCTAGTTATATGAAAGTCTGGTTGGTTTTGGAAGAAGTGTTTAGTCTCGTCAGTTTTAATTGTTATTCCTAATAACTTTTATAATTATTATTAGTTTTAAATTGCATGATATTATTATTATCTTGTTGATCCGTCACTTGACCCGATTTTTCTTTCATCTACATTAGTAATATAATAAGTATTAATGATGACAATTATGCTACAAGTGATCAATGTTAATCAAGTTTCCCTGTTAACCTGTTTTCACCACTAATCAAACCAACCAATCATCAAATATTTAAATGAAAACAAAACTCATTTTTACCCGGTTAATTAACCATTTTAATTGTTTCACTCATTAGTGGATATTTAGTGGATTCAATATCATCTCTATAGTGATGTGATGGTGATGACAATCATTACAATGTGTTAATTGCCATTTAAATAACTCTCTAATATATATAATTGGCGATAAGTAGTGAAAAAATAAATTATAAACACTGATTGGGTCCAGGAACATGCATTGAAATTATCAAATTTATTAATCAACAGGAAAAGCCTAATCAAAATTAAATCTTAATGTTTGTCGATAGACTGACGTGCAATGTCAAATTGAAAAACTCAAGCCTAATAGCAATGATAAATAGTCTGATGATTAAGCGAAAGCAAGAAAACAAGAAAAGACAAGACAAAGTGCAAATAAAAAAAAAGATCTTACCTAATATTTTATTTTGAACATATTAAACCATTGGCAGTATCCAATTAATTGATTACAAGCATAAAATACATGCAAATCATAAATGTCAAGGTACAACACAAGAAGTAAAAAACCCAAAAGAAAACAAATTAAAATAAATTGGAAACAATAAACAGGCAAAAAAGCAGGCAAAGTTAAATACGGTTGAAGCACAAAAAGGGCAAAATGGGTGAACCAAGATTTTTACAGGTTAACGGTAGCTTGACAACAATGATGAGTTGATTGTTGGTAACTTTTTCACTTGAAATTAGTTGAATTACACTCTCCACTGTTAATAAGACAAGCAGTTAGATTACTCTTAACTTAAGAAACTAACAAAATTCAAGTTTGATCATCTCAAGGAATCACATGAACACTTGAACACAATTTGTGGGAATGATTAATGTTAACAGCTAACATTTGCAGCAGACTAGTAGTGACATCAAAAGAAGAGTGGACGTTGGACAAAGTAGAATTTTTACTAATGGCGACATCTTTTGTACGTCGATAGTATTATTTAGAAAAAAATCTCGTTAATGAATTTGTCTTTTGTTTTAGTTTTATTTAGCAGTTAATTATATCTAAATCATTGTCATTTCATTAGATAAGGATGAGTAATAAATCATCTCGTGATCGACAAGCTACAACATGATTTATTTTTAGAGGTAAGTATTAGCTACCAATTTTAGATTAGATTACGGTAATTTACGGTTTGCTAATCTTTAATATTTAAGGTTTAACATTTGTCTTTTTTGTTTTTTTTTCTTGCTTACAGTTGACATTACCATTGATGGGTAAATTGTGAAGGGTGTTTGGAAGATTTGATAATGGCTATTAACTTGTACAAGATTAGAGACAATTTTGCTTTAGGTTGGTCTTATTGGATTAGTGGTAATGTTTAAGTTGACCTTCTGATTAGAAAGGATTGGGTTAGTCTTTTGGTAATAAGCAAAAGGTTAGATTGACTGGCTTTAAAGAAAACAAGAGATCATTTAATTAATATTTTCTTTCATATCTTTTGATTGTAGATAATCATAATTTGGGCTCAAAAATGATTGAGTTGCGTTTTTTGGTAATAATAATCAAATACATGGCAAACTTGGATGTTCAAAATGAAAGGTTGAAGGTAATTTCAAGGAGAAGTGTTTGATTAAACGTTGGTTATTCAAGGAGATTATTCAATGCTTAAGAAAGGACCAGTGTCAGAGAATTGGCTTCAATGGTTGCTTTATTTTCTCCCCCATCTTTGAAATAATCCTATCCGTTGGCATCGACAATTAGTTCCCCAGAGATTACATTTACACAATGAATTACCACAACAACCGTCTGGCTTGAGGTCACAAATGGCCCCTCGTTTTATACAACTGCGTCTATAATAAAGAAAAGAAAGTCGTCAGATGAAAAATAATTTAAACATCAGATGGGTTCCAAGGAAAGACGATAATTGGATCAAGACAAGACTTACTTTTTTGCAAGAAACAGTTTAGCTAAATTGTCACCAACACCCTCCAACATTTCTGATGCCATATGACGATCTGTTGAGTCAGCGAGAAAAGAGAAATGTGAAAAAAGGTTATAAGTTGCAATAACATTGACCTGTAAAATTTTAAGGGTTATTTGATGATTTATTGGAGTTGAAAAGCTCTGTTAAATGATATAAATTGTCATTATTGACGACTGTACGAGAAATGGCAATGACATGCATCCGAAAATAGTAATTCACTTCAAGTGTTTTCAATCCTGACTGGTGCAAATATTTACAACTTAACCTAAACCGGATAACATTTAATTTGCTATTAGTCCAAAGCTTTTGTGAAACTGGGTAACAAAATGTCTGATTTTGAAGGTCAATTTGTGCTGAATTGGTGAATTTTGTTTCAAAATCGTATAAATCGATTCAGATTGAGAAAAGACTATAAAACATATCAATCAATAACAAGTTTTATAAAAAGCATTATTTGAAAGGTCACCTTATATTGGACATTTTATTTCTTCAGCAAATACATAATAATGCTAATCAACCGAAATCATTATTATCCTTCAATCCTATATTTGACCCTATCAATCTTATTTTTCCAACCTCATGGTTTTGGGCATTTCAAACCAACAATGAAGCTAATTTACTAATTTTACTTTCTCTCTTTTTCCTTATATAGATCAATATCGACATTTGATTTGGAACCACAAAAAGTGTATAATCGATCCAATATATCCTGTGATTAACAACTCAATTTTAAACCCTTCATTCGGTTGGATTGATCATTGAATTGGTTCTCAAGTATGGTCAAGTGTAATGCCCAATAACAATATACCAATACAAGTCTTAATGTCATCAACTTTTATGGTTACATTGATAATTATGGGCCTATTGCTTTACCATTTGATTGCCACTCCATAAACATTGTAAACTTGATAAAGGGACTCATGAGAAATGAAAAAACAGTCAATGGATCCAATAGTTACAGCTTAAGTTCATCTTTGGAACAACAATCTATTTTCCATTTCGATAATCACACAAACCATCATCTCCGTGATTAATGCGATCAATTTTAAAGGTTAACCTCGTCAAATTGGATTCAAAACCATTGACAAATTACACGATTATCATTTTCAATTTTACCAGATTCCTGTTTTAAATGAATCAGTTTAGTATTGATCTACTAAATATAGCTAAACATAATAATGTTTATAATAACAATCCAATCTTTTAACAATACTGGATGGCATAAAATAAAATCTAAACAAGATGGAAACCAAAGATGGTAAAGTTATCCCTTAAGTAATGAGGAAGAAATTAAAAACCAGGAAAATCAAACAAAGATTGTCCAAGGAATGTCAATTGAATCATCGACTGGTCCATCCATACATTTAATTGGTTTATCATGTTGAAGCTCATGGAATCAGTTAAATTGCGGTCAATAAAGTCTTAAAAGTCATTGATGTCAACGATTTGATGGATATCATTGATCACCCACAAGTCAATGCCAATCCACTTATAACAGCAAATAACACCAATGGACAACAACTACATGTATCAACTTTAATGTCACCAGGAATTTCATTAACATTTAATCAACTATAATTGACTTGGATGAATTTTTTATTACAATGGAAGCCCGTTAACCAAGCAAAGTCTTTAAAAATGTGCAACCAGTCAATCAAACCAGCATTTGTCAAAATCTACTTAATATATTAAATTAAGTATTGATGAGACTAATTGCCGAGTTAAAAGCCACTGGATCGAGCCTCGCAAATTGAAAGGTGTTGATCAATACAGAGTCGATAAAGTAAACAATTAACCGAACAGTTTTATTTCACAAGTTGAGATATTCAAGAGTCTTCATCTTAAGTCTATTGATTGTGATTATTATGATTAGCTGACATAGCAAATGACGTTTTCCTCTTGAATAAACTCAAGAGTTTCACATGGAAACTCTAAAAAAGGTTAATTTGTTATTGATTGGATGCAAATGAGTTCAATTAAACAGATAAAAATGAAAGAAATTAAAATAATTACAATTTACTAGTTATCAATCATTTTCAACATCAATCAAGCATCATTGATTATTTTCATAAAAGGCTTGAACAACTATGATATATCATTTGAAAATAACAACAGAAGTTTTTCGTTTAATTTGATTAAAAGCTTTGCTTTTGTTTATTAAACTTGTTGCTCCCCTAGAAGCTTAATTTGGTTTAAAAGTAAGACAATCGTTAATTTTAATCACGTTGGTTAATCTTTTTAATGGTAAATAATATACTCTTAAGTGTACGAGTTTAATTTTAATGGATAAAAGTGAAAGTTATCTTCTTGTGGTAGGAAAAGACTAAACTGATTAACATTGGTTTAACAACTTGTGAGTAAGTCACGTTGAGATTCATTACTTGCATTTACAATTGTTTATCCAACTACTGTTAATCAATTCAACTAATTGTCTGCAAGCCAATTTAGTCAACCGTTAACCGTCCGTCAAATGGCATTCACAAGAGTCAAATTGAAAGTCAGGTTTGGTCTTTGCTTGAATATTTTTCTTCTTTTCCTTGATTCAAGTTCATTTTCTTCAAGTGCATCCCATGGAAATCTTTGTGAAATTAATGAATTATCTTTGGGTGACTAACGGACTAACCTTTTAGGACGAGATTCAAGTAAAATCAAAGACGAAACAGAACAAAATGAGCAAATCTAAATTATTAGCATGTCAAGTATATTTTGCAGTTCGCCATGAGAAAAGAATTGGTTGTGACCGTTTTGGGTTGAAACATTATTCATCCTTAATTAATTAGTTTGTAAGAAAATAATCAAATTAGGTTAAACAATCTTAAAGTTACAGTCTTTTAATCGCTCTGAAAAGAGCAGAAAAATCGTCAGAAAATCTTTTTTCCAACAGGTTTTTCCTTACACTTGACAATCGAATCCAAGCGGCTTCTTGAAAATTTTCTAACCTCGCATTCTAACTGCTCGATCGTTAGCCTTATGTACCTGGCCTCATCCTTATGGACCTCTATGCATCTTAATTTTTGAAAAATTCATTCAAACAAAAAATCTACTCGGAACCGGAGATCAAAAACACTTGTAACGATTTTTTCGCTATAAATTTTCGGACAGGTACAAAAGTGTTATCAATTCTTCGAAGACAAAATTAAAAGGTTATATTACAGAAGCTGCTTACTTTGATTCACCAAAAATTCAATCAATTCAGCCCTAATCTTCATATCGAGGCGCAAAATATATTCAACAACCTGATGCACTGTAATGTCAAAAACTAATAAAAAATCGAGAAACCAAATGCTAACCTGGAATGGACAACCTTTTGTGAATCCGGATTCTACTTTTGAGGAAAGTTGGGAAAGTTGTTTTCGTTATTGACTTGGATTAAAACTCTCACTCAACTTATTATTTTTGTAAATTGCTCAAAATGTGTAAATGGGAAATTGCTGAATTTACCAAATTTTGATGGAAATTTCGTTATCTATTTGAAACTGAAAAAAATCAATAATTCATGGATGCAAATACGACAAACTGAATCAGTCTATCGTCCATCTTGTAGCCTAGCCTAACCTGGCTCAACATGATTAAAATGATAATGATAATAAATTGAACAATTTGATTCTCCTTGTTTGACAAAGTGATCACAATGTAAAAATGATTGAATGTCCAACTGGTCAAATAAGTGTATCACTGGGAGGTAAAAGAATCCAAGTCGAGTAGAGAGAAAAGGAGATTTCACCGAATCCATTCATTTTATACATTTGATTCATTTTTTTCCTTCTTCATCATCTCTCTATCTCTTAATACATGATTACTCTTGGGAATTGTGAATCATATACAATTGCAAAATGATTCCAAGTGTGAACAAAAATGTTGCCTGTAATTTGACTGGAATCTAATCATGATTAATACCGATGCAATTGAAAGGAAGGAAAACAAAAACAGAAACAGAAAAGTTTACTTGCAATTGTTTCATCATTTACCATTCATTTGATAACTTGATAACTGATTCAACATTTTATGTTTATTTCATATTGATAAATACATATTGATATTTGCCATTCCATCGATTTTCAGATGAATCAACAGCAAAGTCATGCTTTTTGCTGGTCAATTTGTAGCAAACATCAGCAAAACATTTACCTTAAAGGTACTCAGCTTACCGAGCAGTTTCAAAATGTTATCAAAAGAAATCCCTTTGAATACCAAACTAAGCCTCAAGCTGTGTAATCATATAAAACATTAATCAATAAATTTACGCCTTTTTTTAATCCTTTGCATAAGGCTTAGGCCTAAGAGTCAAGTGAAGGCAAAGTAACAATGATTATGGGTTAACAGCAAGATTCTGGTTATTTTCTGGTTACTTTTTTCCTCTCCTTTTACTGGTTCCATGGATGAACACATTTGATTAGTTTTCTGAATCTTTCATTAACCTTATCCTAATCTGACCATTCAATCTGTAATATTTAATTAACATGGAATGTTGATGAAAATCTTGAGATGGTTCAAAGCTTGATTTACTTATGATCATTATTGTACTCAACTGATTGTAACTCGATCAATACATTTAATACGATTATTGGAGTTAGGTAATTACCAGATAACTTGACAATCGCATTATCAACTGTTGGACAAATTGACCACAATCAATAATATTAGCTGAATAAGATTGAGATTTATTTTGAATAAAAGATAATTTGATACAAAAATGAGGGGAAAAAGAGATAAATTGAAATGAAATTTAACCCAAAAATTAATAGATAATCAAATAAAATGTGTGTTCCATCAAAGATGAAATGAAAGGAAAGCAACATGATGAACTATCAATTGAACCTCTTAATGGAAAGTAAGGTTACATTTACACCTACAAATGAACAATCCTAATGATGATTAACATAATAGACAAATTGTCATATTTGATCATTTGATTAATGGTCATGTTGAAGGGAAATTGTTGAAAGGTTAAAGAATAGGCTTGATAAGATTCATCTTGTCCAATCCCTCATTGAGCTGTCATATGAAAAGGTCTCATGTAAAAGGTATGATCAGTGTCAAGTGTCCAGTTAACCGTTGGAAATTCATTTCAACATGAGACTTGTTCACCTGATATCATTTCAAATTACTACCTTTTCCTTCAATCTATTTTTCAAACCAGAAATCAATTGTTGAAGATCTAATGTTTTGGTTTCATTGATTGATTGGAAAAAGTTGATAACTCAAGTAAACCAAAGTTGACCATTTCATTTTAAAGGTTAAGAACTGTCATGAAGCTTAATGTCTAACTGTAATTTGTTTACCTTTTTGCTGCTCGTTCAAAGTTAAACATTATTAATACATGGATCAACTGAATTGTAATTAAATCATAACAAGTAAACAGAGAAAAAAATGAAACATTTTGTACTTTTGATCCCTTTTCTGGTCTATAACAATTTTTGCGTTTTAGGTTCACCTCGTTAGTAAACAGTTATGACCATTTTAACGATTGTTTAGTCTAGTCAAATTAAATTATTAGCCAATGACTAAGATTAATTAAAATGATCAATATTGTGGCATAAAAGTCAAAGACTAATTTGCTCAAGGCATATTTAGATTAGCTGAGCTGTCAGAATAAAGTAAAGCTCAAAGATGAGAAATGAATTGATAATTGAAGGAAAAATCTTGAAGCATTTACAGTTTTAAAAAATGTTTTTTCAACTTTATATTCATAATCAATCTCGATTTTCAATGCTTTTTGAATCAATGAAAAATATTGAATATTGAAATTTCTATGAAAACTTTTTCCAAAAAATTTTAGTTCATCGATATTTAAGTTATTAGAGGCTAAAAATAGACTAAAATTTCAATACTCAGCACAAAGTTATAACCTTTTCTAATAATTTTTCACTCCCAATATTTGAATACCTGAATAAAGGTTAGAATAAATTTCTCATATTTCCAAGTTTCTCTCTGAATTTTTGAAATGTCATTATTATCATATTTTCGAGTGTTACTTAATCAAACTTGATCAATTATGCCTCTTAAATGGACTAAATAACGGAAAGGAATTGATTATCACCAAACTCCTTGGAGTGTTTAATATCTGAACAACTGTTGAACAGCTTCGGTAAACATGTTTTACTGTTTAATTTCAATATCAGTAAATGATTTAATCTTGCAAATGATATAATTATAGTTTCAGTTATATTAATATGTTAATTCTTATCTAATCAATTTTTCTCCATTTAATTTAATTAAGAGACAAACTCATTTATTATGATTTTACTCCAAGTCCAAGTTATCTCATATTTACTATCAAGTTTCCTATTCAATTGACTGGATGTAAACGTAAGATGTTCATTTGACTTTTAAGGTAACCTGTTGAGCGTTAGTTGAACATTTTTAGATCAATAATGAATAATAACGATTCATTCATGAAAGAGTAAAGTTTTTACATCATTCAAGAATCATTTGAACTTTCAATGCCAACTCATCGTATTTTTTACAATAATAAAATCATAATTTAATTTAGAAATTTCAATTCAAAGAAAAATTTATCGATAAAATGGGTTTTCTCAGAGTCTCCATAACCATAACTTAAATAATCAAATAACGACGACTTAAAGTCATAAAAACTTCAACCACCCAAAGCAATCAAAAGTTAATCTTAATGTTGACTGAAAATGTTTCGAGTTTCGATGTTCCATTTTGGAGGAAAAATAGCCTGAGAACTGGATTAGTTGATAGATAATAAGATTTTGCTTCAGTGTTTTCAAAACTTAAAATTGAATTTCGAATGAATTTTATGAGCTAATTACCGGTTGCATTTCAGTAGATTAAGATGAGAAATTTGTTCTGTATTTTGAATGCTAAGTTCTCAGGTTGAGGAAGACGGAAAGTAAGTTTAGAGTTAAATTTATGAGAATAGTTTTCATTGAAAATCTAATTGAAAATGTTCAAATTAAAGCCACAAATGCTATCAAAGAAACCATCTAATTGTAAATATTATACGAAGAGTTGAGTGAACAATTTTTCACCCTTCATGAGATGATAATAGATGAACTATTTGGATGAGCTTTTTTGGTTCTGTTTAAATGTCAACAAGTTGAGGCAATCTGGTTAAACAAGATAATGTCAATCCAAGTTATAATAATAATGATGATAATCAGCGTCAAAATTATGTTAAAATGAATAAACTGTAATCTCATAATCAGTTTACTTTGAACATAATCAAAGGATAACTTGAAACCAAAGGAGCAAAGATCCTGAACAGTCAATCACAAGTTTAACATGAAGTTGAACCAAAAGAGCAAAGGATTGTTCATTAATCATCAAACCATTTTTAATTATCATTCTTGAACAGTCTTGATACAAAGATACTTTTAATTGTTGAGGAACCAGAAAAGAACCAGATTTGTTCATTTGTTTACTTTGATTCCTTTTTTTAGCAAATAAAATGTTTAAATGTTGAATAAGAAGATTGATTTAAAATAGTTGATTCCTTGAAATCTTTTCTTCTACTCTGATATAAGCATGATGAAAAAGCATGATAAAAACATTTATGATTTAGACTGAAACAGGTAAGATCATTGATCTTTCTGCTTGAACTTTAACCTTGTTATCATGCAAGTTTCTATAGATTGAATCTCGTCTCAAAGTGATATTTTGAAACAAAATATTCAAACATTTCTTTTGTTTACTCGCCAACTCGAAATGTATTGTATTAAAAATGATAATCTTGCATTGAAAATGTATTCATAAATAAATGATTACTCGAGTAAAATCAATGAAATGATTGGAATAACGTTCAGCTAATTATCACGTTTAAAACAACAAAACCTGACTGACAAATTGTTGAGAAATAATTTAATTTACAGAAAATCTTTTGTTTCCTGAATCGCAGTTAACTGATTTTAACGTGAAATGAAATTAACAAATGATTGCAATTGTTGAAAGAGGATGAAAATGGTGTAAAACCCTCTTGAATAGCTGTTTAATGAAAGTGATTTCAATCACTTTTGGTAAATGATTTGTATTGAAATATGGGAAACTTGAAATGCTTAATAATATTGAAATATTAATGGAAGTTATAAGATAATTGTTGTTGCTATTGAAATATTCATAGACAGTTGAAGTGGACATTTTAATTTCTTAAAAGTTGAGCGTTCAAGTGTTTTTCAACTGTTATTTTCAGGTTTCAATGTGTAGGCTTTGCGCTGTTTAAAGGTGGGAAAAGGTTAATTCGAGTCGAATTGACTGTTGAGCAAATTTGATGGAAATTTCAATTTCTACATTAAATTATCATCTATTAGAAGTGGCGAGTTGAAAGGGAAAGGTGTAATGGATTATCGAGTCAAGGAACTCCAAGGTGAAGATCAATAACATGACAAGATAACGATTAAATGCTAATTGAAATGGACTAATGGATAAAAGATAAATGACCTCAACCAAGACGAACCAACGAGACTTTTGTTTTTTTACGCATTTTTTGATGATCGTTTTGTTTCACACTTTTCATTGTACATTATTATGGATAGAGGAAGATATTTAGCGAGAAAAATGAAGAAAAGAGAAAAAGCTTTCAATGGTTAATATCTCATGAGAATTGCAAGTAAAATTGAAATCAATCAAAGGTAATAAGCTTTGGGTTAAGTGAGGAAAGCAACTGATTGAAGATGATTAACTTTGAACAACAACTCATTATCTAACCGTGAATGATGAGAGGTTTGGGTTGATGGGAACGGGTTCAGTCTACTTACCACTGGTGCTGTAATAGCCTTCTGCTTGTGCATTGACATTGAAAAGTGTTGAGATGATCACAAAGGTAACCAAGATGAATAGTAAGGAACGATATCTGAGTGTTGTGATGAAGGGTTTAACAACCATTTTGGATGAATCAACTGTTAATTGTGAACAATGTTTCATCGAAGTTAAATGCTCCATTTTAATCACAATTCAATATGCAACTTGAAATGGTCAACTAATTAATATTGAACAAACAGAATTTTGTACCGACTTTGCGCTTAAATTTTACTTTTTGTTTTCAATTTAAAAAGATTTTCTCTTCTTCTCTTGTGTTAACAAATTAATTGACACACACAATTGTACTTTTAATTAACCAAATCTAGTTAATATTTACATTAATCACTTTATTAAATGGTAAAATGTTGAATTTCCGGTGAAAAGTGAATTTTTTTCATGAATCATTTAAAGTGAGGTTCAACTGTTGAATAAGTTGCTTTGGGTTTGTCTTTGGATGCAACTCAAAATCAACTCACAATTCCAGGCGAATGGTCTATACCAGTTATCATTTTCATGCGCATTTCAATGTGATGTTCAGGGTGATGATAATGATGATCAGCATCAATATCAATTACACTGAAGAAGAAGAAGAAAAAAGAAAAAGAAAAAATAGAAACTTTTATCCTTTTAAAATTAGTAAAGTGAACCTCAAAGTGAACCTCAAAGTGAACAATGAAAATGGACAACAAATTTTTCAATATTTACAAATGATAACTGAAAAATAAAGTGAAAACATATTGATCCGAACATTTACTTCCGGTTTTTTCTCAGGTAAACAAGTGTCTCAACATTTCATCGACTTCACTTGATTAGCAAAAATTAATGAAACAGTAAAGTTGATGAAAGTTAATGTTTATTATGAAATTTGTTATTATTTATTGAACCTTTCCTTTTCCCTCGCTACTTCACCTTTTCACTCACCTTTGATCATCATTCATTGAACATAAGGTAACATAAACAAATATAAGATCAACTCTATTGTGACAATAAATGAGACTCAAGGGTCTACTTAGGTGATCATCAAGAGCAGGATAAAGATGAAGAGCAACTAATGTATTCCCTAGCAAGCTGAATAAGAATTGATAATAAGAAGGAAAAGCAGGAAAAGAACAAGAAAAAAGCTAAACAATATGTATTAAGTAAATAGCTTATATTTGAACAAAAAAAAGGACTAAAAGTTGATAATTTTTACTCCCAGTCAACAGCGACATCTTTTGGTTTTCTTTTCAGGTTAATCAGTTTCTCCAACCATTTGCAGCCTTTAAACCTGTTTCCGAGTATTCTGATCATCATGATGGATTGAAGATGCAGGAGCAGACTCAGATTATTTACAATCATCTTTACATTCTGACAGAGTAATTTTATTTTTTGCTCAGCAAATAAAAATTTGTGCTTATTGTTTGAGCTCAATCTTACAGAATTGACGTTTCTTCTTCCGTCAGCAACAATTGAAGCTAAAGTTTGGCGAAAGAATAAAAAAACAACTTTTTTTGCTCAGTTTCACATTGTTTTCCTTTTCCTTTACAATACTAATTGTATTCAATTATTTAGCAACATTTAATATCTTCAATTGTTGCAGTTTGTTGACTTGAAAATAATAAGAGATAAAAGTTTTGGAAGAAGAAAAAGAAGAGAGAAAAAGAAAAGATAAATTCTGAACTTTCAAGTGTTCGAGATAAATAAAATCTCAAGTAACGTGATCAAAGTCAAGTTATTAAAAGTTGAACTCTTTACCATCATCTTCATCATCATTATCAGTGTGAAGAAACAATCAACTTTAATTTGGCCCAGTTTCGAGTGAACCTCCAATCAATCCTTTTTATCGTCAAATCACCAACGAATCATTATCGACTGGCAATGGCTACAAATGTTAGCTCAAGGCTTCAAACTTCAATAATGGCTTGTCCATTGGTTGGTCAATCTCGTCGTACAATTTTACTTTTAATTTTCACAATTATCTTAACAACTTTAATTGACAGTCAAGTTGATGCGTTTTATAACACAAATGGTAAGTTAACCAAATTGAACCAGAAAAATTTGCTTCTTCAAATCATATTTTAAGCTTTTCTCATTTCAATATTTTCCTGAGAAATTTATTCCTCCATTCATGATCAATAAATATTGTCAGGGAATTAAGTTAACAGCTATTATTGATCATCTTATTGTTGCCATCTAATCCCATAACAAATGTTGCATTAAGACTCAATCCGTTAAATCCGTTTCAAAGGTTTCCTTCAGCTAATTTGATCCATTACTTTGGTTTAATTTTACAAAACTGTAATTCATTTCATTTCAGTCAATCTATTCAATAATTTTCCAGGCCTTTGTTTTCATTGTCTTTTTGCTGGTCAATTTCAACTGGAAATGTCAATTGGATTGGCCTTTTTTGGTTTGAAATTTAATCAAAACTAGTCTATTGAATTGGTTTGAAGGAAATGGCAGAAAGAGCATTAAATTATGATTTAATTTAACCAAAAAGTAAATAGTTAAATGTTAAAGATTTATCGTATTTATCAATGGTAAACAAAATGAATGTTGACTTTTTTTTACTTTTCCAGGTAAATAACATTTACTCAATGTTCATTAAATATTAAGACTGACCAAATTGTTCAATCAATTTCATCTTATTTCTCTTATCATCATGACCATTATCAATATCATCACTTATCAGTCTCCATCAAAAGTCTCCGATAGAATCTGCAACACAATTTCCATCAAAATGTTCATATTTACAAATGTATTTCTGGTTCAACTAAATACACTTGTATTGCCAGGTTACACATTAATATTTAATTTGTTTTCCTCTTTCATTATTACTTCTTGATCAACTATAGATGGTTAATTTGAATATTGAAAGTGTTATAAATAGCGAGTAAATTAGAGTCAACATTAAATCAACTGTTAACATTTAGTTTTTTGAGTTTTTTTCAGAAATTTGTTTCTTGTTCATTCATTCATTCAATATGTTAACATATAATATGTTTGAACATTTTAACAACAATTTGTATTGTTGATACAAAAGGTTTATTTCAAAGTTTCACTTCAAATAAAAGTCATTTCAATTTTGAAAACATTATTTATTGAGTTTCCAATATTCTGGTTCATCTTATTGTAAAAATATCTTGACATTTTGTTTAAAGGTGTTCAGGTGAATGTTAACAATTAAATAAACGTTAAACTGGTTAGGAAGGTTGAAAAATATGGGAAAAAATTCAGGTAAATGTGATAGTGTTTTGGTAACACATTTGATTGAAAAAAAAGTCTCATCAAGATGCTACCAGGTTTGATACTCAATTTCAGTTTCTCAGCTTCTTTTGGACCAGATTTTGATCACATTTTGATCACAATTTGATCACTTTCAAATCACAGTTTGATCAAGATTTGATCACAAGCGAACAACAATTGAATTACAATTGAATCACATCTGAAATGAACTAAGATGTTGAATTTGAACAAAAAATATTTTCAATATTCTTTGGCTACTTCAGTATTGGAAAGACTAAACAACTTGTAAGGCCAAGACTTTTTCAATGCTTAACTCACTGTAACATTGATTAATGTAGCAATTAATTAACACTCCATGAATTATTAAGAAAAATTCAGCTGATTTCTTGACTTCAACCCTTATTGACTATAAGACAGCAAAAACGCAACAGCTAAACCCAAATTATTCAATCAGATATAAGTTTGAATAATTTGTACTTGGCTGGAAGAGAAGGCAATTTTAATATGATTTTGTATTTTGATCGTTGAAATTTAATTAAATTTTTATCCATAATATCTTGATAGTGTCTCAACTGTGGAGGTGTAATGCTGGAATCTTAACGATTAGCCAGTTAATTGAATGTTCAACTGATTATATAACTACAATTTAATGAATAATCAATGAGTTGACAGACTGAATGTTTGGTTAACCAGTTTTATTTGTTCATTTTTGGCTAACTTTTGATGTAACCTTTAATCTTTTAGACTAATCATCTTTTTATTGGATTAATTCAACTCTATCAACTTAAAACTCGTTGCTTAAACAATTAGCTTAAGTGATAAAGGATTAGTCAAGTTAATATTTAAATGGCAACACTTGAGTTGCTATTTTTAGATTAACTGATAAAGGTCAATGTAAATGTCTGGTACAATGATTCAATAAGCATCAACTAAACAAAAAGTAATCATAGTTATCCTGGATTTAAGAGAGGTTGAGTGAACATTCATGGATAAAAATGATGAGCTTTAACATTTTTCACTATTATTAACATTTTTATGATGACTTTTGACAAAGTTTCAATTGCTTCTTTGAGGGAAAAAGCAAATTGAAAGAATCAAAATTTTCATCTCATTTGACAGGGCAGTTTGTGAAAATTGTTGTCAATGTCATATTGTTGATGTTAAATCTGGTATCCTTTGCTTTACAAGCGACTCAGTTATTATCTTTACTTGTTAAATCAAAATACTCGCAACAAAATCTCTCTGTTTTTTAGATATAACAGATGAAATAACATTCCTTCCTATCCAATGTCCATGAATGCTCATGCAATTCAATTGATTCTCAACAGCTTCCTTTTGTATTTACCAACATATTATTTTTTGGGTATCACATTATTCTTGCTTCTTGCACTTTCTTTGCTTTTTGTTTTCACTTGGTCTCAACTTGAATCTTTACTTAAGCCTGAGTCCTAAACAGATTGAATTGACGTTTATATCAATAAACAGCAAACAGAAAGGTTGTTAAATGTGTTAACATTGTCTTCATTTGTTGATTCCAATCAAGAAGCAAAATGGACAAATCAAAAATGTTGCTAAAAAAAGGATCCAACTGCTCCAATTGTCATCCTTATCATCTTCTGGTTATTTATCCGTCGCCCTTTCAATAGCTTGTTCATTTCAAATTAATAAAAGAACAATAGTTGTTGAGACCATCAATTGATTAACTTAATTTGATTAACAAAGCAGTTAATTGAAGTAACCAGAGTGTCATTATATTGACTCCACATCAGTCTAATAAGCAGCAACAAAATATCAGACGAAACCAAAAACAGTCAGAAGATGAAAGCTTAAATAACAGGATTTTTGTAAAACTCAAGTATTGCATTCAATTTTTGTCTTGATAGGACCATCCAGTGTGTCATTATCACCTAATTTCAATTTAATTAAATGAATTGCACAATATTAATAATGTTATTGCTTATAATCAACTATTTATATTTGATTACAATCATAATTACCTCAATTTCAATGATTGTCACGTAACCAAATAGCCAACTCCATGTGTTTACCAAAGTAAACCTTGTCCTTTCACTTGGGTCAACTTTAATCCTCTATTAGACTCAATTACTTTAATTGTCCAATTGAAAATAATACAGACAAAAAATAAATTAAATGATTAAATTAATTGTAATCCAAGATATTGGGTAAACAGTTATCAATTATGAACAAAACAAAGCATTGAAAAAATGTTCCCTCTATAACAAAGCACTGTGTCAAACACATGCTAAAAATATTGGCGCATAAAAAGAAAGCATAAAAAGCATTAAAAGCAACTACAATCGATTGATTGATTCGCTTTCATTTTTATTGAATTCATTTCAAAATCAGGTTTCATTTTTTTCAGCTTTTCGCTTGTTGCTTACCTTTTAAGCTTATTTATCCATATTTATTTACCCTTTTTCATGTGTAGGTGAATAATCAATTTGATTGATATCTTGGTTTACCCTCTAAGACATTACAATGATTGATTAACCCAATCATAGTTTTTTGGTTCCTCCTGCAATTCCCATTCCAATTCTTGTTTACTCTTTTAGTTGATTATCAAAGATGACATTATGTGATCAAATTGTCAATATCCATGTAAATTGGCATCCAAAATAATCAATTGATACAATTTACATCAAGCAGAGCACAAAAAAATGATAAATGAGTTTTGTTTAATTGTGAAAAAATGGCCAAAAAGCTCAAAGTATAACATTCAGATTGAAATTTGTTAATTTATATGAAAAAATTATTAAATTGTCCGAGTGAAAGTGAAATCAAAAGCATAATTTGCTACTTTACTTTGAATCCAGTTGCCTTAATTTTACATTTGTGATTGGTTTTCAATGAAAATCAGATTCAGAAGCTAATGTTCAATAATGAAGGACAATTAGATGATCAAAAATCATCATCAACTTATATTTTAAACATAAGCTAATCAACTAATCGGCTATGAAACTCATTGGGAATTGAATGTTATCCTTTTAATAAAGTCAATGTTTTAGCTTATTACTGTTCAAATCAATACCATTAACTTAATCAAATTTTGAACAGTCAACAAGAGCAATGAAAAAATATGACAAAAATTGTGATGAGATGACTGGATGTCTGACAAATTATAACAACATTACGACTCTTTGTTTTTATTTTAGTGTCTCATCAATTTTATTAATAATCCATTAATTTCAATTTCCATCAATTAAATATCATGTAATATCAAACAAGATACAACTCGTAAATTGAATTATAATTAAACTAATGGTTATTAAATCCAAATATAAAAAGGGTTTAGTCAACAAAACGAGACACTTTTATGCAATTGATAAAGCTTTTTAGTCGCCTCATTATCATCAAATTTCTCAGGTTTCTCATTTTGTTTTCATTCATTATTATCATGAAATTTTCACTCTCCCTTTCAAACTGTTGAACCAATCAGATTTTTTCTGCAACCAAAAAAAATAGAAGCAAAAGACGATGAAAACCAATTTGATGAGCCAAGGTAATAAATTGCAAAACAAAAAGTTTCATGTTATCAAATTATCCTTATTCATCTTCAATCTTCAAAGTCTTCACAGCCATTTGAGCAAAAAATAAACAATCAAAAGCAAATAGGATAACTTTTACTCCAAGCTGGCTTCATATTTTCACTATCACTTCGTATAATCAGTTGAAACTATTTCACCTTCACATTCATCTTCCAATCTTCATCGAAATTCCAAGCTCCAAATTTGACCTTTCGTTTAATGAATCATTTATTAACATTTCAATGCTTTACCAATTGAACAAGTGATAAAATTTACTCCAAGAAGTTAGTCTAAAGATCAGATTGAATATGCACTGACTAAGTTGATCGTGATTCTTTATCCAACTCAATGTCCAGAAAATTTAATACTCGAGTTTCAATGTTTTCTAGATAATTGGTTTGTCCATTTTTGCATCTAAAATTGAACCAATTTTAGGACAAATGGCGAGAAGCTTTCAGCTGAAGTTTGCTTTCAGTTGAAAAACTAACTTATCACTCAAGATTAAGTACATGATTAACCCTGAATAACCTTGCAACTGGAACTCGTATTCATCTGATGCTAATTGAATAACACGTTGAGTGTTAAAATCCCTTTGAAGATGATCTTGTAACAAATTATACAACCTTAATCTTGATTATTTGTTATCTTTTTCAGTTCCCATTGCAACCTGAGAGCTGTTATATCATTCTTATTAGTCTTTATCAGTTTATTGTTTCCCTAATCTCATCTGAGATCACTTTTCCTGTTGACGTCTAAGCTTATTAAAGTGATATTCTTGTTGCAACTCTGATAGCCTTTTTATTGAATCATTTTTGGCCAACTTCACCTTTCGCATTATTATTACCACTATTATTTACCTTTATCTGCCATTTATTAGTTTCAATTGTTATCTTATAAAAATAATAAAACATTAACCTGGGAGTGATAAAAGGCTAATATTGGCTAAACAAGGCTCAAAGGTTCAACTGTTTAAACTGCCTTTTACTCAAATGAATGCTCTCAACATGATTCAGATTCATTTAGAAATTTTCACTTCTTTTCTTTATTACAATACCTTTTATCCTCATTTATCTCCTTTTCCTGAACTTATCCTTCACTCCTTCATCACCTTCATCAACCACGTAAACTAATCTCATGAGCATTTTGTGTGAAAAATTTCATCATTTGTATTCAATTAACTCGATCATCAAAAGAGCTAAGTATCAACGTCAGAAAAAAATCAGATAATTTAATTTCCATTCGAAATTCTCAAGTCAAGTGTTTAACTGTAATCGTCTTAGTTTCATCATTAATTGAACATTCCGATAACATGAAACCTCAACAAATGATATTAAACTGAACCAATTAAACTTGATTATCATAGTTATTGGAAAGTTATTAAAATGTTACTTTATATTCAAAAAGTGACGATGAGGAAGAAAAGGAAAATGATATTTTACTTATTTTCCTGAGTTTCCAATTTTTCCAATTCAATTGAGTTTAACTAACAAGTGATCAACCATGAAAAGGTCATGAACACGTTGAACCTTAATCTTTGGGAAACAGGAAAAATATCATCATTTCATGTCCATTCAGAGACAAGAATTTTATTTACTTGTTAAAGGAAGAAAAAAATTGAACAAATAAAAGGGAAAAAAAGATTTGATTCAATATTAAAATATGTAAATGCTCAGTGTTGCATGAAAATAATATGACATTGAAATAAGCTGCCGCAATGGAAGGTTTAAAATATTGAATTTCCTTATCTGTGAACTAAAACAAATTATCAAATGTGTGTAAATGCTCATTGATTATTGGTAACAATTGGTATGAAAATAACCCAAAATTGACTTGATTTAAATATATGAAAATAAAACTGAAATGGATTCAGTTGAAGGTGTTCAGGTGAAGGAGTAAATTAAGATATCAATATTTTATTAGGTTAAGATTTTGTCAGAAAATGTCAATTTTCAACTCATCAGAATACCTTTAGGGAAATCAGATCAATCTGAACATTAAGCTCATTTCTCGCCATTTGACTTGAAATTTCTCAAAATACAGTCTGAGAGGAAAAGATGTTCAACATTATTAGATTTTGAATTTCAAATTGTTAAAAAGCTAATCATTAAAAGTTATTCTTAAATGTATTCCATTCAGTAATGATCCAAAAAGGGAAATAAATTCTGAAGCTTCGTTTAGCAAAAGATCAATCCCAGCTTGGAGTGAAATTTTATGGCTCGGGCTTGAAGCTGATAAATGTATTTATCAGCTTTGCTATAGTTTGGATGATAAGATGAAGGTTTTTTTCATTTCTTGTTTGCAAGGAAATTGTAATGAAAAAGTTTCCTTTTTTTGGCCTTTTCATTGATTAAATTGTTGGTCAAATAAAACTTTCAATTAAGTTATCAATTTACCTTCCAAAATTCAAGACAATCTGAAGTTGGACATTTTTGTCATGACAAGCTTTTCACAGATGCTTCATTTCATCCAAAGTTATTTTTGTGTTAACAATTTTACTTTTGATGAAATACTTATTACAGTTATTGTATTTAATAAAATGGACTTTCCTGTTTTTATTATTGTATATTTTTTTGCTATTGTATTGAATGGGTTTTGGGTTTGTGTTGATAAATGATTTAAATCAAATTTAGTTTCAAATTTTATTTTACTTGTTGATTGCTGTTGCTGTAAGCTTGATTAGGAATTGTAAATCGTATTAGCCATTAGCTTTCACATTGTATTACTATTAACATTAAGCAAAGCTAGTGACTAAAAATAATCGGAAGTCTATACATGAGAGAAACTGAATTATCAATCAAATTTGTTGTTTTCTGGTGTAACGTTTCCTGGTTAATCTTGAAATTGTTGAAAGGTTATTATTATTAGCAGGGGAAAACGAAGCTAATAAATATTATTGTCGATAACAATGTCTACCACCTTTTTTTGGATGTGAAGTTTATTATCATTTATTTTCATGTTTATCATCGAGTGTTTTGTTCCCATTCAATCATATTTAAGATATTTTAAGATGACATCTAATATTGCTTTGTTAAATATGAAACGGTAACCTTTTATAAATAAAGAGCATTTATGGATTAATGTACGCTAATTCAATAGTTAATGGGAATCGCCATTATTATTGATTAATGCATTTCAATTTTAGCGCCTACAAAATGTCAGCCAATCATGCAATCTCGTAAAAGCGGCAAATCTTTCAACTGCTGATATATTTTTAATCTGTTTATTGCGTTTCTTTTTTTTGTTTCTTGCTAATTAATTATCTAGATCCAGAAGGCTTTGATGATTACATCCTTAACAACTTACAGTTGGCTGAAAGTGAGGCCAATTTCATGGAAAACAATCTTCCCATTGTAAAGACGCCATCAGGATCAGTTGTCACCATGAAAAGGTCGTGTATAAGAAGATCTGGAATTTGTGATGCTCGTCCATCTGATTGCTGTTTAAATTCAGTTTGCCGGTGTAATTTGTGGGGTGCTAATTGTCGCTGTCAGAGGATGGGATTGTTTCAAAGGCTTGGAAGAAAGTGAAGACCATTTGGTCAACCCAAAAGACGAACCCAAAAGAACCCTAAAATTAAATCTACTCCTTTACCAGCTTCCAAACGTTTCTCCTTTGTTTCAATAGTCACCTCGTCTTTGGATTTATGTTGTGTATGATTATGATTGTCAGAGTTGTCTACAATTAACTTATTGAAACTCATTTACACACTGATACACATTGAATGATGAAAAATGATTTGAGACAGTTTCAGTTTCATTATAAGCCAATCCAATCTGAAATACAACTACAGCAACAAAGTACAGAAAATGATTATTCAACCATTTTTAATGGTTAACCAAGTCAATTGTTGAACCATTTATATATTATATTTCCTGATCTTATACAATGCATTTTAATTAAGGCAATCAAAGCGTTTACAGTGGAAAGGTAAAAGGTGAAAGGTGAAAAGTGAAAATTAGAAATTTTGTCTCAAATCAATTTACCTTCAGTTTTGTGGCAGTTTAAATTGCAGTTTGAGTAACAGCCATGAATCAAATCAACTTTGTAAAATTGTCTTCCGTGAATGTGATTAAGTCTTGCTCTTTCTTTCATCCTCATCAACACCATCTTCATCTGCTTCATCATCCCTCTCTTCAAGCTAATGGAAGAGGAGTTTTGTTTCTTTCAAAAAGATGCATAATCATATAAAGTTGCCATTTAATCATGTCTTTCAACATTCCTAACATATCTTTTCATTTCATGATTTTGCTTCTTCTGTTCTCTTTTTGTAACAATTTTCTTCACTTCTCTTCTTCATCCATTCCTCTTCCATTTCACTTGTGACACTTTTCATCTTCATCATCTTGATGCAAGACTTTTCATCACTTGTCATAAACAATATCCACTGCTTTGACTCCTTTTTATCCCTACTTTTGTTTCTCACAAGACAAGCTTCCTCCATTTTACCCATTATAAACTGTTATTACTGACAGAACAATTAATTTTAGAATCAAAATCTAATTTCAACATAATTATGGTTAAAAAATGAATGTATAAATTGTTGTTAACCTTTCCAACCATAAAAATTGTCCTTTTTGGTTGTCAATGAACAAATAAACTGGTAGTTAACAATGTATTATTAACAACATAATTAGATAGATATCAAGAAAACAAAATAAAAGTTAATCTAACAATCAATTTAACAATACTTGGTTTCATCCTTAATTAAACAATTGGACAACCTAGGGATTGGGAATTTAGCCCAATTGTTGGATTTGGGTTTCTCGGTATTCAACCTCAATATTGTGATACAATTTTAAGCTGGTAAGCTTTTTAATGTTGAAATCTTTTGATTGATCACAATTTGATTGCGAACATGTTTAACATGAAATAAATGTGTGTTTGTGGTGAAAAGAATAACAATGAGAATCTGAGATAATTCATCTCATAACGGGATTAAGATTTTCGTTGCTTAAGTGAGTGATTGATTTAAAATGGCATCTTGTTCATTAATCTTGTCATGTTTGATTGAATCTTTAAATCGGGTTACTTTTTAAGGGAAGAAAAAATAATGAATAAATTGTTAACCAGAGAACAATTTATCTCCAAACTTGATTCCACGAGTCTTCAACTAAATCATCAATTGAACCAAAATCATTTTTCTTTGACCAAGCGGCCGATAATGAAGATGATCCAATCCAATCACCCCAAAGTGATTTATGGTCTAATGATATCTCAGGTTCCCCATGAAGGTGGTGATGATTGTCCTCCCAAGTATGTGCTGACAACAAGGAATCGTGTTTATCCAAGTGTGTTAATACAGGTTCAGCTTTATCCCAATTGAGAAGGTCCAATGAATGATGATCAATGTGAGGGTGAGGTGCATGATGAGCATGTGAATGGTGAGGTGAATGATGAGGTGGATGGTGTGGTGGATGGTGTGGTAAGTGATGAGAATGGTGAAGATGGTGTCCATGTTTGACATGGTGATGATGACCATGGTCATGGCCATGATTGTTATGACCTAAAGTATGATGAACCCACGAGGAAGTGTGAGGCCAATTGGTTAACGGCCAATTTGAATGGTAAGAAGGAACCTTGATAGGAACAATCACAGGCTTCCATGGACCATGTGACTTCCAGCTGTCTCCCCCGCAACAACCGCCACCTCCAGTTACAATTATGTTACTTCCTTTGCCTTTTTTACCACCTTTAGTAATAATTATGTTTCCCTTGCCACCACCACAACCACCGGACCAACCATGGCCACAGCCACCCGAATCACTGATAACAACATTGGTTCCTCCATATTTTTTGCCATCAAGTAGGTGGACGAGTAAACTGATGAGTATAAAACAGGATAACATCATTGTATAAAATATTTTAACGTTGGTCAACGATTACTGATTGATTTATAGAGTATATATTCTAGTTAACTAGACGAGGGAACATTTAAATTCATCACAATTTAAAAAATAGATTCAATTACTTTGATTGATTGGAAAGTAGATCAAGACAGAGGCTGGTTCAACTTGGCTGTTGAAAGATCGGGACAAAAGTGAAAGCACATTTACTTGATCCAAGTTGCTGCTTATTTTCACTTTATTTTGATATTAACTTAACTCCTTTTGAATTTGGCTAATCCACATATTGGCTGATTAACTTATTGTTCATTTTACTACGATCAGGTTAATGTTTTTTTCCTATTGTCAATGATCATCGGATGAAATCGTTTTCTGGTTAAATTACTTGTTAACAATTGATTTGCGATTGATGGTTGTTTCATATTTGAAATAACTCGTTTCAACGCAAACATTTCTGTTTACAACAAGTTAATCTTTTTAATGTTTAAACATGAACAATTGACTTTCATAATATCCATTAAATGGTCTACTTAATAAACATTTTTACTTCACAATCTGAATTTCTAAGATATTTGGATCATTAAATATGAAATTGTAATCACAAACTCTAGGCCATGTGAGAATTAGATTAAATTAACCCGGAAGAATCAATCAACTATTCATTTAACTTCAACTACTCATCGAAATGGAACAAATCTGGAATAAACTTAGTGGAAAGTGATTTACGATCGCAATAGTCTAATGTCGATCAATTAGTAAGGGAATTTTCAATGCTCATTGATAAATTGTTTACATAGCAAGTAATTAAATTCAGCTGAAACTAAAACTTAAATTTTTGAACAAAACCGCACGAAAACTGTTCAACAAAAACCAAGTTGAGCAAAATTAGCATCAGTTGTTAAGTTAGCTTTGAAACTTCTTCTCACCTTTTCCTACGAAGTTAATTTTCAATAATTTACTTTTATTGTAATAGACTAATTGAACAGAAATTTCAATTATCATGCTTTATCATGGTAAAACTGGTTGTTACTAAAGAGACACAATTAACACAATTATGCACAAATTTACATTAATTTTACATAAATTGGCACGAATGGACAAAAACGGGTGAAACTTAGTTTCTTTCAAATTTAGACCCTGTTAGTTTGTAGGGATATGAACACTGAACCCATTGGTGCTATTAAATAATTCATCCGATGAACGGTTTACGAGAAAATCTAGCTCAAAGTTGAAACTTCGATCGCCTTTTGTAAAATTATGGAAGCAGACTTTTTTATGAAACTCATTTAACTGGTCTAAATTTTGGTGACCAACCATAAAATGGTCTATCTTTGAGAAATAGGACTTTTCTTTTTCTGTGTGCCAGAAAAGTTCGATTTTGAGTTAAAGCGACTTATTTCTGTGATCGTATGAGTTGGGAATCTGAAACTTATGAATTGTCCATAAAATTTGTTGGCTCACATCAGCGATTAAATAATTTGGTACAATTTGACAACGGTTGTCTTCATTTAGGCCATTGACACTAAAACTTTGAAACTCAATAATTCGAGAATGGCATCATTTACAATCATCATTCTTTCACCAACGCATTTCTTTCACTAATTAATAGTTTGATTCACTTCAATTACTTTTCATTAGCGCTTTTGAGTCTTGATTTAGTGGTTTAAAGGTACAAGTAACAACTTATTAAACAAAACAAACTCATTTAACACATATCTTGGTAAATAAACCACTTTTCTGGTTGAACTTGCATTTTCTGGCAAAATGAAATGTAAAAATTACTGCAAAAGGCTCAAAAATTTGAGTAAAGAGTTGGAACTGAGTAAGTTTGTAGGGACATGAAAACTGATCCCATCGGTGCTATTAAATAATTCATCCGATGAACGGTTTACGAGAAAATCTAGCTCAAAGTTGAAACTTCGATCGACTTTTCTTCCGTTATGGAAGCAGATTTTTTGATGAAACTTATTTAACTGTTCTAAATTTTGATGATCAACCATAAAATGGTCTTATTTTGAGAAATTGGACTTTTCTTTTTCTGCAAAACAGATTAGTTCGATTTTGAGTTAAAGCGATTTATTTCTGTGGGCTTTTTAGTTAAAGACTTGAAACTTATTAATTGTTCATAAAAATTGTTGCCTTTCATCAGGTATTAAATAATTTTAACAATATGACAACGGTTCTCTTGATTTAGGCCATTAGCTTTAAAACTTTGAGACTCAATAACTCGAGAATGGCATCATTTACAATCATCATTCTTTCACCAATTTGGTCCTTTAGTAATTAATTGTTTGATTCAATTCAATAACTTTTCATTAGCGCTTTTGGGTCTTGATTTTTGTGGTTTAAAGGTACAAGTAACAACTTATTCAACCAACTAAACTCATTTTAACACATATCTTGGTAAATAAACCACTTTTCTGGTTGAACTTGCATTTTCTGGTAAAATGAAATATAAAAATTACTGCAAAAGGCGCGAACATTTGAGTAAAGAGTTGAGACTCGGTAAGTTTGTAGGGACATTAAAACTGAACCCATTGGTGCTATTAAAAAATTCATCAGATGGACGGTTTTCTAGAAAATTCAGGTCAAAGTTTAAACTTCGATCGACTTTTCTTCAGCTATGGAACCAGATTTTTTCATATAACTTTCTTTCACTTAATTAACTTTTGATGAGCAACCAGAAACTGCACTCATTTTGAGAGATAAAATTTCCTGTTTTGTGTACAAAAGGTTAGTTCGATTTTCAATTAAACCGACCTCTTCTTGTGTCCCTAAAAGTTAGAGAGTTGAAAATTATGATTTGTCCATAAAAATTGTTGTTACACATCATGCATCAAATCTCTTTTTCAATTTATTAACAGTTCTCTTGATATTGGCCATCGGACTAAAAACTTTGAGTCTCAATATTTCGAAAATGATGTCATCTACAGTCACCATTCTTTGACCCAACACTAGACTTCATTATTAACTATAATATATTGAAACATCAAATCATTCAAAATCCAACAGAAAGAGTTATACCATTATAATAATTATGTTATCAGATTTGAGACTTGATTTATAAAGCTAAACACAAATTTTATTCATCAGAAGAATCTTCATTATTAAATGAATCAGCTCGGACTTTATTCGGTATTCAGTCACACACTGTTATAGCCGATAATGCAATCTAATGTTAGATAAAAGAAAAATGACTGTAGGTGATGCCATTCTCGAATTATTGATGCTCAAAGTTTTAAGGCCAATGGCCAAAATCAAGAGAACCGTTGTTAAATTGTTAAAAGTATTTAATCCCTGATGAAAGCCATCAATTTTTACAGAAAATTAATAAGTTTTGGATCTCTAACTGAAACGGCCACAGAAATAAATCGCTTTAACTCAAAATCGAACTAATCTGTTTCACAGAAAAACCAAAGTCCCATTTCTCAAAATTAGACCATTTTATTGTTGATCATTAAAATTTAGACCAGTAAAATGAGTTTCATAAAAAAATCTGGTTCCATAGCTGAAGAAAAGTCGATCGAAGTTTCAACTTTGACCTGGATTTTCTAGAAAACCGTACATCGGATGAATTATTTAATAGCACCAATGGGTTAAGTTTTAATGTCCCTACAAACTTACTTAGTTCCAACTCTTTACTCAAATTTTTGAGCCTTTTGCAGTAATTTTTACATTTCATTTTGCCAGAAAATGCAAGTTTAACCAGAAAAGTGGTTTATTTACCAAGATATGTGTTAAAATGAGTTTTTTTGTTTAATAAGCTGTTGCTTGTACCTTTAAACCACAAAAATCAAGACCCAAAAGCGCTAATGAAAAGTTATTGAATTGAATCAAACAATTAATTACTAAAGGACCAAATTGGTGAAAGAATGATGATTGTAAATGATGCCATTCTCGAGTTATTGAGTCTCAAAGTTTTAAAGCTAATGGCCTAAATCAAGAGAACCGTTGTCATATTGTTAAAATTATTTAATACCTGATGAAAGGCAACAATTTTTATGAACAATTAATAAGTTTCAAGTCTTTAACTAAAAAGCCCACAGAAATAAATCGCTTTAACTCAAAATCGAACTAATCTGTTTTGCAGAAAAAGAAAAGTCCATTTTCTCAAAATAAGTGTATTTTCTGGTTGATCATCAAAAGTTATGTCAGTGCGATGAGTTTCATCAGCAGTTCTGCTTTTATAGCTGACAAAAAGGCGATCGAAGTTACAACTTTGACCTGGATTCCCTCGAAAACTGTGGATCAGAGAAATTCTGAAATCACACAAATGCATTCAGTGTTGATATCCTTACAAACTAACGGAGTGAGAATTGCATGGAATTAATTTTTACCCGTTCTTTGCCCATTTGTGTCAATCCATGTATAATTGTGTTAATTGTGTCTTTTCAGTATTAATAACAACTTGGTAACTGGCAGCTTACCTTCAACGCTACAAGTTAATATTTATATCTCAATAGATGGCTCTGCAACTCGCACTGGTTCGAATCAAGGATTGCTAAATTGCATCTTATATCATATATTTTCGAGTTTATATTTCTCTTGATAATTAACTGTTGAAATAGTTAGTTAAGTATGGACTGACAGACTTTTTTATTGATTCAGCAATCAAAATATTTTTATGAATATGACAGTGAGAGCAAAAATATAAGCCTAGTTATTGGAAAAGAGAGAGTTTGCATGAATGAAAGTCAAAAAAGGGTCTCTCCAACCTCAACCTGTTCCAATGCTACAACCAATTTGTCTACATTACCAGCTGGTTCAATGGTTTATTGTTTATCTTATTATGCACCAGGAAACTAATCTAGTTTTGATATAATCAAGGTCTAATTAGTAATTGCAGTGAGACTAAAAATATGGTAATTAAACCGCTGATTAGTCTAATTATTGATAAAAGCAGGTAAGATTTTCTCTTTATTTGATAAACAAGTAAATTGTACTTTGAATTGTTCTTTATTAACTGAATTCATAATTCATTGTGAATAGGAAATTTCAAGGGTATCAGAATTTATGTGTTTCCTAATCCTATATTCTTTCCTTAGGTCTCTACAAGAAAACCCCAAAGTCTAAGAACTTTAAAAAAGATTTTCTCGGGAACCATTGCCTGCAGTCAGAAAGATGCCTCTCTCACCAAAACAGCTTACCATAATGTTTTTGGAAACGTTTCCTTTTTCAACCAATTGAAAAATAATCATTGAAATTTGAGTTATCGTCGTTATTAAATCATTTTGACCTTCTCATCTATCAATGTTAGTTGCTTGGAGATTCATCTAATTCAATTCCTGCCTTGATTTGGTTCCAATTCGTTACCACTTGTTACCCGGCTAAAGAAACTTTCATTTTGACAACATGTCTGTTTTGGAAATACGAAATCCCACCATTCGATCATTTGTTTATGGATCTTTAAGCGGAACGTGTTCAACTTTATTGTTCCAGCCCTTGGATTTGGTTAAGACTCGAATGCAGAGTCAATCGTCAATTGTTTTAAATCAACATGGAAAAACAAAAAAACTAGGAATGTTTCAAGTGATGGTCCAAGTTGTCAAGAAAGAAAGGTTACCTGGTCTATGGAAAGGAACTATCCCGGTATGTATCAATTTTTTAAAATTTTGTGTATAATTATTTATAGTTATCATGAACTGATGAGATTCTTAATAATCTTGTCAAGTGAAGCAACATATTAAATTCTATCTTATTCCTTTTCCAGTCACTAATCCGATGTGTACCAGGTGTTGGTATATATTTTGGAACTCTAGATTACTTATCAATTAAACTTTTAAAAAATCCTAAGCAGCCGAAACCTATTGAAGCCATGCTGTTGGGATTCACAGCTCGCACTGTGACTGTTATAACTCTTTTACCAGTGACTGTTATAAAAACTCGATATGAAAGTGGACTATTTTCTTATGCCAATGTTTGGATTGCAATTCAAAATATTTACCAAAGTGAAGGATTCAAAGGATCATTTCGTGGCTTATTACCAACCCTTTTTCGTGATGTTCCATTCTCGGGGTTATATTATCTATGTTATTCGCAATTAAAACAAACATTGGTTAATGGTAAACAAAATTCCCCTGAATTATTGCCTCGTTCTTTTAAAACTTTCGTCTGTGGATTGATTGCTGGTTTATTTGCTTCTACTGTCACCCATCCTGCAGATGTCGTTAAAACCCGAATTCAAATTGAACCTCAAAGATATTTTAGTATAAGTCAAACAATCAAGATTATTTATAAAGACGGTGACGTATTTCGAGGCCTTACTCCTAGAATTATCAGAAGAACTCTCATGACTGCCCTTACATGGACTATATTTGAATTTCTAATTCAAAGATCTGATAAAAACTAAATGTCATTTATTAATAATACAAATATCATTATCACGAACAAAGGACCATTCCATCATAGGCTTTTATAGTCTTGAATGTGCCATTTTTTAAATGTTTGTAAAGTCTAACAAAAACGAGCTTTCATTAAATTAAACAATAAATTTTATAAATCGCGTGATTTATTCAAGTGTAAAGATTTAATTGCTTGTATCGAATTACATAGCTTGATTAATATCGCAAGCTAAAGCAAAAAAATTCTGTGAATTGTAACTGTGAGTGGAAAAATCGGGAAATGAAAAAGATGGATGCAAAATGCTATGTTATTTATAATCAGCTAATTTATCAAGATCTGTTAATCTTTTATATCATGAACAGAAGTGGATAAGTTTTAATTGCTCCATGAAAATTGTGTTAACCATAATGTTTGATAACAATTCCAAGTCACTTTCTAACCTTTTGTGAAGTCCAAGGATACGAATAAACGTGTAACAAATAGACAGTCCAAAGAAAATCCAACGTAGAGTTGTCAATGGGCTGCTTACTACTCTGGATGGACGTGCGTCTAAAACTTGTTTTGGATCAACAAACCACATCAAATTTTGATCCATATATTTTCAGCGAAGCTCTCGTCGGGACTTGCTACTTAAACGAGTGAAATAGTTCATTCAAGAATCTGATAAAAACTAAACATCACATGACATAGGTATCAAGGTCATTTATCGAAGGGTCATTTCATCATGTAACTTTTATAGTATTCAATGTTCTATTCTCTTAATGTTTGTCACATCGTGTCGCGTCGAACAAAAATGAACACAATAAACTTGATGAATCATGTGATTTATTCAAACGTACAAGTCTTATTGCTTGTCTCAAATTACATTTACAAAATTTGATTGAGAAGGCAAGCTAAAGCAAAAAATTCTGTAAATTGTAACAGTGAGTGAAAAAAATAGGAGATGGGAGAAAAGGGATGAAAAATGTTTTGGTAGGAGTCATAAATAGCTAATATAACTTAAAGACTATTTGTATAGTTGCTGGAACCACTAGATTAGCATTGTGTTTATAAATTTGGATGAAGCATAATCCAATGGCGTATTTCAAATATTGAAATGAGAAAGAGCAGGACGTTAAACTTTCAAATTAGATGAAAGTGAAAAAGTGAAGAAATGACAAGATAAATGTTAATTCGATCATAAAGAACATTCCGTTGGTTGTATATGTAGTATTTGAATCACTAAATTGGTCAAATCATTATTTTGTTGGCCGTCGAACAGGTTCAGAGGCAGTTGGAGGAGGAGGAGGCCCTTTCCGATCCAACTCGTCAATGTAAGACATAAGGAGATGACGTCTTTCGTCTTCAATACAGTCCAAAATAAGATATCGTTTATCATTCTGGAGTATGGCAACAATATCTTGTAGATGTTGTTCTGAGTCTTCAATCATTTTCTTGGATTTATAAGTTATTATTTTGGTCTCTTTTAATAATTCTCTAAATTGGTTTTTGGCCAAAGTCAATTTGTCTTTCATGTACTCTTTGAATTCTCGCTCACATTTTCTGTCACTAGAAGAAAATTTGATGTATCTGGGATCATCTTTAATGGATCGTCGAATATCTCTCCATGTTGAGGTCAATGTTATTTCCCGCACTTCGTCTAAAAGCTCACGGAATTTTTCTCGCTTCTTTTTATAAAGGTTGTCAATATGATCATTGAAAAGTTTTTCTTTCTCATCACGATCTAAAGAATCGACCAAATCCCAACGATGATCTTTCTTCAACATTTTTTTACCTTCTCTCCAAGAAACATCAGGATTGCGGATGAGATCGGCCAAAAGAGCATTAAAATGTTCCACAGCTTCGGCATGCTTATGCTGTTCCCGTTCCTTGTCTCTTTCTCGTAGATGAGTTGAAAGTTCACGAGCAACTTCCTTTTCACGTTCTCGTAAACTAGCTTCGATGGCTTCTTGCTTTTCTTTTTCTCTAGCATCTTTGCCATCGACATTTTCATCCTTACGATCACCTCCAGAGCCACCGTCATTTCCATCATTTCGATGTGATGAAAGACCACTGACATAGCTTTTAAAGGTATCTTCCCGAGCACTGCTGCTGTCCAGCGCTTTATAACGAGGATCATCTCGGATCTTTTCTTTAACATCAAACCACTTGGAGTACCGGTCCAAGTTTTTCTGCTCTTTTAAAAGCTCAATAAAACCTTGTTTGGCCTAAAATAAAATGATCAAGAAACACATGAAAAGATTAAAAATAAGCATTAGAAATACGAAATACTAAAAATAAAGTAAACTCATGAACTTAAAGCTAATTCGCTTTTCGATGTAAACGTCAGAGGATCCTTATAACAAGACAAAGAGATCAAAGTTCGAATTTTACTTTGCAACCTTCATTCAAAGAAGACCAAGATCTGAATTGGAGTATTGTTTGTTAATAACACATCAAGAATAACCCAATCAATCTAATATTATTCAAAGATAAGAAAGTTTTGTTCTCTTCTAGAAAGAGAGAGAGAGAAGAACAGTGAAATCCAGAAAATGAATCAAAGATCAAAGAAATAAAGAAATGAACAAAAATATTAAGCTAATTACTGTCCAAAAATGGTTTGGCTTAGGGTATCAATGCTCCATGAAGTCATTTGAAGTCTCTTTTCCCTTGGAGAGTTTACCTTAGCTGTGAAATGTTAAATTTTGCTGTGAATTAAATTATGAATTAGCTGAGATAAAATTAATATCATTTTAAAATGATACTTGATTCGTTAAAGAATGATTAGAGTGCATAATTATTAAACATGGTTGAATTTTTTGAAAGAAAAAGGGAAAGAAATTCATTATTAATTAGTAACAGAGATGTTGATGCCGATGAAGAAATTTTGAGCTGTAAATAAAACAGATTGGTAAAAAAAGAAACTACAATTACCTTTTCTCGTTGGGCGGCTTTTTCCTCCTTCTCTTTGCGTCTCAATTCAGAAATATAATCGTTAAAAAGATTCTCACGATCTTTTTGTTTGTCAATAGCCCTGTATCGCTCATCCTTAGAATATTTGTGAGCAAAATCATGGAAGCTTGTTTTGTAAGTAACATTAGCTTCTTCCAGTAATTTTCTAAACTCATCTCTCTGTTGTTTAATCCTTTGACGCTTTTCCCGACGTTCTTCTTCAGCCTTTTCCTTAACATACTTATCAAATACTTGCTTTCTCTCCTTCGATGTTAGCAATAGATATCTCGAATCAAATACGATCTTTTGTAACTCTTTTTCCCACGTCGAGAAAGCTGAAACCTGGAAGCAATAATGTAAGATAAGGATCAAAACGATGCAAAGATCAATTCAACAATTGCGATTTACCTCCTTTTCAACCAACATAGCTCTAAACATTTGAGTCCGTTCTTCTAAGGGAATGGTTTCTCGTTGTTTTGCAGCGATTATTTGTATATCGGTGGATGGATCTTTTTTGTTTTCCTTTTCCATTTCCTCATCAGCTTTCCTGAATAAACCAAAAAATTCTGTTTACATTCATCTGCATAAAGATAACATACATCATATGTATAAATAATGAAAATAGCCTTACTTTTGTTTCTTGACGACTTTCTCTTCTTCATTTTCAGCCGGACGTTTCTCCTGTGGAGGAGAAGCCGATGGATCATCGGGTTTAGGTGGTGCTTTAACCAATTTGTCTACTTCCGGCCTGTTTTTGAGATCAGGTGGTCTTTCCCAGACTGACGTTTTGGTACTAGGATTATAAAAGAATACTTTGTTATCACCAGTCCAAACGACGCACCTAAAAAAACATTGAAATATTAGATTTAGCACAAAATTTGCATTTAATAGGTATTTGCATTTAATCTTCAGCTAATTCTAGCAAATTCATCAAGTTACAACTTACCAAGGAGTTCCAGAGACAGGTGTACTCGAAATAGGTTTCGATTTATCTCTGGGCTGTTCAGGCTTTTTCACCGCAGCGTTATCCTCTGAAAGTTTTTCCTCATTGGAAGCGACATTGGCATCAGAGCTTCCTTCAGATCTTACCTCACTGTTTTTATTTGACTGATTCACTAGATTAGCTTGATTTGCTTTGGCTGCTAGCTCTTCTTGTTGCGCTTTCACCTTATTGATCGCTTCTGTAGATATGAAAAAAATGGTTAAGTATTGTTGTTAAAATAATCCTTGGTTTGAATAACTCGAGTACCTTCGAGGTCTTCAAGAGCTTTAGGTTTATCCCAGACTGATTGCTTTGTTTTCGAGCTAAAATAGTATGGTTTGCCTTCTGGAGTTTTATATTCCGTCCACTCTGAAGCAGCAAGTCGTATCTCAGGATCTACTTGTAACACCAGACCTTGCCCAGTTGGGTCAATAATGACGACATCAGAACTTCCATCTGATCTTACCTCACTGTTTTTGTTTGTCTGATTTTCTAAATTTGCTTGACTTGCTTTAGCTGCCAATTCTTCTTGTTGCGCTTTCACTTTATTAATCGCATCTAAAAATGCAAAACAAAAGAGTTAGAAGATATATCTTGGTAAGCTTCAAGAATCCAAATACCTTCGAGATCACTAAGAGCTTTAGGTTTGTCCCAGACTGATTGTTTAGTTTTCGAGCTAAAATAGTATGGTTTGCCTTCTGGAGTTTTATATTCAGTCCACTCTGCTGCAGCAAGCCGTATCTCAGGATCTACTTGTAACATCAGATTTTGTCTAGCTGGATCAAAATTAGCAACATTACCTAACATTGGATGTGCCCAAAGCGCAGCTTGAGCAGGGTTCAGGGCAACAGATGGTGGAACACTAAATGGAGGAAAATTTGATAGCAACATAATTTCAACTAATTAAGAGTTAAATATACAAAAGTATCAATGAAACCAATGAAGTCAATAAAATGAATTAAACCATGCCACACCCTAAGATGAGGACAAAGAAAATCTAAAGATCAGACATCTAGGGACAAGATCCAGGAAGTAATACATAAATAAAACCTTGACCGCGCTTTTTAAATTTAAAGTCTCGTTAGATTTAAGAGTTTTAAATGTAATCTTTAATCAAGTTATCAGAGAAATAATAAAACAGCATTTAATTAAATCAATTAAATCATTAATTTCTCATTCCTTAAGATCAAAATCACATTTAATTTCAAACTAAAAATTTTTTAGCAGATGGCGATGACAAAAAATTGGATCATTCGATTGGTCTGATTGAACTTTATTTAGCGTTGACAATTTAATACCTGACTTCCAATCTCTTGTGATTTATAAACTCTTCAATTGAATCAAATCACATTTCTCTTGATTGATTATCAATAATGTGCTTTGTATGTCTTTCCTTTAATTTCATGGAAAATTACTCAAGCCTTGATATTTATCGTATTTGGCGCTGTAATTTTTGTGGATGTTTCAACCAGCTGATAATTTAAATAGATACAATCAACTTATTTTGAAGTTTTTTAAATACATTCAAATCTATTGGGAATCATTAAGGTGAATTGAAGTTTTTTTAAATATTGCCGAATTGCTTTCTAATCTTGTTTTTATACTTTTAGCCTACAAAATCATTGTAACGGTAGTAAAATCTACTTCATTGCTACTAAATATGAACTTCAATTGATTACCACCATTCATTTTTCATCTGACTTATGCAATTTAAATATTCGACTATGAGCAAAAACTCACCTTCGTCACCTAATAATCAAGTTGCCCGTCCACCATCTCGGTCATCATCACGTTCATCCACAACCAAGCCTAGTCGTCTACCTGGAGATAGTGTGCTCTTCGCTCCTGTTTATCAAGAGGAGAAGCTTGAAAATCTTCATAATAAACTGAAAGAATCTACATTTGAAGTCACTTTGATGAAAGAAAAACTTTTGGAAAAGGCGAAAGCTACTCTTAATCTGAATAGACTACCTCAACCAGGATCTTTTATACCTTTTTTTCACTTCGACGAATTCAAAGATGTTCATTTATCTTTTTTGCAACATAACCCACCCTACACTCCATGGTATTCAATAACTGAAACTTATTTTGGACAAGGAGTTATTGAACTTCATAAATCAGTTTATAATATACTTTTGGAGCACCAAAATGAAAGATATGGCCCAGAACAAAGTGAACAGATTAATCCTACTGATCATGACTTTCTGATCGACATTGATCTTGACGATTCTTATCAACCATCTTATACCATCACAAATTTACACTGAAAAGCTTTGATCATTGGTGAACAGCTAAACAAATCTACTGTAAAAAGGAAAAATCAGTCTCTTTAGTTACAGAGTACATGTAATTTGAAGCTAATCATGTTAATCAAATTTGTTTGATTTTAATTTCTGGAAATCGCTTTACATTTTATATTTTATTTTTAACAGGCCGGTCAGATTGAATCGAATGTAACTCAGCATTATTGTGTTGCTAATAAATATTAACTATTTAGATATTACCTAAAAAAATCATCACTGTATTGAAAGGAAAAGTTTGTAATTGATTATTGTGTTCGTTGTTGATTGAAGAATCTGTTTATCGGTTTTTCTTAACATTTCCTGACAATATTTCCATTAAGCTAGAGAAACTAATTGGTTTATTTGTAATTTAAAAATTGGAAGTTTTCCTTACTATCGTTTCAATTTCTAATCGATTGTCGACCGAGAAACGGAAGAAAGATTTATTATTAGTTTGATTAAAAAGCTGCTCGTCTGGGTCAGGTAACCCAAAAATTTGTTTTCTTTTAAAGTCGTTAAATCAATCAATTTGTCTCTTCTGAAAAAGATTTAATTATGATTTGAAATTAGCGGTTTAACGAAAATCCCTGAAAATTGGACAAGAAAGTAAACTGTTGAGCCATCTAGTGTTTACTTCGTAAAATGGTACGAATTTGATAAACATAATCAATGTAATTTATTAAAAATCAAATTATTTTATTGATGAGGTCAGCTTAATGCTACCAGATCAGCCATAAAGTCAACTATTTTATTACCTCAGTGAATACTGATTTTAATTTGTTCTCCAATCTATTCTCATTTGCCCCTTCAATCGGATGTCATTTGGATCAAAAAACGACTTAACAGCTTAGGAGCTCTTTCTATGGTAAGCATCCTTGACCAAATTTTTATTTCAATTTTCTAATTTAAATAACCACATGAAACAATCCATTTATTTTAATCCAAGATTATCAATTTTACACTTCGAGATATATAGCAAAGAAAAGAAATATCAGAATATTTCGTTTAAAGACCAATTTTAAGACAATATTGAGTAAGGTTAATCCATATAAACTTGCATGATAACAAGGTTAAAGTTCAAGCAAAAATATGAATGATCCTAGATTTTCGAGTCTAAATCATAAATCTACTAAAGGCAGGCAGATCGAAAAAATGGCCACTGAAAAACGTTTGTTAAAAGGTTGATCTAAATTAGAGATACAATTTTCTCTATAAACATGGACAACGTACGAGTTGCTTCGATCCTATTTCATAGATATTCACAATTGATATTGTCAGTCCATTAAATCTAAACAGCCCTGTAAAATATTTGCTAATATTTGTGGAGTCTTAAAATCATAATTATAATCCTATCAACATTAGTATATTGATGGCCAAATGACAAGAATCTAGTTATTACTAATCAAATGTCAAACTTTATTTACCATTTTTTGTTTTTGTTTCATTTGATTTGTTCATTATGAATTCAGATTTTTTAATGTGAATTTGCTGTATCTAAAGATGGATTGATAAGTGGAAAATATCAACAATTTATTAATAATATGAATACATGTTTAAAGAGGAAAATGAAGTAAACAGTTTAAGTTATAATTAATAGTTAAATGAATTTAGAGTCGAATTAATCACATAACAACAATTAACCTTGGTTGTGAATGTATTTCATTCAAGCAAGTCACTTAATTATTTTAATAGATTGCCTTGTTGTTATTATTATTGATTATAATTAACCAAATAAATGAAATCATTGACAGGGTGGATTTTGCAAAAGACAGTGATGGATAAGCTAACCTTATGATTAACTTGAGATCATGTGTTTGTTTTCAAAGATTCAAATCTTATAATCATCAAATGAGATAACCAATTGTTGATCTAGGAAACGATTCCGTTCCATCATCAGACTTTATCGGAATATCATATACTTTGTATCTTTGTTTTTATTATTTATAATCAGTTATCTTATCAAGTACTGATAATCTTTTATATCATGGATTCAAATGGATCAGTTTTAATGGCGTTCATAAAAAATGATGTTAACCATTACATTTTATAACAATTTAACGTGGAGGTAAAACCTTTTGTGAGGTCCAAAGATACGAATATGCGTGTCACAAATAGGCAGTCCAAAGAAAATGTAGCCAACCCAATGGGCTGTTTACTAGTTTAAATACTTTAAACCACTTTAAATAGACGAGCTTCTAATACAACTTTTATTCTTTTCTATTTTCTTATTTAGATATTTAAGTCAATACCTCTCTTCAAGTTGTTCAAGATAACCAAGTTTTAATTTTCATTGTTCGCCACTCTCAAGATGTCTAAATATTCTGTCTTGGACAAGTATTTGTCAGCAAAATTACCTGATGACGCTGTGAAAGTTACCTACGTTTGGATCGATGGCTCAGGCGAGCACGTTAGATCCAAAACAAGAACCATGTCAACGGTTCCAATGTCACCTAAAGATTGCCCGATATGGAATTTTGATGGAAGTTCTACAGGTTTGTTTTTTGTTTTTCTCTTTTGTTTCTTTCTTATTTCATTATAAATACTTACAAGTTAATTTACATTATTTACAGGACAAGCTGAAGGAAATAATTCCGATGTGGATTTACTTCCAGTTGCTCTCTACAATGACCCTATCCGAGGTGGTAACAGCAAATTAGTTATGTGTGAATGCAAAACAAGCAACGGAAAACCAGCAAAAGGAAACTTCAGATATTCTTGCTTGGAGGCAATGGATAAAGTTGATCGTGATTTTGAACCCTGGTTTGCTATCGAGCAAGAATTTATTCTTCTTGATTTAGATGACTATCCTCTTGGATGGCCTAAAGGCGGTTTCCCTGGTCCACAAGGTCCATATTATTGTGGTGTTGGTGCTGGAAGAATTGTGGCTCGCAAAATAATTGAAGCCCATTACACAGCATGTTTACAAGCTGGAATCCCGATTTCCGGAACAAATGCGGAAGTTTTGCTTGGCCAGTGGGAATTCCAGGTTGGACCCTCACGAGGTGTTGCCATTGGTGACGATTTATGGATGGCAAGATATTTGCTTCACTCTATTGCAGAAGAGGTCGACATTAAAGTCTCTTTCGACCCAAAACCGGTTCCAGGTAATTGGAATGGTTCAGGAGCACATACAAACTTCTCAACAAAACAAACAAGAGCAAAGGATGGGCTAAAAGTTATTGAAGAGTACATCGAGTCTTTGAGAGTGAACCACTCCAAGCATATTGGAAAGTATGATCCCAGAGGAGGTGCTGACAATGCTCGACGTCTTACTGGACTCCATGAAACTTCATCAATAAATACTTTCTCGGCTGGTGTTGCAAATAGAGGTGCATCTGTCCGAATTCCGAGATCTGTTGCCACTGATGGATGTGGTTATCTTGAGGATCGACGACCCGCATCTAATGTTGATCCTTATGTTGTCAGCGAAGCTCTCGTCAGAACTTGTTGCTTGAAAGAGTAATGGTGATTGTGGCATGATATATATTCAAGGCCAATGAAGCAAAAATGATTGATTTACTGGTTTGAAATGAAAAAAATAAATTTAATTTCGTGATTTAATGATAAAATTTAAAGCATCCGCTATTACAAGGCGAACCAGGCTGAATAGAGATTGACTTTGAATAGGCTGATGAAAAGTTTCTAATGTATCAGAGAGAATTGAATTAAGCAATGTTATTTGTCATCCACTTGTCACCACATATCTTTATCCTTGTTAAATGATTAAGATCTAATAAATTGTCTGATTTACTTTATTCAAACTTCATGGCAACTCTCCCAACTTGTGAAACAATTAGAGTTAATCTTTAGCTCAATATATGGTTAATCACACAACCAGTAACATTTGAGAAATATAATCAAATAATTTTAACCTGTTACTATCCATAAAATTGCAATTTAGTATTTAGATTTAACGTTTCTGCACAAATTATTACTGATTGCTCAACTACAATTATCTTTATATTCATTTCTTCAGTTCTTTGCAGACTTAAGATATTTAATTAGAATATTATATAATCATAATCCATAATATCCATGTATTAATCTCTCTAGTTTATCTTAATTTCTTGCACATTTGATATACCTTTTGTTCAACTAAAAAATAACTCAATCTCTTGTTTTTTATTGAATGTATTTTAATGCTTTCTGTAACAGATTAAGTAATCATTAAACATAATAATCATTTATTTTTTTCCTAAAGAATCGTTGTGACTGATGAAGACGGCATTAATTGTTAGATAATGAGAAACTGAAGATGAGGAAACACTTGAACTTATTGAAGTTGTTCAAACAAGGATAAATAATAAAAGCCTATTATTTATTTAGTTTTGGACACAAATGTTGCTGGAAATTCAACTGACTAATGGAAGTTGGAAGCAAAGTGTTCAATCTCCTTAGTTTAGCGAGAAAAACATCGTTTGATTTTGAGCAACAGAATTAAATTAATCTTTGCAATAAGATTATCATAAATACAGCCAAAGTCGAATCGAAGAGTAAGTTAATTTTATATTAAAAGCTAATTTAGGTGCAGAATACGTTCATCAATTGAAAAAATAACGAATAAATTGACGCTGAAAAATTGAGGTCTATTTTAATTTCTGTTGGCGCTTTTTTAACCACAAAATAACTGTTATCTCTGGTTACTAACAATTTTGATAATTAATATTTCTGATTGGAAACAGCACCATCTATTATTGATCAATATTTAACTTCCGTATTTGACAATCAATTAGAAATCGAAACAGTTTAAGAGAAAATTACAATCGTTAATTCATTAGATCAATTAGTATCGCTATTTTATATTCAACCACAATTATTAAACAGTTAATGAAGAAACAGTCACGTTAGGAATAATATGCTAATAAAATACAAATATCATCATCCATTGTAATCAAAAATCGCGTAATTTAACACAGTGGTTAACCAGCTTTCAATTGATTTTTGTTTAAAGATAAAAATAAATAAAATGAAATAAGTCTCACCTCACCTCACACCACTTTACTTTGTAAACAATGTTTATCCTTCGTAAAATTCAAAATGATAGCTAATTCAAGGAAAAACAACTCTTAAATGACGATGACGATGATTACAAGTATGATGATACAATAAATAATATTTCTTGTGAGCCTTTACTAGCTGAATTCATGGTCGCAAAAATTAGTCTGTAAGACTAAAATATGATTCTCGGCGATAAGAAATATTTTGTGAAGTGTCAATGACGAATAAAACGTTTCTATGGAATTGAATTGTTCATTCCCTATCATTGGTTTCATTCCTTACGAAATGAGCAGGTTGTAATGCAAAGAACGCGTTTATTAAACAAGATGAAAGTTGTAAAACCACAAGTAATTTTATAATTACATTGGACATTACATAAATTACACATTCGAAATAGTCTCTTTAGATTTTTGAAACAGAATGTCATGGTTATCATCGTAATTTTCTAATGGAAAATATTTAACATTTTTGTCATTATTAGGACGATGAGTTTTTTGGTTTGAAAATGGCGTAGATCGACTTTGGTTATCACCTAAATTGAGTTTGATTGGGTGTTTAAATTGCAGATAGATTGCATAGAAGATAATCACGATGGAGACCGAAGTGTAGATGTCAACTGGAATGGAAAATATGATCCAACTAAGGCAGGCGATAAGAATCAGTTCAATAGCAGACGCAAATGTTTTCAAAATAGAGTTGAGTTTTTTCAAGAAAATACTTGTGACGATACCACAAGCAGCATTATTGATTATCACAGTAATTACGGTTGGCTTCATGAGCGAAATGAATGACTCGACTGTTGGGTACTTTGATTTGGAATTATTAAATCCTTGACCAAAATAGACTAAAGCACCAATATTACATATTATGGAATCGATGTACATAAAAATATTATGCATTCCAATATTCAGTTGAGCTCCAGTTTTTTTAAGCAAATATTCGTTGCAAACTCCAGCAAGACATGAACATGAAAGTTGAAATAACAATAAAAGAAGATTTTTGATTACAGAATCAACAGCTGATTGGGATTGCTTTGGAGCTTCTTGAGATCCCAAGTTTTTAATGGCACAGCCAATAGTTAAAACAATTAGCGAAAACCATTGCCATTTGGTTAGCTTTTGACGAAAGAAACATTGATAAATAATTCCAGTGATGACTACTCTTAATTGTAATAACAGGTTATAAGTTGTGGGATCAAAATTGCGAAGATTTATATACATTAAGTTATTATATATACAGTAAAGTATAGATGGGATGAAATATAATCCAAGAAGTTTAATATTGCATTTAAGATCAACAGCAAAGTTGGAGATTGAACTGTCTTGAAGGTACCATAGAATTGATATAATTAATTTAACTAGTTCCGTAACTAGAACAGCAGCAATTGTACTATAGTCATAGTTATTAGATGTTTGAGATGCTTTCAGCAAAATACCTAGAAATAAAAAAAATGGTTAGTCTCATATAAAATTAACATTTACATCTTCCGACAATTTTTTCTTAGCTAATTCATCATGCAGTTTTCCGAAGAAGATTTTCACGCCGGTTAACAAAATCGTCGTATCTGAATAATTTACATAATGATTGTAATTATTGCTGATGAATTGACTCATCGAATCACTACTGTAACGTGGAAAACTGCACTTTGCCAAAACTGGTTGATGAAATTGATTAGTTTCAGCCGCATAGTAGACTAAAAATTACCTTGAAATACAAAGAGACCAATGTATGTAATAAAGGTAATCAATGTTCCATAATCGGGAAAAGTTTTGCTTAAATTCTTAAAACCATTCATTTTAGTCTGTTCAATCCTTGATCACAAATGAGCGGTCATGTTCTTTGAAAATACTAGAGGCTTCTGCTTCAATTTGAAGGAATATCGCAGGGTTAAAAATTGTTCACGATGATGGACTCCAAGAAAGGCATAGTTGATGATTAACATGTATGCTAATATCTAAAAGGTAAAGAATAAATTAGAATTAGAAAACGATAATGATAAGATGACAGTAAATTGACCAATGTTTTGAAAGAGAAAGTATCAAAACAAGAGGCTCGAATGGGTATATTGACTCCGCATCCTCAACTTACCTTAATAATTTTTTAAGATATTGCAGATTTACGAAATCAATAACGTAACAATGGAACTGAGGTAGATAAACCAAAGATAAAGATGACCAGAGAGCAAAAATAGAAAGAGTAAATCCAAATAAGATTCAATTTTTCCTTTAACACATTATAAAAGAGTGTGGCTTTAGACTCTTTTCCAATATATCTTCTGAAACATTAAACAATATTCAGCTAACAATGAACAAATCATGGCTTTGCGATACAGCATCAGTAACTATTAAACAATGTTGTCACACATTTATATTTATTCATTCGTTGATTAATGAGCTTAGCAAAAGAAAATTATTTACATGAAAAATGGTAAACTTAGTTTATTGGTATTGTTTACGCACCAAGTCTGAGTGGCTCTTCACCATCCCCCTTCTTACCAGATGATTTTGGCTACCAGTGCTTCAGTTACATAGTTCATGTTTTTGTTTATGCAGAGTTTTTGTATTGTTTAAAATTTATAATTTAGTATTTAACACCACCATTTAAACACCATTTCATTGTCTCCCCGAATTTCTCAGAAGTCTGCAATTAATCCCTCAATTAATCTCCCCATTAATCAGCCACTAAACAAAAGAAATCATCTGATGCAATTTTATCACCATTTACTATGAAAGGTAATGTTTTCATTGTTAATAGAATATACAAAAAATTATTACTTATCCAATTGAGATTACTATAATAAATTTTTCTCTTCTCAATATTTAGGTAAAGTTAAAAGTAAACCAAAATTGTCGGAAGCACCAACAGCAAATGCACCGGCATCGGATAACAATGAATCGGAAGACATTAAAGACAAAATGGACGAGTTTAATATACAATTGAATTGGTGTTTAACGAATCTTAAGGCTATTATACGAGGAGAAAGCGATAATAGTGGCACAAAGATACCTGAACGCAAAGTTGTTGAAGCTGGGCGAGTTTACAGTCAATTATCAGATCCGAAGACGCCATTTGTTAAGAAAAGACAACTGATGGCTAATTATTTCGGAGATTATCGTAAAAAAATGGCTAAAGAAGAAGAAAAGTTTCGATCTAAAAGCAGTCAACTTAAAATTGCAAATTGTCTATCGACCAATGTACCATCAAAGCCAATTGTTTGTAGAAAAAAGACAAAATTGAAAGAAATTGTTCCTAGCGAACCTTTCAAATTCAATTTTTCAGGTGATGTTTAGGTTATAGCTTTATCTTTTTGTAAATTTCAATTTTAATATTTTCAGTTTCAGTCATGTATAAATGTGTCAAAAATTTTGTTACGCAAAAAATGAATACTATTTAACAGTTTGCTATTATAATTGAGCTTGCAAATTTTCATCGATGTCTGTTTTATAATTACATTAACGTTACTGTGTTTATTTTAATGTTTCAATGTGTACATGGTTATGGATATGAAATTGAGTCTTTTATAAGAGAAGGGTCCAAGAAAAGATTATCTCAAGAAGAAACGAGATTCAATGAACGGGTCAGTAATGTCTTGTTCGTCGTTTCCGTTATTATCTTTGATTTCTTGCTCGATCTTACAAAGGTTTAAATCTCGTCCAGCCTCTTGAGTCCGAAGCTTAGTGATGCACTCACAAAGGACACCATGATTATGACAACGATGATCAAAAGAGCTAGATGACTGCCTTTATAAAAGAAACTGATTAACATTCAAAAGTGGAAAAGATTAGACACAAGATTAAGTTTATTTGGGAAAACAGTTTGACAAGATGGGAACATGATTCATTTTGTGGAAGATTGACTTACCTCGGTACTGAGTCATAGACTTCATAACTATCCGTGTAGCCTTTGGAGCCATACTTTCGTGATGATCCAGAGACTAATCGAGTTTTCTCATCAACAGTCTTCATATTTTCAATAGAATTGGATTCGACAATTGAATTAGACTAAAAGATTTACTTCACTGTGATTAAACTCCCTTTGTTGTATACATCAATACCTAAATTATATCCAGCTAAAGCCACCAACATTATCAATATATTTAGGAGAGTCAATATCAGTAAATCTTTCACAGGCTGATTTGACATTAAACAATGAAAATATGGAGTCCAAATTTCGTTGTGATTAATGTTAAATGAGCTGATTAGATGCATTTCCAAAGCACTTGCATTTGATTAAGAGCACCCGAATTATCAACATCTTGATATGAAAATAACAATGAACATTGAGTGCTTTTACAATTTGATTTTATTTATGTCACAAAACAAAAGCCTCACATCGAGGAACAAACACAGATAGCAATAACTGATGTAAATTGTTTTGAGTTGTAATCAGACTAAAAATCAGACCAATTATTCAATTTATTTCAAAGAAAGATTGAAGTCGCTCTCATCGTCATTAGTGTCAGTTTAGTTAAATTTTCAATTCATCACCGTTTTAATCTTGGATTGTGAAAATGCTAATACTTATAACTTAAGGTTTGAAATAGGATTTTAAATCAGAATTTTATTCTCATATAAGCATGAAATTGGCTGAAGTATCAATGATTCATATAAAATTTCTTGAATACACCGCAATACCATTGATCTGCCCAAAAATTTGTGAGAAAATTGCAGATAAACTCAACTTAAAGGGAATTTAGATTCAATACTTTCACACAGTTCCATGGTGAACCGTAATTTTGCAGCGGGACTGAGATCTTCACTTTCATTTCTTTTTTCTCACCAACTTGGTTAATACATGTGCTTAAATGGATAAAGGATTGTGTGAAACCTAAATGAAAACGCTTAGATTATATGATTGAGTCTCATTCATTTAAACACTTGCTTCAAAATCATCTCACAGCAATGTAATTCGAGGTCGATACCATAACAAGACAAATCATTGTCAATTAGCCAAACCAAATATTAAACTGATTTCATTGCCTTGATTTATTTTTATACATTTACAATGGGTGAAATGATTAGGAAATTCAAACTTCGGTTTGAATCAGGTATTACAATAAGATAATACAATAAACTCAACTCATATGTTAAATGGCAGTTGCTTTAAGAAGGGAAATGTGTGATTCACAAGACAAACAAACTAAATATGTGAAGGCAAAATATCCGAGGATAAATAAAGATTTGCATTAAATACAATCATATTATTGAGTTAAAAATTAATATTTTTTCTTTTATTATTAATATCATAATATATCAGTTGAAAGTGTCCAGGTTGATGGCAAGGTACTTTTAATGGCCCTCTGTTTTTGCGCGTTAAGTTTTTCTGCCCTTTTACACACTGAATTGAGTACCATTTATCACGCTCAATAATTGGTGAAGAGATTCTCATTAACTATCATAATTGACTGTGATAGTTGTCATGTCAACTCTAATGGATTCAGTTTTATCAGATTCAGTCGTTGTTCAGTAATTTTTTTAACATTTTTCATAGGATTCAGTAGTGTAACGGTTTAAAAAAATTCAAAAAATTGATGAGTTATTCAAGTTTATCATTATAATTTCTAGTGAATATTGATATTAAAGATAATCGAGGAAAAATGGATGAGTACAGTCAATTTATTCCGTTGAAAATTGCGATCAAATATTTAAGTGCAGATGAAATCACATGACGATTGAAAATTGAATCCAACCGTTGGTCAAAGTGTTAGGTAAGCCAATGTACATTTGAAAAATCAATAATCTTTTCGCTTATACGAAACACAATAAGATTTCCAATAGACATTGAGGGCAATTACTTTAATCATTTAATCGGTTGTGATTACAAAATAGAGATGAAAATTTCATGGGATATCTAGAAAGTTGCTTTAACTTGATTCAGGCTCAACCATAAGATTCACAATTTCTTCAAGAATTTTTTTATCAAATTTCCGTAAAGATAAATTCAAAATGAATTCTTTTCGCTGCAATGATAGTTCGACTGGTGATAAAGTCTTAAATGTATTTTCTGAAAAATTATAAAAAAAATAAATATAACTTTAGGTTATTCCGAGCAAGGCGCGATTCTTAAATTTAAGCATAAAAAGATGCCTAAAGGTGAATTTTAGATACTCACCGATTATGTGTTTCGAAAAATATCTTGCAACAGGTAGATATGTATCAGCATCTGAACCTAAAAGATGTCTAATATTGTAATTGTTTTTCTCAAATTCAACATTAATCCAGTGTGGGCCAAAATTATCAGCATCAGATATGACATATAAATTGAGCCTAGGAATACAAATGAACATAACGTTTACACCGTTTGATAATGTTCCCCTTTTAGTAATACTTCCTTTACTAACCATTTCATGTTCATGAAGGGTTAAAGGTTGATGAGAAACATTAACAGTAGACATCTAGGAATAAAAACAAAGATAATTCAGATAAAAACACTTAATTATACGGAGAAACCACAGATAAACAAAACGGAAAAGATAGGCTTACTTTCAAACAATTTGGTTTCAACTGACAACTTGTGAAATCAAAATTTCTGCCAATAATTTTAAAGATGGAAATTAAACTCTAACGATTAAAATAATACTCAAAGAAAAAATCAATCATAAACAGAAATAAAATCTGAAAATAATTAATAACCAACTACAGATAAGTGTTTAAAGTTAAGATTGACAAACAACAAGTTATCTAACCAATGGTAGTCATCTCCATGTCAACTCATTTAAAAGAATTGGAAATTAATTTTGAATTTCAGAAGCAGATGCAAGTTTTGCTTGGTAAAAATAAATGATGCAAAAAAATTAAATGTCCGTTAATTTTATTCCCAATTACAAATTAAATGAAATTCAAATATTTCGTTGGATTAAAAAGGAAATGAAATGACGGTTGATAAATAGTAAACGTTCCCTCTGAGATCTCCGCGGACCGCTTCCCCTTCTTCCCCCATCTTAGTTAGAATTTGAATTTCTTTAAGATGGCGCTTAAGATGATAGTGTCTCTGTACCAGCCAAAAGTAGCAAAAGTCTGTTAAAAGACAGGTTAAGTTTGAGTTGCGTTGATGATAAAGCAATGATGCTGACCTCTTCCTCTTGAAACCTCTTTCAAAATCTTCTGCGGCTGCTTACAAGCCTTACTTGTTAGCCTTTGTGTTGCAGGTTTAGGAATCAACTCAACTTTACCAATTCATGACCAACCTAAAGTTAATCTTTTCATTATTATCATTCCATCTTTTATTTTTATTTAATTTATGAATCAAAATGGCTGGTTGGGTTTGGTTATTTGTGATTTTTTATGCCCCTCTGTGTATTTCGTCTAGTACTCGATCTATCAAAAATTTCGATTTTAAAGAAAGTGAAGGTTCCATTACTGGAGCTACTGTGTTCACACTTGAGAAAAAGCAAGATGCTGAGCGTTTTGAGCTTGAAAGCCCCAATAGGTGGGTTACTGTAGAACCTAATGGTGATGTTAAAGTGAAAGAACCATGGGATTATGAACAATTAAATAAGGATAAAACCATCGATTTTTGGGTTCTTGTGAAGCGTCAAAATTATGACACAGAGAAACAACATGTTGTGATTAATGTGCGCGATGTAAATGATGAACCACCTTATTTTGTCAACCGGCCTCTCCCTATGCAAGCCGTAGTTCAATTAAATGCTCCTCCGGGTACTTCAGTGTTTAAACTTCAAGCCCGTGATCCAGACACTGGTCACAATCTCCATTATTTCTTAGTTCGTGACCGAAGTAAGTATCTTAAAGCTTAACCTATCATGCGCTTCCTGTTTCGCCTATTCATTTTTTTAATGCTTCTCTATGCAATTTTTTCTTTAGCTGGCGGACGTTTTGAAGTTGATGAAAGATCTGGTGAAGTCAGAACTAGAGGAAATGAACCATTTATGCTTGATCAAGAGTATGCCATTTATGTTAAAGCTGAAGATCATGCGGGGACAATCAACGACCGACAATACCAATCAACTAAAGAAGAAAGACTTTCAATCATGGGAGGTACAAGACCTCCACAATTTTACATGCCAAAATACGACGCTACCATTCCAGAAAATCAAAGAAAAGATTCCGATATTATTGAAATTAAAGCCAAATCTTTCGCTGATAGAGAAATTCGGTACACGCTTCGTGCTCAAGGAAAAGGAGCGGGTACTTTCAACATTGGACCAACCAGTGGCGTTGTGAAACTGGCTAAAGAATTGGATTTCGAAGATCTCCGCCAACCCAAGCAATACTCATTAATTGTGACTGCTACCGAAGACTCAGGTGGATTTTCAACCACCGTCGAATTAACAATCAAGGTAACTGATGTAAACGACAATGCTCCTAGATTTGAGCTTCCTGATTATCAAGCTCACAATGTCCATGAAGATATCGATGTAGGAACTAAGATTTTGGAGGTAAAAGCAACAGATCCTGATACTGGCAAAAACGCGGAAATTGTGTATTCTATTGATCGCAAAGAATTTAAAATTGATGATAAAGGTATTATTTATTCAAATGGCAGACTAGACGCGGATGTCAACAACACTTATCAAATGGTTGTACGTGCAACAGACAAAGGTGATCCCAGTTTAACTGGAACTGCAACTGTCAGAATATACACGGAAAATAAAAACGATGAACCACCCAAGTTCAGTCAGGATGTTTACACTCCGAATGTCGATGAAAATGCTGGACCATCTACTTTAGTGACTACTGTAGTAGCTAGTGATAAAGATGGAGATGCCATACATTTTGGATTTGCCAATGGAAGTAATAAGTCAGGAGTATTTGAAATAGAGGAAAGAACCGGAGTCATTCGTCTTCAATCAAACCCTTTTTCTTTGGACAAGGACAAATACGAATTACATATTACTGCTCGTGATGATGGATCTTGTTGTAAAGATGGATCAAGGATGATTCACACGAGTACGGCGCTTGTTGTTGTGTTCATTACAGATGTTAACGATAATAAACCAGTTTTCGAAGAATGTGGCTCTTATGCTCCAACAGCTCAAGAAGGTGCCCCAGCTGGCACTCATGTTATTACTGTCAAAGCAACCGATAGTGACAAAGGACACAATGGTCAAGTAAGATACTCAATAGTACAACAACCAAATCAAAAAGGTACCAAGTTTACTGTTGATGAAGTATCTGGAGAAATAAAAACCAATAAAGTTTTTGATCGTGAGGGTGAAGACGGACGTTTCGTTAGTATTACCGTCAAAGCTGTTGACAAGGGAGTTCCTCCTTTAGAAGGTGTTTGTTCGTTTAAGGTTGAAATCACGGATATAAATGACAACCCGCCATTATTTGATCGTCAAGAATATCGTGAAAATGTTAAACAAGATACTCAAGTTGGAACTAATATTCTAAGAGTGTCTGCTTCTGATGACGATGCTGATAACAATGGAGCTATTCTTTATAACCTCACTGCTGGACGTGACCCTTCCGACTTGGATTATTTCTACATCAGTCCTGACTCTGGTTGGATCAGACTACAGCGCCCACTTGATCGTACAAATTACAATTTACAAGCAATAGCAGTTGACAAAGGTATTCCACAACACACTGCCACTGTCGCAATAATTATTGAAGTAGTAGACCGAGCAAACAATCCACCAGTTTGGGACCAACCTGTATATGGACCGGTGTCAGTTAAGGAAAATATCAAAGTTGGAGAGACAATTCAATCTGTGCGTGCTTCTTCAGGCATTGCAGATAACCCTACAGTTTTTTATACACTAATAAGAGGAAATACTGAACAAACGAATAAGCACAATCATTTTTATCTGACACAACGGGCAGACGATGAAGGAATATGGGCTGATCTTAAGGTCAATTATCCTCTGGACTTTGAAAAACTGGCTCACTACAATCTAACAGTTCGTGTTGAAAATAACGGAGTTCAGCAATTAGCATCCGAGTGTACGGTTTATGTTGTTGTTGAAGATGTTAACGATGAAATTCCATTATTTACTGAGAGAGAGCAAGAAACTGTTTTAGAAGGTATGCCAGCCGGAACTAAAGTTACTCAAGTTCATGCTGTTGATCGAGATGGAACTAAACCATTCAATCAGGTGAGAATTGATACTGGTGTTTTTTTGTCTTGTTTCTTTGTTTTCGCATCATCAGCTCATTCACTCTTTCTTTCATCATTTTATAAAGGTTTATTATGCAATTGAAAAATCAAAAGATGGATCAGAGAGATTTTTCACTATTGATAAAGAATCTGGAGAAATTTTTACAAAAGATGAATTTGATCGTGAAGAGAAACAAGCTTATGCCGTTTTAGTCAGAGCTTATGATGGCGCACCCTCATCTAGGCCAGGAAGCAAGCCAAATGAACCAAACTCAGGTAAGTTTCATCTGATTGTGACATTTTCCTTACATCACCCTTGGGCAATTTTTCATTAATTCATCTTCAAACCTCTTTTTTTATAAAATTTCACCTTCAGTAACCAAATACATTCGTATTGGTATTGGTGATAAAAACGACAACCCACCCTACTTTGACCAAGCCTTGTACGAAGCGGAAGTCAACGAAGACGAAGATATTCAGCATACTGTTATCACTGTCACTGCAAAAGATAAAGATGAATGTAAGCATCATTTTACCATATTCTCATAAATTCTCACAGAAACTTTGAACGATAAAAGTTTCACTTATCATTGAAATATAAACTTAATCAATTTCAAATTTTAAACCCACAGCATCCAAGATTCGTTATGAAATTACGAGAGGTAATACAGGTGGTGCTTTTGCTGTTAAAAATGAAACCGGAGCCATTTATGTGGCAGGACCGCTTGATTATGAGACTAGAAAAGAGGTAAGTGTCTGAAACTTGATTTTTTCAATTCATTCTGCCAATCTTGATAACATGAATTTTCTTTAAATTATGGTTATCTGTAAGGTTATTTACAAGATAGATTGTTAGATTAATTGCTTATTATGCAAGCCCATATGCTCATGATTTGCTCCCACATTTCATTCCTAGTCTTAACGCCAATTAACATCAATGCTATATTCAATTATATTGATGGGAAATTTTAGAAATCTCATTGCTCATTAGTGATTTTAAACATCATTCATACTTTCTTCACTATATTAGTCTTTAACTTTCTGATTACTCTTGTATACGGAAATTGTATATTTTAACAAAACAAAGCAATACAATGAATCAATTCTAATTACATTTATCTATTTCCCTTACAAAATGACTCATCATCACTTTTTTAGTATAAACTTCGACTGGCAGCTTCAGATAATCTCAACGAAAATTATACACAAGTTGTTATCAGAGTTAAAGATGTAAATGACCATCCTCCTGTGTTTGATCGTCCAGTTTATGAAACTCAAATCACCGAAGAAGACAATACTAACCTTCCTAAAAAGATCCTTCAAGTCACAGCCACTGATGGTGACAAAGATAGACCACAAGGCATTGTTTATTTCTTAACGGGTCAAGGTACTGAAGATAAAGGCCTTTCTGATCGTAAGTTTGAGGTAAATTCAACGACTGGTGAAATCTATGTTTTGAAGCCATTAGACCGTGATTTACCACGCGGTCGATCTCAGTGGAGATTCACAGTTTTTGCTGAAGATGAAGGTGGAAATGGATTGGTTGGTTTTGCTGAAGTTCTTGTAAACCTAAAGGACATCAATGACAATGCTCCATTTTTCCCATCAAATATCTATACTGGAAATGTAACTGAAAATGGTACTGCTGGTATGACAGTTATGACAATGACTGCCACTGATTATGATGATATAAATGAAGGCCAAAATGCTAAGTTAAGATATTCAATCGAGCAAAATCAAGTTAATGAAAATGGTGAATTAATTTTCAATATCGATGAAGATACTGGAGTAATTTCTACAGCAGTCTGTTGTCTTGATCGTGAAACAAATCCTGAGTACACAATTAAAGTCGTTGCCATTGATGGAGGTCATTTGAAAGGGACAGGTACTGCTACAATTAAAATAAAAGATATCAATGATATGCCTCCTGACTTTACAAAGAAAGAATGGTACGTTGAAGTTGATGAAACGGAGGGAGATCAATTACCAGAGTTTCCTATATTAGTTGTCTCCGTTAATGATGGTGATCTTTTGGAGACAAACCGGTTCAACTATAAAGTTGAACCTGGCCAGTTTGGGTCTGACAAATTCACAATGGTAACAAATAATGATGGTACAGGCTCCTTGAAAGTTGCCAAACCACTTGACTATGAAGACCCTCGCCAGCGATACGGCTTTAATATAACCATCATTGTCAGTGATCATGGAGGTGAAACGACAGATCCATCACATATTAGCCGTGCCAAAGTTTTTATAAGGCCAAAAGATATCAATGACAATAAACCTGAATTTGAAAAGCCTAACATTGAAGTTACTGTAATCGAAAACAGTCCAATTGGTCAAACTTTGACTAAATTCGCTGCTACTGATGCTGATCAAGGAGGTAAATCAAAAGTTAGCTACATGATTGATCGTTCATCTGACAAGAAAAGACAATTTACCATTGATCAAGAAGGTATTGTCAGAATTCAAAGAACGCTTGACCGTGAAGATATACCCAGACATCATGTTAAAATTTTAGCTGTTGACGATGGTTACCCGCCAAGAACTGCCACAGCCACCTTAACTGTTATCGTTGGTGATGTTAATGATAATTATCCGAGATTTTTGAAAGATTATCGACCTGTAATCATGGAACATGAGCCTCCACAAAAAGTTGAAGAAATTTTGGCTACTGATGATGATGACCGATCTAAACACAATGGCCCACCTTTCACTTTTAGAATGGATCCAAATGCACCAGATATGATCAAAAACTTTTTCGATCTCACTCATGATCACAATGGTGCTAATGGTGACGGTATGGCAATTGTCCGATCAAAGGTTAAATTTGATCGGGAGGTGCAAAAAGAATATCAAATTCCAATTATTATTAAAGACAATGGAACACCTTCAATGACTGGAACCAGTACATTAACTGTTATTATTGGTGACATCAATGACAATAAGATGAATCCTGGTAGTAAGTCTATCTTTGTTTACTCCTTCAAAGGCCACTCACCTCCAACTGAAATTGGTAGAGTTCATGTAGAAGATCAAGATGATTGGGATTTACCTGACAAGAAATTCTTATGGGAAGATCATATTGCACACGAAAACTTTGAGCTCAATGCACACACTGGAATGATCATGATGAAAAATGTCACAGAAGGATCTTACTTTTTAAGATTCAAAGTTTTTGACCGAAAACATACGCAAGAAGTGCTGGCAAATGTTACAGTGACAGTTCGTGAAATACCAGAAGAAGCTATTTACAAATCTGGTTCCTTGCGTGTTTCTGGTGTGACAGCTGAGGACTTTGTCCGTACTTACGACTGGCAGACTCCTACTTATCAAAAGATCAGCAAATATGATAAATTCAAAAATGCATTGTCTGAAATCATGAAAACAAAACCAGACAACATTGATGTATTCAGTGTGATTACCAGACAGGAAAGACCACCCATCACTGATATAAGATTTGCCGTTCATGGATCACCATATTATGAATCAACTTATCTTGATGGTACAGTGGCTGTTAATCGTGACCATATTGAAAGGGAGGTTGGAATCAACATAACCATGGTTGGAATCGATGAATGTCTAATAGAAGGTCTTTGTGAAGGCAGCTGCACTAATGAACTGAAAATAAGTCGAACACCAGTTTTAGTTAACGCTAATCGAACTTCATTTGTTGGTGTAAATACATGGATTGAACGAAAATGTGTTTGTGGTGCTCGTGATTTCAGTGAACCCGAAACTTGCCGCAAATATCCACCTCCTTGTGCAAATGGAGGTCGATGTACCGATTCATCTGTTGGTGCTCTGTGTAAGTGTTTGAAAGGCTATGATGGTCCACAGTGTCAAGTCACAACTCGAACCTTCAATGGACATGGTTGGGCGTGGTTCCCACCTCTTCAACAATGTCAAGAATCTCATCTGAGTCTTGACTTCATGACTCCTTCTCCCAATGGACTCATCTTTTACAATGGGCCAATCGTTAGACCAGATATCGGTGTTCAAGTGGTCTCCGATTTTATTTCCCTTGAACTTTACAATGGTTACCCTCGATTGTTAATTGATTTTGGCTCTGGTACAACAGAGGTTACAGTGAGGACATTTGGTGATCTCCATGATGGTGAATGGCATCATATTGACATTTTCTGGGATAAGGAAACTGTCCGTATGATGGTTGACCATTGCTCTGGCACAGCAACCGATGTTAAAGACTCACGTGAACCACTACATATTGATCGATCCAAGTGTGAGAATATTTCACATATCGTTCCTTTTAATGAATTTCTTAATGTTAACTCGCCTCTACAATTGGGAGGTATTTACAAACTGCCCGAAGATTTGGATCAGTATTTCAATTGGATGTACAAACCTACCAAGATTGGCTTCACTGGGTGCATCAGAAACTTTATCCATAACAGTCAAATGTATGATCTCGGTTCTCCCGGTAGCCTTTCTAACAGTATGGTTGGATGTCAACCAGCCAAAGATAGATGCGATAGCAATCCTATAGCTCGTAACTGCCAACATGGTACCTGTGTGGCCTCATACCACAATGCTCGATGTGTTTGCCAACCAGGTTACTTCGGACCACGCTGTGATAGAGAAACTCAATCAAAAATGTTCCAACATAGTAGCTACATCAAGTATGCTCTTTCCTTTGAACCTGATCCTTACAAAACTGACATTCAACTTATGTTCCGAACTCGTCAAAAAGCTGGTGAACTTTTCCGTGCAACTAGTAAACATGGACGAGAATATGTTATTCTTGATATTAAGGATAAAAAATTACGATTCCGTTTCAATTTGAATAGTCTGAAATCATCAGAAGAACGTGAATTATGGCTTCCCAATATTACTGTTAGTGATGGACAATGGCATACAGTGCAAGTTTTACGTTTTGGTAGCACTGCATCAATTGCTTTAGATGGCGGTGGTGGACGACGTTTTAATGAGATAATTGATTACATCGGTCTCCATCAACTAATGACTGTCGAAAGGCAAAATGTTGTTGCTGGAGGTGATGTGCAATACCTTGGACCAGGAGTAACAATGGTTGATAATGATTTCCAAGAAGGTTAGTTCATTGACTCAATTCAACCAATCCTTCCTTTCTTTCTTAATTTGATTATTTGAGTCGTATCAATGATTGTTTATCTTATATCAAACAGATTTAAGGTCATTATCAAATGTTAATACTTGGCCATTATCCTCTTTTATCCTAAAATTTGAAAAGTATTACTAATCAAATGATTCATCCATTCATTCATTTTTTCTTCTATTCTTCCTTTTTTTCATTGTATTGTATTTTCACATCATGTTATTGTTTAGGTTGTATGAATGACATAAGACTGGAACAGCGTTACTTACCAATGGAGAACGGATCTGAAAATGCTGCTGTAGTTGAATTCCGAAGCCTTATTGATGGCTGTCCATCAAACAACCCTTGCCATTCAGTAGCGTGCTCTCGCCCGTTTGTTTGTTATGATCTCTGGTTACTACCTGATTGCTCGTAAGTCTCATTATTCCAAGATTACCTTTTTAAAGCTATATTTTTCATGTTTAGTATTGTTTAATTTGTTTTGTTTGGAGGGGATTTGTATGGACAGAAACCTTTTTATATTTCACCTTTCAACAAAATAAGTCAGCATCATCTCTGTCTTTATTTCACTCATTCTCTATCAACATTTCTTTCTTGGAAAAATCTTGCTCGTTTTCTTCTCATCTATTGCTTTGAACTCAATCAGATAATAGAAGCGATTTCTATTGCTTTTGTAGCTTCCTCTAACAGATGATTTATCGTTATTATTTCCAAAACAACACAAAACATTTACTGTGAGGCTACAAACTGAGATTATAATTGTCCTATTCTTTTTGCTGTTAAGTCTTTATCACAGCTAAACTCACCCTCTTTATTTCATCATTTATTTATGTAATCTTTTCTCAATATTTTTTCAGCTGTGAACCTGGATTCATTAGGACTGAAGATCAAAATAATTGCACAGATGCAAATGAATGTCTCACTGACCCTTGTCTTAACGGTGGAACTTGTATAAATCGTGATAAAGGCCAGGGATTTTATTGCATATGTCCAGAAGGATTCTCTGGTGATGTATGCAATGCTTTGCGTCAAGAGAAGGTTATGCGATTGAGTAATGCTGCCTTGGCTACTATTCTTATTTGCCTTCTTAACATCTTGAGTAAGTGTTTTTTTGTTTGTTTAACAGTCCACTCTTTAGCCATTATTGCTGTCATCTTATTAATGATAATTTTTTCTCTGTCACAGTTTTACTGTTAGTTATCTTCGCTTATTCCCGAACAAGACGGACCGATCAAAAATTTGGCCATGGAGATATGGATGATGATGTGCGTGAAAATATTATTAATTATGATGATGAAGGTGGGGGAGAAGATGACATGAACGCTTATGATATAACTCCATTAAGGATACCTATTGATCCCCATGGATTAAAACAAGATCCTAAAGGGACGCTACTTAAATCTGGTCGACAAAGGCAATATCCCCCAGGCGCTCACTTAGATATCGGGGAATTTATTCAAGAAAATCTTAATAAAGTCGACTCAGACCCTAATGCACCGCCTTTCGATGATCTTAGAAACTATGCTTACGAAGGCTGTGGTAGTAACGCTGGATCTCTTAGCTCACTGGCATCTGGTAACGAAGATAACGAACAAGATTTTGACTATCTAAATGGATGGGGCCCGAGGTTCCAGAATTTAGCGCGAATGTATGAACGAGGAGAAAGTAAAATAGAAGATTAAACCAATAACTAAAGATGATGATAAGTCATTCTTGATAAACTTCAAATTGCCATGACGTCTCTATTCAAAAAATCTTTTTATGTGTAAAATACTTAATCATGCTCTCATTTGTTTTTTTTTCATCCAATATAATAAATTCATCTTTTTTGTAAATTAATCAATTTTGTCTCCCTTTTCATTTCTCAAAATAATTGTACATTCTTTCATACTCCCTTTAATCACTAGCAATTCGAGTTTAATAAAATAAACATTTCTCAATTTTTAATTTATAAATTTATCTCTTATTTTTTAAAACACTGATGAATGATCCTATAAACCCATTCTTTTGTCATGGAAATATTCATATCTGTTATAAATTAGAATAGTAACAGTCTATTTACCCTGAAATCATTCAATGCATTCCTCAGATTTCAAGGTTTCATTGTCAAGAATGAAAGTGATTTTTGCACTTTTGATTTTTATTTCATTTGATTTAACTAGGAAATAAACAAAGTAAAATGGTGTTAAACCAGGTCATGATCAAGATGAAATTATTAACAAGAGTTGAATAAACTCTTGCCAAGATTATTGTTGATGTAAAGGCTAACGCCATCTATGATATTCATTAATGAAACACAGAATCTTTATCACAGCTGATAACCATTTGGTGTATCGGTCTTGATATTTTTTAGATTAAAAATATGTTTTGGTTTATGTTATTGTGATTTAAATTTAATTCGTGGTTGATAATGTCATTAGTCAGCTGTAAAAAGCTTTTGGATTTATCCAAACAGCTCGTAAATCATCTTATTTTACCAAATAGAGGTGCTAAGACCAAATTTGCTGCTTATTTTCCTGCTAGACCATTTAAATTGCGACCTGATAAGTTAGATGTTGGAATGTCCGGTGCTTCATACCAAACTACAATTCAAAGAAAACGCCAGGTTACTGATCTTAATGTCCCTGTTTTTGGTGAAACACCTGTTGAATGCTTAAAATGGACTAATTGGAAAATGTTAAGAGACGTTAGACGAAGATATGTCTACTCTTACCATTTTCCGTTGAGTAATAATCTAACCTGTTTAATGAGAAATAATATCCTACCAACAACTATAAAGGTATTTTCCGTTTTTCAAATCCTCAATGCTTGGTTTGTTATATCGATCGATTTTATTTATTGTCTTTTATCTCCTTGTTTCAGGAATTAGCTCTGAATGAAATGGGGGAACTTCCTCGTGCTAGATACAGTGGTTGGCTCGTCTGGAGATGTGGAATCACATCAAGACCTAGAGGAAAGTATCTAAAGTTCAAAATGTCCCGTATCGCGTTTAGAAACTTAGCTGATTACAACTTCGTATCTGGAGCTATGAGATCTTGCTGGGGTCCATAAACTATTTCACAAATCAACAATTAGTATGGCACATCTAGAATTAGTCTGTAAACTTCAATTAAATTAAATATTTGTAAATCAAACTTTTTCGTTTTTAAATTTAATAACATTCTTATGGAACTCGATAACATAATAAATTAATAATAGGCAAATCAATAGTGTTCGAGTTGCAACACAGAAATCTCGTAATGCCTCAAATTAAAAGATGTACTAAAAGACTTGAAATAATTCCAACAATCAGAATAATGAATGGGAAAAAGAGATAAAGTAAAGTGATCGAAGCATTGATGACTTGTTGCTCCTTGTTATTTTCATCTAAACATGAAGATGGTGTCTCGAATCCAGTCAGACCTTTAACCCCCAGCTTTTTAACTCTGTCGTGTTCAAAAAGGCCAAACTCAGTTGCTGCATACGATCCTTTAGTAATTACATCATTCACTGATTTAGGAGCAAACTTGTTAATGGCAATACCCAGAATGTGTTTGTAAATGGGCATTTCAGATAAAATAAGTGGCTTTTTATCTTCTTCCTCTTTCTCATATAAACATCCATAAGTTTTCACAGATGCATAAGCTGAATCATCGAGAATACTAACATATCTGTTCTGTTTAAGCATGTCGAATATATCGCCAGTATTTTTTTCAGCCAAATTCACCCAAATAGCCTGATCCACAGATCTGCGAGTATTCATATCTGTCGAATCGTTCAGCAACTTTCCACAATTAGCTGGTAAAAGGAAACATGGCCTGAAATCGTGATTAATAACATCAGTAAATGATGTCAATTTGAGATAATCAGATTGCTGCAACATTCCTGTTTTTATTGAAGCTGACAATAATTTACTTGCGATCAGATGAGCAATAATGAAGATGAGGAAAAAAAATTTTCTTTGAATTTGTTCACTCACAACGAAATACTGAGACAAAAGGTAATCAAACTGAGACCAGAATATATTGATGCCACTGAAATGATGGTTATATTTAAGAACGAAAGAGTTCATTAAAATGAAAATGCTGGAAAGAGCTAAGAAGCAGATCCAAAATGGGAAATCAAATGAAAAAATGAAGTCGAAAAAAAATGCCTGTTCTGTTAAAGTTTTCCGTTCACTCGAATATGAGAAGTAGCAATTTCTTTCCCATACAGTTGGTAATAAGGATAAATTTTGACCAACACTCCTCAATCCATCCAGACCAATTACTCCAGTAAAATCTATTTCTCCACTTTGAACATAAGATAAGACCCCATTGCATGTACCGTAATCAGGACAAAAATTTACTGGTAATACGGTCATTGGATGAAATGTTACATTCGTTTTGTTAATAATAAAATAATAAAAATTTAGGATATAAGGAGCAAGAATACCATCTAATTTTGAATTTTCAGTGACGAACAGTAATGGTGGAGAGTTGACGATTCCTAATTGAATTGGACGCATAATTGTATCAAACTTTAGCGAGCAATAATAGATCAAACGTCTGAGTTTAACTTACAATTGTTAGTGATTGAGATTGATAAGTGACCAACAAAATACTATTACCTTGTAAGGTTCACTAACATTGAGTCTCACGAATTGAACAACAAATTTGCCTGCAAAATATCGTTAAATATTGAACTCTCTGCTGTATTAATACTCCCACACAGTTAAAGATATTTGTAGGAAAATTTATAACCAATTCAATATAAATGGATCGATTTCAAATGAAAATGTCACTGCCATGGTTATCATTTTATAAGTCATGGCTTAACTTTGATACAATACAATTTGATATTTTGAAAAGGTTACAATTTTCAAATATTAATACATGACTTTTAAAAAAATATCAATATTAATAAAAATAATTATCCACCTTATACATGATCTATAATTGCCATTTACAAAATCTGTATAGCAACCCGAATATTTAGATATCTGGTTGATTATTAGTCTGGAACACTTTCTTTCATATTTGCTGCGAAATTAACTTTACATTTTTAAATTTACTTCGTATTTACTTTCTTTATAAAATCTAACTTGTTCATTTTTAACAAGCTAAATTGTTTGCTAGATAAATAAATGTGGACTTTAAAGATTCCACACAATATACAATATATTTTTTCTCTTTCAGCGATTGTAAAAGATGATTATTTGTCAATTTGAGTTGGATTTGTTACAGATACTTTAGTGAGCTTTTGATTTTTCCAGCTGATTGTTTGCGACCTCGAAAATTTTTTGGTAAAACCAGATGAAAATTTCTCTAGGAACTAATTGTCCGAGCAAAAGAAGAGGCTTGATATAAGGTGAAGCGCAAATATATCTGTACAAAGGTTCTGGGTCAGTTAAAGCTTTAGCAACGGTCCGTGAAACTTCACCAGGATCTTGATTAGCACCTAAAGCGTTCAATTGGATGAGTGTGAAAAAGTCGGCAATCATCTTTTTGTAAGATGATTGACTGAAAACTTTCTTGATTGAAGCATCTGTGGTGCTCCAACATTTGTCGTCATGTTCATTCAAATTAACTGTCCTTAACATATCAGTTCCATAGAAATAAGGTTCGATTGTGGTAACTTTAACACCAGCATCTGCAATTTCCTCTCTTAAACAATCACCAAATGCGGTGATACAATGTTTGGACATGCAGTAGGCAGCTAATGGTGGCAATGAGACTCGAGAAGCAATCGACGAAAGGATTACAACTCTTCCTTTCGATTGTCTTATGAGTGGTGAAAATTTACGAGTTACTTTGACAACGGCAAAAACATTTACATCAAATTGATCTTTAACAAAATAATTGAAATCGCCACATTCAATTGGAGCCATTCTAAGAATGCCAGCGTTATTAACTAAACCCCAAAGTTTCTCATTGCTATTCTTCTGGCTAAGAGTGGAGTTAATTGTTTCATAAGCAGCATCTAAATCTTCATCTTTTGTGACATCCATTTTGACCACAATTAGTTGATCAGGTTTCTCTGCCTTTGATTTTAAACTTTCAGCTCCTGGTCCATTTGGAAACAAGCAACCAGCAAATACTTTGAAACCCATTTTATTTAATAACAATGCAGCTCCATGTCCAAAGCCTGAGTCACATCCTAAAAGGCAACAGAAATAAAGAAAATAATTAGCTAATTGGTTGAATAATGGGTTGAGTTTACTTTTATTTGTTCATTATTAATAATCAAACGAATTGCTTGGAGCTGGGGAAAGTGTTCAATTTTAATTCAACCTATAAGGAAGTAACGATTCAGGGCAATCGATGAATGGATAAATTGTCGAGTCAAAAATTAAATAACTAAAGTAAAAAAAGATTTAAGTAATTTTCCTTTTATATTTTTTGTATCAAATGATAATATCATTATATGATGAGAGCACAAAGACAAGTTAATTTACAATAAACTACTTCAAGAGTAAATTATGATTTCAATATGAACCAAAAAATGATATTCAATTTCCTCAATCATTTTTGGTCAATAAATGTTAAGTCAACAAATTGATCATCACTTTTCTGATACAATCAAATACAATCTAAAACTGTTATAAGCCTCTTGAATTTCATGATAAAACATGAAAACAAACAATAAATTCCACTTAATGGTTCAAAGATTCATTTGTATCTTTGAGAACAGTTTTATTCACAATAATATTTCAATACTTTAACGAGCTCCTTACGTTATCCTCCTCAACGATAACTTTCAATAGCTGTAATCAAGTCTTAAGCCTAACCAGCCTTAAGGGAAACATTTTCATTTTGATACAGTAATTTGGAAGTACTTCAATTTCAAGTTCATGATACAGACAAGTTTTTTTTTTCATTCAATTTCAGTGAAAAAGTAAGTGAGAAAACTTGAGTGGGTTAAATATTTTTTCACAATTTAAACGAATTGTGGTGTAAATAAACTAAAAAGAAAAAGGAAAGACATGAGTAAATTGTTGAAGCACCAATTGAATCAAAAAGGGAAAAAAATATCAGTTTATTCGCAATCAGATTAAGAATGGAAGAGGAAACTTTACATTCAAATTATTTTGCATGCAATTGAATAATAACGCTAAACAATGATGGTTTAAAAGCATTAAGCGTAATTAAATTGCCTAGAGCGTTGAATAAACAAAAATTGCAAATATTAATATTGTCTGTAAAATATTATTTTAAACTATCTAATTCAAGCCATTTGGTGTCTTTTGCTGTTAAAATGCTAGGCTGAAATGCTAAAAGTTCATTTTGGTCTCAATCAATATTTATTTATTCTAACTTGTGATGTTGTTAATGATTCTAATTTCTGATTCCTTGTTATTTGCATATTTATGAAGAAACTAGAAGTTTAAGAATTAGCAATTTCAGGTTTCGAAAGACTGATGTCATGTTTCAGGCAATTGTGCATTTGAACATTAGCTATGGAGACTATCAACTAATTGTCTGTGGACTAATGAGTTTGTAATAATTTTATCAGTGTCAATAAGAAAGTTAATGAGTTTTGAATAAGGATTTGTTACAAGCTAATGCAATCGATCCTTTCATCATTAGATATTTTTGACCACTGCCATCTAACAAGGGAAGGTTATCTAACGATTTGATTTATGAAATGATAAATTGATAGGAATAAGGGGGAAATAAATCTGGTGAAATTTTTCATTCAATTTCAAGCACTGGAAGACAACTTCGATTATGAAAATTGCCCTTGTGATTTTGAAATGATAAAGTTGACAAATTACGGAGCAATCAGTTATAGCGTTTTTGATTACGAGATTTGCAAATTTCTGTTAACAGTTTTTCATGAAGTGAACTTGGAAGTTGACAGATTCAAAATATGCGATTAAATTGAAAGGATTGCAAATCAAGTGGAATTAGCAGATTGAAAAACAATTGAGAGCTTCAAGTGTTGGATAATAAGTGTTTAGTGATAATTAGAGTTATGTTGAATACTATGTATCATGTTTATGCAATGTTGAATAGAGAGCATTCAATGGGAATTATGAATGCGTGCTCAGTATACAATAATTTACATCATAATTAAGTTAACAATTTCTGCAAATTGAGTGCAAATTAATGAAACAAATGATAAAAAACTTAAACAAAATTGAGAGTTTGACAGTAAAATTATACTTAAAGAAACCCGAAAACGCAAAACTGAATGAAGTATTACATGAAAGTGTACAACAAGAAATGGGGAATTGCATGATTTTTTTAACTCATTAGATCAATTGTGCTTAATACTATTAGTAAATTAGGTGAGGTCAGTTAAACGGAAGGTAGACCTTGAAAGTCAATCAAGTCTAACAAATGTTTCGGTTGTATTTGTGTTCAAAGAGTAACAGTCATAACGATTGTAAGTCGGTTGATTAAGAAACAAATGATTTTCAAAATCATAAAGTTAACCTTATTGGATTGAAAAACAATTAAAATTAGTGTATGGCAACTGAAGCTGATTAAGGAAAGTTGAACCGAAAAATACCATTAAACTTGAACAAAATCTGCACAATCTAACCAAGATAAAGTTCAGAATTCATTATAATCAAGATATTTAGCCTGACAAGTTCATATTCATTTTGACATTATCATAGTCTTACATCGTTTTTCAATTACTAAATGACTACATTAGGAAATACATTTTGATTAATTCCTCAACAACATGTAAATGGGAAATTAGGTGAATTATGTAAGCAAAATAAGCTGAAATAATCATAGTTTTAAATTAAAATAATTAGATAATAACTAACCAATATTTGAATAGATTAAAATAATGACTTGAAGCACAGAGAATCAATTTTGCAATAGCTGACTGTTCACAAAGGTAAACAAGGATGTAAATTAACAAAATTTTTAGCTGCAACTGTTTGCGTGATATTAGTAATAAAGAGACGATTGTTTAAGATTTAATTGACTTACCTGTGACTAGAACGGCCTTGCCTTTAGGATTTACCTTAGAAGCAAAAGGCTTGATGAAAAATGAAGCTAAAATGGGTCCAAGTTCCCATGCAAAAACAGCAAGAATGGTGAGGATACCCAAAAAGTTTACAAGGGTTCGGAAAATGGTTGAATACTGATGTGCGAAACATAACAGTAGGAACGATGCTAAAACAGCTTTGTATTTAATCCTTGACCAGATGAAACAAGAGAAATGGAAAGAAAGAGGAGACGAAAGGAAGAAAAAATGGGTTCATAAATTAGTTTTGTGGCTAACAAGAGTTATGATGCAGGAAATTGCTTTAACCGATAACACTATTGAGGTTTTGGTTTTAAAAATGGATGTTGTTAGATTGTTGCTGGTGATAAGACCAGGAAAGCTATTGGGTTAAAATGTTTGGACTTTGAAACAGTGAGTCTTAGGGCAACTCACAGCTCAAATGTCATAACACGAGATAACATAAGGTAAGAATAAACTGTGACTACTTACTCCATTGTATATGAACTATGATGAATATTTGGTTGATTTGTTGTAAAATAAGTTGATGGCAAAAGCACAGGAAAGTTATTTTATATGAAACAGTTGGATGGTTGAATTATGATGGTTATAGCCTAGTTTAGAGACAATTCATTGGAATTATAAGTAATCATTTTCCTTTTCATTGATAAGATAGATGAACAAGTTACCGATGAGAAGCAAGATGGTGCTGATGATGTCGATGAGTATGATGAGCTAGCCATTAAAAAAGTGAGTAAAAGAATGATAGAGAAGAAATTAAAGTCCAAGTGAGAGATAAAAAGATGAAAACAAAATTTGAGTGTTAGGTTTAGTCGCAAGCTGTATAATCACTTTACATGAAGAAATGAACAGGTTGATGGGCTGAGAAATTGAATTGAATGAAAAAAAAGGTTGAGTGAGGTAAACGTGAAACTCACAGTTGAAAATGAGAGGGAAAAGAATAAGGATAGAAAGAGAAGAAGGGAGGAAAAGAAAGAGAGGAAAGAAAGATTGACAAAAACGAGAGTAAACTGAAAATGTTTTGCTTACCTTTAGGTTGTCCGACTTTTTTTTAACCTTTCTGTCCAATTAAAATTACTGTTAGGTGATTTCAGGGTTTAATTTCAGGTTTAATTCAGGTTTGTTTTTCTTCTATTCAGGATTGATCATGTTGAAACAGTTTTGACATAATTATAATTACTTTTGATCACTATCTATCTTAAAGATTTGATTTTTTAAAGGCAAAACAATTTTCACTTGTTCGCTATGTTAACCACTAACACCACACCAACAAAATGGCAGCAGGAGATCAACTTAAATACATTTTCATGAAACTCTTTCTATTTATAATTATCATTGTTTCTTTGATTGTTTCACTTCCTTATTAAATAAAAATGGTCAATAGAGAGCATATTTAACGGGTTAATCAGTTCATCTTCATGCGTCAATCCAGCCTCAAATACAAACCGAGTTTTTCCTTAACTCGTGTTTATGGAAAAACAGAAACACTGTCTTCATTTCTTGCATATTTAAATCATTAAAGATCTAGTTATTAAATTTTCACAGTCACTTTACTAGATTAAACTAACCAGATTTGCGTAGCATTTTGATTTGCACAAAATTCATTCATTTTATATCATGGTAGTAACATTTTTATTGGTAATCAATTAAACACCTCAAGATGTAATGCGCTTTTTATTGTTGATCCAGTAGCACTTAAGCTAGTAAAGTAAATACATTTCAGTCGATATGAATTAATGTTTGCATTTGCGTCAAAAGCAAATTAAATTAAAAATGGATAAGATTAATGTTACAATTTAATAAAAAAGACAAAAGTTGATTGTAACAAAAATGAAAATAAAATGTTCAAGCTCGAGTGAGTATTCATAACAATTAACTGATGATTTAAATTCAATGATCAATTAGCAATAAGCTTCAATCAATTAACCTTGATAATCAATTGGTTTGATAAAAAAAGATGAAAAGTAATTGACCAGGACGTGATTTGAACACGCAACCTTCTGATCTGGAGTCAGACGCGCTACCGTTGCGCCACCTAGTCGTTAGGGTTAATCGAGTTCTATTTTATTAATGAATCTATTGCTGCTTTTCATTAAAAATAGTTTATCATTTTGTGTTAATTAAATGCTTAAGGATGTTTTTGATAACTAAATAGATATAATAACAATTAAGTTCAACTGAGCTCACTCCAAAAATTACCAAGAATCACGTGTTTTCCAACTACAGGACATTGAGAGCAAAGAAGACCATCTAAAGAATCTGTTGTCGAAGAGTAAAGGAATATAATTAATCACAAGTTAAAGATCTTTCTGATGGGATTAGATATGATCAGGCCTGATTAATGTTACACAGCTGGGCAAATTTTCGATCGATTCTCAATATTATTTGTTTCTATTGTTAACAACTAAGCTAAAAGATAAGATTTGCAGCTATTTTAGCATTAGAACATTTCAAAAAGCTTTATTTTAACAAAAGATGAAATTTGAAACTATTGAATTGGTGTTTCAAAATCAGCCTTTAAACAAATTTATATTGGTCAAACTATTGACTTATTACAATATTCATAGGCAATTATTTCAATCAATTTTACAAGACTCGAGAAAATATTGAAATTTCACGATTTTAGTTTGAATTGAGCGCCTTGAGAAACCTCGTGATTAACATGTTTTGAAGTTCCTTCAATGTTGATCAGTTGGACCGGTTACAAAGAACGAATATTTAATTGTTGCTTTCAAATATCATTACATGTTGCTTAAACGTTCTATCAAGATATTAAAAAAGTCAGGATTTCATTATCGGCCATTCTCTCAAGCCTTATCTCTATTTGATATTGCAGAACAAGTTTTCAGTAGTGATTCCGAAGAATCAGGATTTGTCAACCAAGTGTAAGTCACATTTTATCGCTCTTGTTTGTTATCTTTTAATTAAATGGACTGTTTTTTTATTGCAGCCCAGGAGTAAAGAAATGCTATTACGAAAAAGGATGTCGAGTCGTTTATCCCTATTTTTATGTCGCTCAAGCTTACTGTTTGGGATCTTGGGCAGGGAAACATGTGAATGAAGTCTACTTTAAAGACAGAAGACAACCATCAAAATATTTATGGGTAATCATTCTGAACACTGAGAACTTAATTGGATTTAATATTGATTTTGACTTTGCATTTTTTTAATTTCAATTCTTTGTAGAACCAATATATAGAAAATGGTTGGATTAGAGTTAACAAGAAAATTGTTAATCCCGATTATATCATGCAACTTGATGACATATTATCTCATGTTTTTCATTTTCATGAAAATCCGATTGTTGATCTACCATACAGGATCAAACATTTAGATGATGTTTTCATAGTTCTTGATAAGCCTCCGGGAATTCCGGTAAGTCATCAAAAATGATTGTTTATTTCTTGCTCATTGATTGTTTGTGTTTCTTTAATTCATTTGTAGATGCATCCAGCAGGAAATTATAAATACAACTCTTTGATGTCTATGGCTAAACAAAGATGGCAATCAGTTTATGGTAAATAAAATTAGATTTGTTAATCTAAATATTCACCAATAAATTTATGTTTAGGGTTCAATCGAATCGATGCCGCTACATCTGGTATTGTAGTTCTTGTTCGTAATCAAGCTAAAGCCAACGAACTATCAAACCAGATGGCGAATAAACAAATAACCAAGGAATATGTCGCAGAAGTTTCCGGGAATTTTCCTCAGTATGCATTTTTACTCGTTTATATTGTGCCAAAACTTTGATTCTTCGAACTAAACATTTTTCTTATTCTTATTTAGTGATGAAATCGTTGTAAATGCACCTCTATCTCGATGTTTCAAAGAATTTGGTCCAGTTATAGTTAATTTTAACTCTGGTATTTCTAGTAGTACCTTAATTAAAAAAGTTAGATACAAGACCAACACTGGAACTAGTATACTCTCCTGTTTTCCGATAACTGGGCGATCTCATCAAATAAGAGTTCATCTTCAATATTTAGGATTCCCAATCATGAATGATCCTATTTATAACTCACCTGCTTTTGGACCTAAATGTGGAAAAAATGGTGACTATGGTGGTCTATCTGAATATGAGGTGTGTTTCAAAGTTCACGAAAATTTTATGTTCATTTATACATATGTTTCCATTGAGCTTGTCACCATTCTTAATCAAGTCTACACAACTAATTCTCTATGCTTAGATTAAGGTAATTGATTTGGGGAAAAGGGTATATTTTGATCCTTATTAATATATTCTTATCATTATTATCCAATAATAAATATACGACTAAATAAACTGATGAGACTTTCGTTAGATGATTAGACTTCAAATGGTGACAAACTCAATGCATCTGTATATGCATGATTATGAATTATGTTTTATTTTTTATTGCTAGATTTATCGAGCAGATTGTCTGGAAGCTAAAAAGAAAGTTGACGAACTACTGGAGGATTCAGTTGATGTTATAGACGAATATGACAATTTCTTACCGGATTATCGCACAGATAGATGGGTTGAATTTACTCATAAGTAAGTATAAGATTTGATTCCATAATTTACCGGTGCAATATTGATATTGTTTTCATCTGTGGTTTTCAGTAATCGTTATAACCCTGATTTGGATCTTTCCTGTAAAGAATGTCGTATTTGTCAATCCAATACCAAAGAGTTTATTCCTATCAGACCTAAAAAATTTCTTCATCTCCATGCACTTAGATATAAGGTAATTATTACCAATCAAGACAAATATTTGATTATTTTAATTATTTATTACTTTATCAATTTTACTTCTAACTATAAATGTTGTTGTACAAATTGATCTAATTGCAAGTTATAGTTAACCGATTTAATCCATTTCATTTTTCTTAAGGGTCCTGATTGGGATTTTTCTGTGAGATTGCCATATTGGGCGCGCTGAAACAATCAGATGCAATTTTCACTTTTCCAAATGAAAATTAGGTTAAATAAACTTATGTTATCATTTGGTAAATTGGACTATGTTTCAGATGTCACAATCATGTTTCTGAAATCAAAAACCGATTTACATTTTACCTTTTACAAGAAAATATAGCATTATAGAATTACTATTTTGATCAATTCTGACACAAAATGAGGTTTGAATGTTCTCTTCAGTTTAAGTTTTCTAAGAAATTAAATCTAAAAATGGAAAATTTGTAAACACCGATGGCACGTAAATTTATTCTTGAACAATATTTATCATTATAATATCCATATAAGACTGAGGAGACAGAAAAAAGTCCATGACGAGCAATTTTTGATATGCCTCTTTTTGGGAAGCCGCAAAGGATACAATTGTTTGAGTTACAATCAGTTGATTGGTTTTCATAGGTAATCTTAGTCTGAACCAAGAGTACATTGGAAATTTAAATCATGTAGTTTGTTGATATCGGAAATTACAAAGAAAACAAATATGACCTTATTAAGTAATTACCTACAAAAAAGAAAATGGGGAATGTAAATGAAAGTGAAATAGATAGGGTTACAATTTTCATGGAAAAAAAAGATTTACATGGCAGATGTAAAGTATAACTGTAACTTTTGAAAGGATTGTATTCAGCTGAGTATCTTTTTTGCGTCTTTGACTCGTTTAATTAATGCTAGTTGATTACATGCTATTAATGTAATTGAGTGCTTGCTGTCTTCAAAATTTAATTCAATGCACCTAAGCAATCTAAACTAACCTATTTTCTTTCATTTAACTCAAATTACAGCCAACGGATTGAAAACAGTGAGTTTTTAATGAAAGGAAATAGGCTATTAAACTGTATAATTGCTGTATTATGAACAAAAATAGCTGATCACCAATACCCAAATACCAATCACCTAGCACCAATTAGTTTGTTCATGGTTTTCATAACATATCAACAGCATTGGGGAAGTAAAGGATTAAATTAAAGGGAAAATATTGAACTAAATAAGTTGATATGGTAAAAGTTGTCCGTTGTTAAGACACTAATAAACCTAAAGAAATAACACTAATGCTATTCATTCATTCGAAGCAAAAAGAAGGTTAAGAAAAAGACAATGTTTACAGATATTTCTTTTTCAGGATGAGGGAAAAAGGATTGAGAAGCACTTCTGAAAAAATACAGCTACCTATATCAATTCACAACCTTCAAAGATCACTAATGGACTCAGATTTAAGTCCAATATTGTTTAGCACAACCAAGATGGTTCAAGATCCATAATTATGGGTAATAATGAAAATAAGGTGAGAAGAAAATGTAAGCCCAAATTTTGTATAGTGAGTGAGTGAGTGAGTGGTGAATGAATGAATGAATAAGTAAAATGGGTGAACGAACAAGATTAAAGAATTTGAAAACTAATCCTATTTTTTCAACATTTTGATTTAGCTAAAAATTGACTCTTAAATTAGCATAACAACAAATATGGAATTAAACCTATCGCAAAATATTGTGAAGTATTCAAGCAGCAAAAGGATGAGAGAAATGCATAGGTTATATGTAATCTCTTCAACACGTTTGCAATTGATACGAACATAAGAAACTATCTGAAGGTTAACTTAATCCAAAACTTCTTTGCTAAGGTAATGTTTAACGAGCACACGATAACGTAAATGTAAATTTGTTGTGTTCAACTCAATTGCCAGCAAACTGAGTTTCTGGTAGAACGTAGGATATATCGTCCCAAGGGTGGCGGTAAAGTCCTTGCTTGAGACGCTTTTGGTCGAGATAATGACCAATGAAACCAATGGTTCGTCCAAGAACAAATAAGCCGTTAAGAGATCCTATTTCGATGTATTCTTGGGCTTCTTCAAGAGTAAAGCATCCACTGCTTCGCAATAAATCAACTGTTGCAGCACCGATCATACCGTCAACATTGAGAATAAGATTTGGCTTCTGTAGACATTAAAAGAAAAAAAAATGTTAGAACAATCAATAATGAAATCGATATTTTGCTAAACTAACCTTTGACGTTGTAATTTTTTCAACTTCAAGAGCAAAATCTAAAATTGGAGTACAGGGGAAAGTTTGTTTTACAAAATCTTTCATTAACTTGACCCTCATATCGGGATTATTGATAGATTTAACACGATGTCCGATTCCCATGATAAGCTGCCCTTTTTTTCTCATTTGATTCACAAATTCCATAGGATGTAAGCCTAAATCGTAAGCTTCACTGTATTGTCTAGCTCCTCAATCCAAGCTCCGCCAAATCGATCACCAATAGTTAATAAACCGGAGACCAGTGATGAAACTAAATCTTTGCCCGCTCGAGCACAAACAATTCTATATTTGATATTGCTGCGGGTTATGCCGCATCGTGTCTTTTAGAGAGTGACAAACGTCGAGATGGTGCCAAGGAGGATCGACGTTGGAACCAAAGTAAACTCAAAGTACCACCGATACCTAAATCCTCTTTAATAACGGTTGTAATAGGAATACCAGCATAGGAAAGTTCCTGTCCTCGTTCATCACAGATAGAAGTCATGAAGGATGCAGGTTTCCTAATCAAACCCAACTCTCTGGCCCAATTATAATCCATTGGCACAGTTGGAGGTGGAACTTCAGGTGAAGGTACGATGTCACCAGAATCAACTAACTTATCATAAACAAATTTAATTGTTTCTCCGAGTTCATTAAATGTAGCGGGTACAAAGATTCCTACTTCAGACATCGACTTGTTTTTGGCTACGGCAGTTTCTCTATCATTGTGAGCACAAGCACCCGCATGGCCAAATTGAACTTCTGAAGTAAACATGGTTGAACAAGTACCGATACACCAAGCAACCAAAGGCTTAGTTATTTTTTTACTTTTAACGGCTTCGATCACTTCATATTCTTCAGTTCCACCAACTTCCCCGAGGAGTACAAGCATTTTAATGTTTGGATCAGCTTGGTATCTAAGCAAATGATCGAGGAAAGTAGTTCCAGGATATCGATCACCTCCAATGGCTACTCCTTCAAAAACACCATTAGTTGCCCGCGAAATTATGTTATTCAATTCATTGGACATTCCTCCAGATCGAGAAACATAAGCAACGCTACCAGGTCGATATAGTTTGGAAGCTAGAATGTTGTCCAACATACCACCAGTGTTACCGATTTTGAGACAACCAGGTTTAACACCACCTACAGTAGCTGGTCCTATTAGAGTGATTCCTTTGACATTGGCCATTTTAATCATTTTACGAGTCAAATTTTCTGGAATGCCTTCAGCAATAATAGCAATAGTTCTGATCTGAGGGTATTGAAATGTTTCTATGGTGCTCTCATAAGCAGATCGAAGAGAAGCAAAATTAATAAGAACATCAGCATCTGAATGCTTTTTCATAGCATCAGACATATTTTTGTACACAGGGATAAGAATTTCTTTGTGACCCCAATAGAATTTTTGCTTGTGATCACCGGTAAATGGATAAACCATGGCAGCAACAGACCAAGTCTTACGTGAACAAACAAAATCGAAATCGAGCATAGATTGTACTGCTCGATTTTGCATTCCCCAAACAATTGCTTTTGTTGTAGGAGTGAAAAGAGATTTTTCCGAATAAGTTAAGGAAGTAGGACCTGATTCACTAGTTGATGTAAGGCCATTAGCTGAGACCCCAGAATTAGCTTGTTTAGCTGCATTCATCATTCCTGAATTATTACCTTGCATCATCCCTCCAGGCAATAGAAAATTAGCTGTAGTTACATTAGGTTGAGGCATTTGAGGTATTTCTCGCTTTCCCATAGCCATGGCAACAATAGCAGTCATGTGAGTTTCTGGGCCAAAAACATGAACTGGGATTCCGAGAGTATTACCAACTTCCCTGATCACCCGTAAACCTTCCTGGTAATTTGGACCAGCTCTACGAACGAAAATGGAAACTTGGTGATCTTGCAGTTTAGTTTGAAATTCTTGCAATGCTTTCACTATCCCTTTGAATGTTGACGCTACATTGGTAAAGTTAGCAATACCACCTCCAATTAGTAAAATTTTACCTTCAGCGTGTTTTTCTTTGGTCATTAAGCTCAATATTGTCTTGGCATATTCATAAGTTTGCTGTTCTGTAGGTGCACCAGAATATTCTCCATAATTGGCTAATTCTGTAGCTCCACCAAGTTCACAAATAGTATCTGCATAGATTACTGAAGCACCTCCACCGGCAATCATAGTCCAGATACGACCTTTTGGATTGAGAATGGTCAATTTCAGGCTGGCTCCACTTTTTGCATCCAACTCAGCAATATAAGCTTCTTCGGGGAAAGCATCACGTCCAAAAGGTGGAGGAAAATCAATATCACCCCATTTCTGTTTACAGATAAATTCAGCAGTAGCGTCGAGTTTAGCAGCAAGATCAAGAACATGGATATCATCTGAAATCACTAATGGATTGATTTCCAGATATGTGAAGTAAAGATCAACATAAATCTTATATAAGTCGAGGATAAATCGTGTCACTTTGTCTTTTTTGTTGTCAGAGATGTTAACCAAAAGTTTGGATTTAACTAGTTCTTCGGTGGGCTGTTCGTCAACAGACAAGTCGTATTTAATGGCTTTCGAATCTACATCACCAATGTCTACACCACCTTGATGATAAAACAAAATGGTATCTCCATGTCGGTGAGAATAAATACAAATGTATGCCTCTTCAGAGTCTTGGTGAGGTAGAAAGGGTTCAATGATAAAATTTCTCAGTCTTCCATTGGCTTTACCAACCTATTAAAAATTAAAGGTAAAAAATTACGCTTTAAAGACATTCACGTGCATATTAGACTAGAAAAAAAACTCATTTTTATTGCCCTGATGCAATGATATTATTAATAATCGACACTAATGATAGGTTTTGTCCTTGGTACAAAGCTAACAATATATTTTGACGTAACTGTTTGACAATAAACGAGAAAAGAGAAAAAAACTTACAAGGAATTCTCAGCATTCTTTCCCCTTTATTTATTATTCTTCCTTAAATAGAGAAAAAAATTTGCTCCACCATTCAGACTGAGAGATCAATAGCAAACAAGAAGGGTCTGAAATTTAAGTGATCAACAAACAACGACCATAATGAGGAACTATTTTATAAATTAGCTTCCTTATGAGCTTACAGCAGTATTAAAAGATATGATAGAAAGAGTAGGAAAGACGAGAATAGAAAGAGAAAAATAAAAGATGAAATATCTTACCTGGATTTCTTTACTCATTCGCTCGCTAATCCATTTTTGTACATCAGGTAAATCCAAATTAACACCAATTAAACCTAATTTACCTCGTCTTTTTATCAATTGGTCAGGTTTGACGACCAATTTTTCTGTCTTTAACCAACCATTGTCTCGGACAATTTGGTCAAAATTAGTTGACTCATTGACAGTAACAAATTTAGATGATGCACAAGTCCCATTAAGAAATTTGTTCAACAAATTTTTACCAGTCGCCTCGTGGATGGCTTTAGCTGACATTTTGTCACAATTGTATTAGCTTGAATAATTGTTAAGATAACAAACAAGAAACAACAACAAAACGTATAGTCAGATTAATAGGCTATAGAAAAAGCTGAAGACGCAATGAGAACAGTGAGAGTTAAAATACAAAAGTAAGAGAAAAATTGTCTGCAATAAAGAAAGGGAAATAGAAAGAGAAAAACGATTGAAGCGACTTCACAGTTAAGCTTTCATATCTTTGATGATGACGATGATGATGGTGAGATGATGGTGAGATGATGATTTGTTATGGTGAATAAAACATGCAACGTCAAAAGCCGGTCGAACCATTGGGCGGTGATTAGTAAAATTATCTTTAACCAGGAATAAATTGAGCGCTAATTCAAATCTGGTTAAGAGAACCTTTATTTTAATTTAACAATTTGTTTTCATTTTTCTTCCATTCCAACCTTCCATCATCCTCATAGTCATCTTCATAGCCATCATCATAAATATGATCGTCATTTAGAGACGAAACCTTTCTTTTAATGGATTATTTGATTTTCCTTAACCACAGCTTTCAACATTTCCTAGTTGTAAATACTCAAAGACAAGAATTACTAATCAAAGGTGATATTTAATTGCAAAGGAAACTAAATGACTAAAAAAGATGAGATTAATGTTTCAATTTTGATTGCATTTCCCTTTAAACATGCAAATTCATTGACGTTACCATTTATTAATTGATTCAAAGTGAGAGTCAACCATTTTCCTGTAAACTTTCAACTGACATTAACATTGATATTATACACTAAACTTAACCAGAATTGTTATTGGTTAATAAGAACAATTTTTAACTGTTAAAGACTCAAGGTTTAATCACGTAAACAGGTTTTATATTGATTACAGTAATTGACCAATAAATCAATTTTTCAAAGATCAATCAATGATTTTAATTATTCTCATCAGACTTTTTTATGTATTTATTGATACAATTGAATAATCTTGGCTTATGAACACTATTAACCACAAAAGGATTTAAATGTATTCAAATAGATTAATATTGATCTTGAATTATCCTAACATCTTATTCGTGATTAGTGGTTTCACTCAATCATGGTGATAATGAGGAAACAAATTGCTATCAATTGGTTTGTTTGATGATCATCGGTTGGTTGAGAGGTTGATCCAGACTAATTGTCAAACTAATCAACATACATTGAATATTACTCTGTAAACTAACCTACAATACAAAATGGTTTATTAAAAAATAGATACAAATTGTTAACGATCAACACTGATTGCCACTTATAAAAACATGTTCTGTAGATGGAAGGATTAATCTTCGGCTGATTTACTCGTGATTGTGGACAAGAAAATGATAATCTCGAATGAATATTACCATTGACAATTGATACACTTATTCAAGTGATTTGAATGATCAAACATGCTGTAGACACCTTTTAAGGTTACATCACAACTAGAGCTTTTAACTGATTGTCTTGAGGTAACAAAAAATTGAAATATTGATGAACTGAGAAAAGCTTGACTGTCTTTCATGTTGACTTGAAGCTTTCGATTGAAATTGAAATTGTTAATGGAAATCATTAATTTTGGACTACAATTAAACTGATTCGAGCATTCAAGTTACTGATTTGGTAGAGTGATTCAATGAAATTGAAACCCTTGCACATGGATTGATGGAAACAATCAGTAAGTGTTAACTCTAGAGTAGATTGTCATTTCTTACTTTTGATTTACTCAAATTCAACTCATTTTGTTAACTATTCAGGTTAAAATTTCATTAATGGTGGATAATTAAACCACGAATTGGTGTTGATTATCTTATAGACCGGACAATGTATTGGAAACTTGATATTGAAAAAGGCGAACTAAGCTTTTCTTTTCTCCACTGCAAGCTTTGTATTATTCAATTTCCCAGGTCAATTTCAAATCTCCCTCACTAATCAGTGAATTTTCAGAATGAAAAATTGACTTTAATCAGTTCAATAATTGTATACAAAGTGTTGTTAATAACCTGGTTTTTATCAAATGCTTAATGGCTTGATAATGAGATAAAGATTTGCCTCAACTGCTGCAATTGCTAACCAAATTCAATAAATAGATTCATTAAAATGGTTTAAACAAATGTTGACTCAGTTGGTTCATTGGACTTAATATTGTAAACAAAAATAGGCTCTTCATGAAAAATTATAAGCATATGTTCAAATAGACAAATCAATTTACCCTCCAATTTTAACCATTTAGGGCGTCCACTAGAGCTATGTGGCGACATAAACATCAACAAACGACAACAAGCAGTATCAGATGTTTCAAGTGTAAAATGAGAAAAGACTATTGATGAAAAAAACGTCTTTTGTCTTATTTTGTTTTCTATGTCTTAATTAGAATTAATAATTTATTTTGTTTTGTTTTGCTTTCACTAGATACTCAGCCAATGTCATCTTGTGAATGTAATGAGAATGGCTCATTTTCAACAGCCTCATCTACTACTCCATGTTCATCGCCACCTCCTTCACCTTCTCCATCAAATTCATCTACTCATTCAAGTACCTCGAAAAATCCAGTAAATAATGTCAGTCTAATCACCAGTGATTCCTCGACAACCGAATTTCAATGCTGTCATCATCCCAATTTACTTGAACTGTTTGTCCTCAGTGAGTCAGGCAAGCCAATTTACTCGTACACTGCCAGAGAGGACATTGTTACCTTATTACCTTTATGTCAAGCGTTGATCAATTGTTTCCAGGATGTACTGAAAGATACTATTCGTTTTATTATAACCAAATCGGGGTTGAAAATAATTTTTAGTCAAAGGACACCATTAATATTTGTAGTAGTAACCCATGCATTTTCCGGAATTGATGGTAATTTATTAATCAACCAGATTCATGCTCAATTGGTTTCTGTGATTACTGAAAAAACCTTGAGGTCAGTTTTCGAGCAGAGAGCAACATTTGACTTGCGACGGTTATTAACAGGAAACGAAAAAATGGTTCATATTCTGGTTGAACAAGGTTTTATTGGTAAACCAATTGTTTGTCGTCGACAAGGCCACCAAATTATATCCTCATCATCATTAGAAGAATGTGCAATCAAACATTCCTTGTCATCTATGTCAGAATCATCTAAAGAATCTAAAAGAAGAGATAATGTGAAGACATCGTTAACTTATGGTTATATCTCATCGCTGGCCATGCCTTTGTCATCACCTAAACAAAATCAAAACAGATCTTCACCTTCCAGTGGGTCAACTAGCTATCAAATTAATTATCATCGATCTTACACCAACAGAGCTTTAATTCCTGTCTATCCATTGAATCAAACAGTTCGAGATTCTATTACCAACGCAATAAACTCAAGTATAGCATCTGTAAAATCCAGAATTGCTTTCGGACTGCTTTTAACGGTTGAGCCATCTGACTATTATTTTTCGGGAGAATCTGATTCTGATAGTTTCCTCCGTACTTCAGAAGATGAATTTCCATCTACAAAAATACTCTCCGTCTCTAATTATAATAGTAAATACTCCAAATTGAGTCCTCTTGATATGCAATTGATTCAATGTTTGGTAATGGCCTCTGAATCACAATTGAAAACGGTTGAAAGTTTATGGTTACCATTGTGTTTACCTCGAATTGATGCTTCAGCCTTTATGCATGGACACATATCTTACCTTAATCACAATCAAGAGACAACTTCACCACAATTATGTTTGGTCTTATTAACAACGGATAAAGAAGATTTTCACAACTGTCAAATGGTCAAAGATAATTTAGGAGAAAGGTTGAATAAGATAAAATTAGCTCCACCACCATTTAGTGACCTCAACATTCCTTGTCTGCAATATTTTTGGTACATGACTTTACGTTCACAGTCAATATTTCGATCAAACCTTCCTCAATTCGATCCCGTCGTTCAAATTAGCCCTTTGATTCACTTTGTGGCTCATCGTATGTTATCTTCACGACTAAAAATCCTTTGGCTTCGAAGTGATCGACATAAAGTTATAATACTTGGCTGGCATTCACCAACATTCCAACTGTATGCTCAACTAGAACCAACAACAACCAAATCAATGGGTCTAAATGCTGCCCAAACAATTATAAAATGGATAAAAAAAGAAGAGGACAAACTCTTGCTTCGTGATTATTAATTATTTGGTAAATTTATTACCTTTGATTGACTTTTTATTAGGTTATAATAACCTTACATGTTTTACGTTTATTTTGCTGCAAGACTCAAATAAATTATTAAATAAGTAAATTTGTGACAAATATACCTAACTTATGCAATCAAAATCATTCTGAATCAAGATTTAGATGGATAACAAGGTTGATAATCATCGAAAACTCAGGAATTGGCTTGGCTAGTAAAAAATGGTAGATAAAAGTAAAAAGATGCTTGATTCCAACTTTTGCCATTGGGAAATTTTTCAAGTGATATTCTTTGGTTTAGTTGATATTAAAAAAGACTTGTGGTGTAATTATAATTACTTTTTTCAAAAGTCTTCAAGAAATCATTCAATTTCTCCTAATTCTCAAACTAATTGATTAGTTGATTGAATTGGTAGATTGAAAAAATATTGGAATAAAACATTTCTTGATTTTTACCTGAAATCGTAATTTGCGCCTTTACTGTAAAACAATCTGTTACTATTGGTTTTATCTGTTGCAATATTTCGGGAAATATGAATTGATAATTTTGATTTGAAAATGATAAATCTCAAGTATACTTCAGATATAACTTTTCTTGAAAGTTTTGTTTAATTAAATCATATTTAAACTGGTCAATTTAATGGTCTCTATATTTCAATACCTAAATTATTTCACATGGCTCTTGAAAACAGCTGATTCGACTCGAGTTGATTTCATCATTTGTTAAACTGTAAACAGTTTTTGTATACTTTTCAGTGCTTCCATATTTTAATAAATTACCATGGGGTTAAAAGTAAGTCAACATCAGATTCCAATTGTAAGTGACGAGGAAAATAAACAGTTTGTTGATTCGACAATTAATTCAGCCAAAGTTGTAATTTTTTCTAAAACTTATTGCCCTTCAAGTGAATCTGCAAAGAAAGTGTTGTCTAATTACCCGATTAAATCAGATCAATACCAAGTTATTGAACTCGATAATAACCCAAACAGCAATATTATACAAAATTACTTGAAATTAATCACTGGAGCAAAGACGGTGAGTATTGAAAACATATAATGCCAATGGCATGCAAATTTAATATTCCAATATCGATAACTTACAATGCAACTGATAAATTTTAGGTTCCAAGAGTTTTCATTTGTGGACGTTGTATTGGCGGTGGAGATGAAACGATAGCATTGGATAAATGCGGTGACTTAGTTAAACTGCTTGCTGAATGTGAAGCTTTACAGTAAAATGAAGTCGCAAATCTTTTCACCTATCCAACCTGCAATCATCAATCAATAGAAAAAAAACAATAATAATTTAACACGGCTGTGTTAATTTATTTATAACTATAGTTTTGAATATTATAAATCACAAAAAATGTTTTGTTGAAAAGTAGCTAATAAAAATATGAAAATGCAGAAATTGTTGGGCCCAATCAGATTCTTGTTCAAACATTTTAATTTCTGGTCAACAGGAGTTGGCTTAAACTTTCGGTGTTGACGTGCTGACCACTTTGTCACCATCGAAATGACTGCTTTTACGTTTCCCAGAATTGGGTACGAGTGAACGCGATTTTCCACCAATAAATGCTCTAAAAGTTAAGTAAGTTAGTTTTAAACCAGACATATTTAAACTAGCGACTGATTGACAGAGACATTTTTATTTTTCAATGTTTCAGTTAAGTGAGTCTCTTCCTCTAAGTTCATATAGGAGATACCTTCACGGATCCATTTATTAAAATCGAAGTTATGACCAGACAAAAATGTCAGAGCAGAAGGTTGACACAAGAAGCTTTTGTCTTTGTAATTGTTAGCACCGGGTACCTTGTAAGGAAATATGTAGAAATTGTAACTTGCACATGAATAGGAATTATCGGTGGATGATTTGGTGAAACAGCTTAGACCATATTGGATCAGAAGATATTGAGAGATTGAGTTTTTAATTTTTAAATAGCGCTGAATTAATTATCCTTGCTATTCAATGGTTTCCCTCATCGTATTACAATGCTAGTCAACTGCTAATCTTCAAGTTGTTTTATTAATTGTGTCTCATTGTTTATAGTTTTGATTACGTCTTAAATCACCCAACAATAAACATAAAACATACACAATACACACAACGCAGAAACATTCATTATGCTTCATCTTTTCTCAACTGGAACAGCCACTGGTTTTACAGTTATGATTTGTGTTTACCTTTTACTATACCAATCTAATTGTTTCTAAATTTAAATCGAGTGCAATTTATTTCCTTTTGTTCAATTTAACCAGTTCCCGTTACGATTATTTTATATACATTTAATTTATTTTCGGATATCAACTCTTGAATTGGTTAATGGTTTGGATGGTTAATATGAAATGAATCAACCTCAGATGACTGTTGTACACTGTACAGTTTATAGCGAACCTTTCCTTTTTTCCTATTTCAATGGCCTTCTCTGTGAGTTCATCAGCTCATCACCAATCAATTAAAGCTTCACCCAGGAAAAGGACAGCTTTATCGTCTGTATCATCAATAGTGAATGATGCTTTTCAAGCCAAATGTGTTAAAGAATTGAATAAATTACGCTCCAATTGTCGTAAGACTCTACAACAAGATTTAACAAGGTAAGGTAATCTTTACTATCGATCGATAGGGAGTTGGTTTAAACTGTTTTGCCATATTGTGAGCTTTTATTATTTCGATTTTTTTATGAAAGATATTTAATTATTTTATCTTTTTCCTTTAATTCTCTCCTTTATGGGAATTACGCTCAATATTTACAGATTACTTGACAAAGAAACATTTGCAGATACATTCATTGAAGGAGATACATTTAGGAAGCCTTGTCATAGCTGCCTATTGGCTTCGCGAGTTCCTACTTTTTATTTACTCCTGATCAACCATTTTGATTTCACATCTTCTAAGCATTCTAAGCGAGGATTCAACACTTACCGACTTCCATCTACCATTGACTGTAAAGAAATCACTGATTTTCTCCAAAAAGTCTATTGTCATGAGGACATTTGTTTTGATGAATCATTGATCGTTGACAAACTACGTGCACATATTTCAATAACCATGACTTCCGAATCTGGAATTGACAAAAAATCAGTTTCCTCTGTTGATGAAGACAATCTGTCAAATGGCCTGATCAAAGAAGACAGTCTAGAAGATTTTGTACGAGCTTGTAATGGTGGATTCGATAAAGATAGCCTAAAGCCTTCAGATAGCCTGGAACTTGTTACAGATTCACTGAATAATGCTAGTATCTCTTCGGAAGATAATAAGAATGAGCGCCATAGTACTGATTATGAAGACAGCTTAGCAGCTGGACAAAAAGACGAAGGTTTAACCTCGAGTGAATCTAGTCAAATGGTTCGAAGTGGAACTTACGATATGCTTACATCTATACAATTGGAAGATCACATTTTGAAAAACCTTGATGATGATGATGGAGAAGAAAAGAACAATGAAAAAGATTCAAATCATTGCGAGTCGCAGATTTTGATTGGGAATCAAGCTTTTCAAGGTGAAAAATCTTCATCAGAAACCAATCTTAGACACAGACTTGACTCACTTGAGCTTAATTTAAATTCCACAAAAGAAGAATCAACTAAGGATTCGCTTGATGACGACAATGACGAGGCAGCAACTGATGCTGATGTTGCAACTCCAGTAGCAGAAGTACCTGAAAGCTTAACCACTCAATCTAAAGTATCTAGATCACAAAGCAGCTCATTATTTCAATTTTTTGTTGATATGGACTCCATGTCTCGTAGTACGCCAAACTGCGATTCATCTAGAGACACGAAAAAAGAGGAAATTAATATGACAAGCAGTGGTTTCATGTTCATAGATTTAAACTCTGTTGGACCTGAAGAGGAACAAAAATCAAGGACCATTGAAAGAGACAAAAACAAAGTGAAAGACAAACGTGTTCCAAAAATTGACCCCGCAGATGGTGAAGAGATTAAAAGTAGCTCTTCGTTATCAATGAGACATGGATCGACGTTAGAAGCTCGAAGCAGAACAAATCGAGGATGTGAATCTAATGATGAAAATAACAGTGGACGTATATCCAATAATACAAACTCAAGGAGATCAGTAAATTATCGAAAACAAGCAAGCAGTTCATCTGTATTAGGAAATAATCGTCATTCCTTCAACAAAAGCCGACCCAAAAACATTAATCGTCAATCAACATCGCCAATGAGTTCAATGGATAGTGGAATGTTATCCTCTATAAATTCTGAATGTACACATGGTGATGATGAAGATTGGTTATTAAGTATCAAAACACATTCCCAGGTTAAAAAAGGAGCCTCTCTTTGGCGCAACGAAACACAAGAAGATCAACAATCTACTCCCTCCATGAATCATGCTGCACAACATCGGAAAAACACTTCAGAGGTCAATATGTTTATTAATAAAGATGATAAGCATAGTAGGCCAAGTGGATCCAGAGATGATGAACACAGACGAACAATTAATTCTTGTTCAAAACTAGGCGAGGATTTACTGCAAATGTATTACAATGGTATCAATGCTGATATTACCATTAAAGCTGAAAATCGGACATTAAAGGCTCATAAATGCATCTTGGTGGCACGTAGTCCATATTTCTCAGCTATGTTTTCCGGTGAATGGCGTGATTCTAAAACAACAAACATTACCCTCCAAGGATTCAGCTACATTACAGTTCATTTTGCTTTATGCCATATTTACAGTGGTGGCTTAAACATTCCAACAGATGACAACTTTAATCTAGCTGAATTGGCCTTACTATCTAACCTTCTGGCTTTGGATACTCTTCGAGATGTTGTCATCTATGAACTGGAAAAAACTTATTGTCATTTTTTCCACAAGCCTTGCTCAGAATGCACAGTCGGTGTTGTTGATTGTCTTATTGTTTCTTCTGAATGTGGATTCTCAACACTCCATCAAAAATGTCTAACTTGGTCAGGAAAACACTTTGCTCGACTCTGGCCAACCCGTTCTTTTGCCTGTTTACCTAACTCATTATTGGATTCATGTTTCCAAAGTACAATTCATAGTATGACACCTAAATCCATAATCGAGATTGTTTTGCATTGTGATCGGCTTACAAAAACAACACCAAAAGTTAAATGGGCTGAACCAATTTTCTCCCTCATTGGCCGTCTAATTGAACAATGTGTTAATTTTGTTGCTGGAAATTATGATCTAATAGTTGCCAGTGAATCCTTCATTTCTTTAGGAAGAGCAAATTCGTGGAATATCTCAGCCTTGGAAGAAACATTCCTTGCTGCCATGAATAATATGACACCTGAAATCGCTTGCAAAACACTGGTTAAATTGAATAACATTATTTCAATTGCTGAAAATGAAGAGGCTTTTGGTTATGGACCTTATGCGGAATCATATGTTGCTTTAGTGCGTAAAATGTATCGCCATTGTGAAAGATTTTTGGTTAACAACGTTAATGTAGCTGTTACCGTACCAAGTTGGTCTCTGCTACCAGCTGAAGTTCAACAAAAAATCAAAGACTCGGCTATCATTGTATTCGAGTTTGACAAACCATTGGCTCCTAGACCTCAGTTATCAAGTAGTCAACTTCAATCTTTGCGAAAAAAACGATCTCCAGAAAACTCTGATCCATCAAAATCATCTTCTACTAGTAATAAATCTGTCCACAAATCAAAACAGCGAAGCAACGAGACTCGCAATAAAATGTCCTTAACTCGTTCAGCTACTGATCATATTTATGATGAAGTAAGTTTCGAGCCAGGAGAGTTCGAAAGTGGTGCTACATCCTTACCCCTTGCTACAATGCATGATCGATATCGATCGCATAGAATTGGTAGGCGCTCTAGAGATGGTCAAGAATCTAATGTTGATCCGCATTCTGATCGTAGATCCGATGATATGTGTGAGGACTTAGGAGAGATTTCATCTTCTACTAATGAAAAGTACCAGGATCAAGAAATGTCTCGCAAGAAACAAGATAAAAATCGACGAAGTCCACAGTCAACTTCAGCTCTATACAATAACTCTTTTCGACCATCTTCACGGACAAGAACCAGTTCATCTTCTTCAGCTACTCGAACACTTACATCGAGGCCTCCATTTAAATGAAATGCAATTTACAATTCCAAAAAATCTCATTAACATTGTATTTGGACAAAATTAACTCTACCAAATACAATGATGAGGATTCATCCTTTAAATCCTTTTTTCCATAAACCTAATCGTTAACTAATTAGATTACTCGTTATTTTACTATTTTACTATCAAGTTGGAAGTAGAAATAGGTAAACATCAAATTGTGATCAAGATACCATTTGCATCAATTAAGCTTAATCAAAACTTGGCAATACTTAAACTGGCGGTACTATGAGTGCAATGAATATATTAACCACGAAACCAGTCTTGTACAAACCACGAAAGTCTCTGGATGAATACAAAGAAACAAATGGATTTGATGGAATCAATTTTGAAATGAAAAAGAAAAAATTAATCGACTCAAATTCCAATACATTCCTTAATCATAACTCGATACAATATATTTAAATAATTTCTCATTCTAGTCAAATATTTGGAAAAAGCTTTGCTTTGTAAATTATTTTAATCATTCAAACACAAATCTTTTGTGTTAGAAGGATATTGATTATTAAAAGTATTAAAAGAGTCTCGATTTGAAAGACATTAATTTTTACTCGTTTTTTGTCATTTGTATTAATATATAAATGTGACAATTGTGTTGATTGTATCTTTTTGTTAAACGTGAATTCGTAGTCTATTGCTAACTTTAATTTGCGTCTCTTACCATAAGATAAAATATTCAAGCGATCGGGAATTTACCAGTGTTTCGCAAACTTACTGAGAGTGGCAAATATTCAGATGAACCTTTTTCTTGTTTCGTAATAAGTTGTAAAAGATTTATTGAGATTACTTGAGATTTATTGCCCTTCAAGTGAATCTGCAAAGAAAGTGTTGTCTAATTACCCGATTAAATCAGATCAATACCAAGTTGTTGAACTCGATAATAACCCAAACAGCAATATCATACAAAATTACTTGAAATTAATCACTGGAGCAAAGACTGTGAGTATTGAAAACATATAATGCCAATGGCATGCAACTTTAATATTCCAATATCGATAACTTACAATGCAACTGATAAATTTTAGGTTCCAAGAGTTTTCATTTGTGGACGTTGTATTGGCGGTGGAGATGAAACGATAGCATTGGATAAATGCGGTGACTTAGTTAAACTGCTTACTGAATGTGAAGCTTTACAGTGAAATGAGGTCACAAATCAATTTCCAACCTGCAATTTTAGAGTGAAAAGATAGCTTGGATTCATTGCGCATTCAATAACAATCATCAATCAATAGAAAAAAACAATAATAATAATAATTTAACACAGTTTTGAATAAATTACAAAAAATGTTCGTTGAAAAGTAGCTAATAAAAAATATGAAAATGCAGAATTTGTTAGGACCAATCAGATTCTTGTGCAAACATTTTAATTTCTGGTTTAACAGGAGTTGGCTTAAATTTTTTAACTATCGGCGTTGACGTTTCGACCACTTTGTCACCATCAAAATGATTGCTTTTACGTTTCCCTGAATTCGGTACTTGTGAAGGCGATTTTTCATCCATAAATGCTCTATAAGATTTTATAGTGCAAACTGATGAATTTTTCTGAATGGTCAAAACTCTATCAATGTCTTTGACTCCATTGACGTCATTTAAGGCGATTAAAGCTGATGTACTATCAATCCAACCAATTTGACCAGGCTTGAATGGAGAAAGAAGGTCATAGATTTCTGATCTGGTCCAAGTTGGTGGGAAAGTTAAATGGAATACATTAGAACGTTCTTGATTCTTTTGATCTTTGTTTATATCCAAATAAGCCAAATCGAAACTGAAAGTCAAGTTATATTTCCCTCGGAATTTGGTAAATTCACTGCTATCCAATATGCTTTTTTGATTTTTAGGACTTAAATAGTGTAACATGTTGAGGAATATTAGTCCAGTAATATATGAGTCATAACTGGCATTGTGGAAGCTTGTCTTTTCATCTGAATCTGATCTATTTATTATCTTGGCTTTAATATTTGAAAAAGGAGCTTTTTGGATAACATTGTAGAGATCATTGAGTGCGGTGTCTAAAAAGAATCAAAAGAAAATCAATATTACTTAAAGAGTCAAATTTTTATGAACTTCCAAGACTTACTTTGAAATTGTGAGTCAAGCTTAGAGTCAAATTTAGCCATTAATTTTGTGTCATAAGTATAAGGGCAAAGCTCAGAAAGCATTTCCTTGAAATCGACAAGAGTGTCTGGGAGGGGTCCGATGAAGTGATGAACCGTATGGGCCATATCTAGCAACAAGTTGTGCCCAACAATCGGCTTCTTACAGTCAATTAATTCTTGAACAACCTTTGTAAAGCCAACAGCCTCGTCAATTAGTTGAGCTTCTTCCTTTGCTTTTTGTTCGGCACTCACTTTTTCAATAGAGATGAATCGCTCTGAACTGTTTTCAGTAACTTGGCAAGAAGTTAGTTTCAAACCAGACATATTTAAACTAGCAACTGATTGAAAAATCAATTTCCTCCGATAAGGTGAACAAGGATCAACATTCCATTTGGTTCTTGTACTGTCATTGAAAAAATCATTGAGACCAGACATAAAATTTTCAATAAAATCTTTCTGGTCATCAGGAACATGATTAGTGTTTACCAATTGACTACTTGATTCATTAAGACTCCGTACAGTACTATCCAGATCGTTTATGGTCGTGTTGACAGAGACATTTTTATTTTTCAATGTTTCAGTTAAGTGAGCCTCTTCCTCTAAGTTCATATAGGAGATACCTTCACGGATCCATTTATTAAAATCGAAGTTATGACCAGACAAAAATGTGAGAGCAGAAGGTTGACACAAGAAGCTTTTGTCTTTGTAGTTGTTAGCACCGGGTACCTTGTAAGGAAATATGTAGAAATTGTAACTTGCACAAGAATAGGAATTATCGGTGGATGATTTGGTGAAACAGCTTAGACCATATTGGATCAGAAGATATTGAGAGATTGAGTTTTTAATTTTTAAATAGCGCTCTTCAAGTGTATCAAAAAAAGAATTGCCATTTTGACCAAGACCAGAGAGTTCCGTGTCAATGGCAATAAAATCACACGTTTTAATGTCATTCCTTATCTTTGGAAGTAATTCAACGAAGTTGGAACGGACCACATCCATATTAATTAGCTGAACTTATATCAAATAAGTAACTTAAACAAGAATATCAGCAAACAAAGCGTATGATTTAAAACATAACCTTTGCCTTACAATGAATAAGAGCCTTATGGTCGTAAAGTGTTAAAAATGTTTGTAACATGACTAATTTAAAAATCAACAGATGTCGGTACTCTGGAAAATTAAGTGGTAGGGTGGGATCAATGGAGAGCGAAAATGCAAAAATTACTCAAAACATAAACAAATCCTATCAAATTGTCCAATCCATTGGTTAATTTAGTAAATTTTATTTAACTTTTGAGCTTGATTCATTTATTTTTGATAATTTTATCGGTTTTGGGTGCACCATTGAAAGTAAGCTTTTATTTGCAGTATTTCCTTGAGTTTTTTGCCTTTTTGGAGTGCTGACATCTATGTAAATTGATCAACTATGATCAATTGTAAATTACAATTTGTAATTTCTCAAATAAATAGTTGAACTTTATAGTTTCAATTACTAAACAGTTATGAAAAATTCGCAGTACCATCCATTATACATTATTTACTATACGCACTTCAAAAGTTAATCACCATGATAACAATTTGTGTGTAAAAGAGTTGTGATCTTTTTTGATAAGGATTCGCGCACTAATTCACTGAGATTCGTGTTTATTTTTCATTTTGGATGATTAGTTTATCAGTTGACGATCCTTAAACCCGTGTTTCGTAAGACTTACAATAATACAATGTCCAGTAAATTTGATGGCCTTCAAATGTTTCTGCCCAAAAACTGCTCTATCTTGGTCAGAATCAACTCTTTTCAAGGTTAATTTTCTAGGTACAATGTATCCAAAATTATCTCATGTTGAACTCATGAAAATTATGAAAGAGATATCCTTGACTAGGAATCGCCCGAAATCGCTCAGCAAGTGAATTTCAGCTTAAAATTTATATCTTTTATCAGCATAATTAGCATAGATGGTAATGTTATCGTGTTTGAAAACTCATTGTTGAAAAAATTCAAATCATAGTAATTTTAAGTTTCAGACAAATCTTGAACTAAACCTTACATTAGAGTATTAGATTGATATTACAGTAAAGTTCATTCAAACTTTTGAACTAGATAATTGAAGGTAAAAAGATTTGATTTTCGCGTAATGAAAAAGAGAAAAGTAAATTATTTTTTTTGGTATTTTCCTTTTTGTTTTGGTTTGAAAAATGGAGAAACAAAAGAGAAATGAATCAAATGAAATGAAAACAAAACTAAGGTGGAACTCAAAGAACTCAAAGAACTTAAAGTAATGGGTAAAATAAAGTATAACGCCAAAATCAGAGGCCTGAAAATCTCAATAAATCTTCAGACTGAATCGGTTATTTCAAATGGAGGTTGTCACATTGGGAGTTTCATCATTGGCTTTGGACGAAGTTTCGCATTGGTCATAGATGGATTTGTTGATGAAGATATATCGATGGAAGAAGCCACCAAGAGCTCCACCAAGCAACGGTCCAACCCAGTAAACCTGAAAAGGATAAACAAAACACGAATAAGATTATGAACAAAAGCTTGGTTTGAAACAAGCAAAAATGACAAACTTGCAGGAAGGCACTTTTTCAAGCAATTAAAGTTGTATCACGAAAAATCAGTATTTTATTGCTATTGGTTTCACACGATAATAAAAAACCAAATTTAGCCAACAGTAATGATTTAAAAATGCAATGTCCAACAACCTAAATTGTCATTGTTGCTTGAAGTACATTAATTGTCACCACTTACCCAATGGTGGTCCCAAAAATTGGCAATGACAGCGGGTCCAAAAGATCGAGCAGTGTTCATCGAGGAACTGGTCAATGGGATCTAAAGAGGCAAAGAGATGGAATAATATTTAATAAAAATTATTCAATTGATTTTAATTACAATGTCAATTTCAACAATCATCTGGGAAGCTTGAAAGCTCAATTAATAGGAGGTTAACTCAACAGTTACAAGGGGTCAATTGAGTCAAGAGTGGGCCATCTCTCAACATCCTCTTCACGGACTTTATGTTAACGGTTAAAATGAATGGATATCCAATCCACTAAATTAACGTTCAATTATTTTCGCATCATTGTGATGCTAGTCATTAACCATTTATAAGTGCCAGGCAAATGTAAATAACAGTAAGCTTTGAAAATTATAAGTTGTTGACATTAATTTAGACTTTTATTGATATTTTTTACTATTGAATTTGCAAGTTGATCAATCATTCAATAAAGGGTTGGATTCTTGAAACAGTTGATCGATCACTTAATTGTGTTATTATAATTATAATGCTCGTCAATTGTAGTCGTATGTTGATTGTTAAAGCAATATGAAAAAGACTAACTGATAACATCAATTTAGATTATATCAGCTGGTCTAAACCTATGATCCTATGAAGTGGCCCTTGTTGAGACTTTAACCGTTGGGTCAATGTTATTAATGGTCGTGAGAAAGGTCAATAGATTAACAAGATTATTGTGGCAATTGATTTAAATTGATGAGATATAAATGATTAAATAAAAGATTCAACTTTGCATAGGTTATTGCTTTAGATGAGGGAAAGTTGCTTAGATCATCAAATCCAGATAGACTTGAGTAATGATACAATGTTACAATCAATTGTTGCCGTTGATATGTTCAAGAGCTATTCATCATTAAAATTATGATTCAATTTTGTTCACATTTTTTTCCCATTTAATGCATTTAGACAATCAAAGTGAAAAATTAAACTTGTAGGATGTTTGAATTGCATGTTAAATTGTTACTCCATCTCACAAGCAAGTGTGGTTGTGATCAGTACAATGTAATCTTTAAGCCCACAAACAATTCAAATGACAATTGTTTTGATATATTGGAAAACCTTCACAATTAAGGTAATACTATAAAGTTAATTATATGAAACAAGAATCAAAACACGCCATTTTTAGATTCAATTTAAATAACATTTAAACGATTGTTGAGTAAATAAAGTAATGTAATACAATGTATCAAGAAAAGGATCAAAGAAATCAAAAAAGCTATAATTCTTGAAAAAAATGATTCAATTTAACAATAAACCCAAAATATTGAAAGCAATAATTGAACTTTTCTTATAAAATCGGAAAGCAAATCAAAAACCGCCCCAATAGTCATTTATAGAGGTTCCTTAATCATTTTGATCAATACTTTTCATTATTAAATCAGGTGTAAATTAAAGAGAAATATTGTTTAATTATTGGAGTAAAATTTGCAACAATTAAATATATTTTGCCATATTAAATGATCATTTGAAATAAAAAACTGTTAACCTAAGCTAAAGTCTAATGCAGGTTAACTTTTGCCTAGACTTGAACTTCGTTGATTGCACTCTTCGCGGTGATTTTTGAAGATCATTTTGCTATCGATTTATTTTGGTCTTGAAAATATCATGATCACTGAATATCAATCTATCGATCCTGAAATCTAGACTTTTAGACACTCTAGTCATTTAATGATTAAGTAAACGTCAGAAGCTCTTGACTTGTGAATAAGAAGCGATGAAAAAACCCAAAAATCAGAAATCAATTGTTATTTAACTGAAATTGAAACAATCGTACACATTAGATACAATTTAGATGGCAATTTCAATTGCATACTTAATTGAAGATGGTTTAACTAATTATACTTGAAGCTGTTATTTAACAATCATTTTACATCTGTCTTGATCATTTGATTGATTGAATTAATGATTAAACCCTTTGAAGATGAAAATAGTCGAAACAAAAAGTTTGAAAGAAACAATTTGATTGAATTAACCAAGTAATCAATCATTTGAAGACTTAATCAAAAAATAGGTAAATCAAGATGAGTTAAGAGCAATTATTTGTAGACAGGTTTCAACTAATTCAAATGCATTCAATCAATTCCAATGTAAGTTTAGGTTGATAAAAATTAACCCAAAATCGGGTTTAATCTGAAAACCTTGAAGCTTCTATTTTCCTTCGGAAATCCGTTTACATAGAGAAACGCATTGAAAAATTTACCATTCAAAATGTTTTCTGTTGAAGATAAATCGCTTCATTTTCATCCGGAAATTGACATTCACTTGACTAGGTCATAAAATTTGATAATTTATTTGGAAATATCATGATAAGCCATGAATAGATGGAAATGTTGAAAGAAACATTTGGAAAAGTCTAATGAAAAGAAAGCTTAAAAGACGAGATAAATGATTATGGGCGAAGAGATGAATCTTTAAACAATTAATCTTTGTATTCTGGTTGATAAATCTCAACGGTCTTGGTCAGGGTTAGATGAAGATGATTTAATTTCATTGTCTTAATAAACTGTACTTTTAATCTATGAAATAAATTACATCCGGATGATGAACTGAAAATGGTTAAACATTAATATTCACAGAGGACTAAACAACATGAGAAAGGTAAACATTTGAATATGAAAAAAAACTGCATAAAAGGTAAGCCTTGGGTGAAACGAAACGATGAAAATAAAAATTTTTAGCGACTGGTTAATGAATCTTTTAGCGTTAAATTATAGCATCAGTTTGATAATTTAGAGGATTTAACAAACGTTCAACTCCACAGTCTTTAGACAAGGTTAATTTTATACTAATTGTATTCTGGACACACAGTTGTAAGCCAAAAGAAAGTGATTGTTTTGTGTTTTTTTGCATTCAAAACAATATAATGGAGCTTTAATTTACAGGTAACAATAGATTAATTGTCTTGGTCAACTATTATATTTTTGTGTGTTTACACATAGGCTATAAAGGTAAACAGAAAAGGAATATTTCAATATATTTTATCTGTTTAGGGCGAGTGTAACCATGAAAATTCTGTAGGATGTAAACACTATTTGGATAACACAATCAAGTTAAAATAATCAACAGAGAGAATCAAGTTTCATTAACAATAATTGAATTGTGCGCTAATGATAAAAATATACAAATTTTCCCTCCAAAACAATTGCCATAAAAAAGCTTTCATTGCTTTCTCAATAAACGTTAGTTATGCAAGCTTGGATATCTCATCTTCTTAGTGAAATAAGGCAAACTTTACTAATCAGTGTGAAGAAACTAATCAACATACGAACCTGATTCGACTATCAAATGACTCTTTGATTACTATAAATCAAGGGTTTAACAGAGACCAACAACTTGGGTAAGTATAAAAAGCGTGTAAAAAGGTGAAATGGCAGTGTAAACAGTGACTGTTGAGATAGGCAACAAAATGTGATTTATGGTGAAATAATTTGATTTCTTACCGCAAATAGATGACCAGTGGTGACTGCAAGGGCTATTATGATGGGAGCAATTTCTGGATTTGATTGGCAAACGTTGCAAACAGTTAAGACCAAGAGGAAGCATATAAGGCACTCAACGATGATTCCTTGGATAGGGTCAACTTTCAATGCAGTGGCACAAAGGTTACTTTTAGAATCTTTTAGGATGACATGAAGCAAACCAGCACCAGCGATACCACCAGTTAATTGAGCAATCATGTAAACAATTGATCGGATAAGATTTATTTGACCATTAACTAGAAGACCAATGGTAACTGCTGGATTAATGTGGCAACCAGAGACATGACCAAGGGTAAAGACAAGGCAAGCAACAGTCAACCCAAAAGATAAAGCAGTAGATACTAAAGTATCGGGATTTTGTGATGTTGCTGTACAGGTACCACAAGTGAATATAACCAGAATCGCTGTTCCAATGAACTCGGCCAGAAAAGAGCGAACCAAGTCACCATTAGATGATACCAGCCAAGTTAAAGGATTGGTTACCCCTGAATCGTCCTTAGACATTTGTAACGACTTGTGGAAAGGCATTCAAGGAGAGTTATATGATCAAGATGTATTTCTGGAGAGCCAAAAAACAAAACAAGCTAAAGAAGTCAGTTTACTTGTTTAAAATAGAAAATGTCGCTCGAAGAAGACAAAATTATGAAATGACAAGCCCTAGGCCAGTTCCTGTCTTTTCATTTAATGTTTTCAATTTTGTTCTTTCTCTCTCTTTTTCTCTTCCTTTCACACACATTTCCTCTCACTTCGAAAATTGGAAGGCTGGGCTTTAAACCTTATAATGTTAGCTTGTAAGGAAAGATTGACTACAAAGAGGGATCATCATTATCATCAGCATTTCGACTCCCGCCCTACCGTCCAAATAACTCTTAACGCTGGTTGGCTATGTTTTAAATCATCTTTTTTTGAGAAACGATTCTCAGTCTTACAAAATGACGTGTTTCAATGTTTTTAATGATAAAAGAGATACATTTCACATGAAATTAACTTGTGGCAGCAAATTGACTGGTAAACGTGTAATCATCCTTTTCTCAGTCTTTCTATTAAAGTAGTTTTTAGTACATTCAGCGATTATCTTCAAAGTGTAAAAACCGAAGTTATGATAACCGAAAAATTTGTTTTAACTTGTAATTTTACCATTAACTGAATCTCTTTGGGTTAGCAAACCGCAAACCTATCTTCTGGCTCTTTTTTTTCATCAATCAGACGATTTTTTGGGTAAGATTTTGATGGACATTTTGAAAATTTGAACCTCATCTCAATAATAATTAGAAGGCCATTAGTAAAAGAATGGTTTCCTTTCCAAGTTTCAAATCTTAACTCTTGTTAATTTGATAAAGATTTATTTGCAAAGTTTTGTACACAATAACTTAACGAGCGGTTGGTCTAAAGATCAGATTTAGGTTTAATGTTGAAGCTAAAAACAAGATATTTGATTGCTTGTTTAATTGCTGACAATTAAATGTGCGCATTAAACTAAAATGTTTTAATGTGGATAATTTATTGCCTCTGTTAATGTATCTTCTTTATGTTTAAAGTACATTACTATTGAAATTATTGTATTTCAAGCAATAATTCAAACTTGCTTTACAATCGTTTTTCTTGTAAATCCATCTCTTCGAAAGGTAACCTTCCACTCTTCAGTACAAAAATATGGAGAGTTTGAGATGATGATGATGGTGTGATGATGGCGGTTTAAGTATTGGACTCTCTGGAAGGATCAACCGTCAAGTCAATTAAACGGTTTGGTAACACCTTGTTAATTTGAAGTGTTACTAATTTGCTGACAAGTTTTTTGCTAAATAGCCCTTTTCTCGTTAACCAACATGAAAACTTCTTGTGGTGATAACATTCCTCTAAAATATTCTGAATATAATTGTTGGATGATTAAAGTCATTCGTCTCATCTAAATAGTCAAGGTTGCTTGTAATTGTTCAAATAATATAGCCAGAGTCATCGAATTTTAACCATTAGTAATGCTAGAGTTGAATTATCCAAAGGTATCGATAATTAAGTGGGTTAACAGCTACTCATATCGTGTTTGATGCTCTTTAAGATTACGATGATGATGATAGTGACGATTGTATTAATTGCGTGTAGACAACACTGATCAACTCCTTGATATCTCTACCATTTCATTTCCTTATAAAAATAATTTGGGGAATTTGTCAATCTATGGCTTTGATTCTTGGAAGCGGATAATTATAAATTGAAAACCTTGGGCCTTGCAGCTCATAAACACAATAGTTAACGTTCAATGAGAAATCTTGCTTTCCAATTTAAAACGGTAATCACCTTGGACTGTAATGTTAGTCTTAACTCTTGGCCAGAAAATTTTGGTCCGAGCCTACCTAGAAATCGAGAAGAAAGTAAAATTTAGGTTAATACAACATGTAATGGTTACATAGCCAGTTAATGTGCATTGAAAAATGTTTATTACTCACGAAACTGCCAATAAACAAATAGACAATTATAAAAATGGTTTGAAGTAGCGGTGGAATTTGATTTGAATAATTGACTGCAAACTCGCTCAGCTTATGATTCATTTTTTAATGACTAACGCATTCGAGATCGATCAAATTTACGAACTTGCATTGAGCTTTACCCATGACTTTCAATATTGCTCATTTGACAGGATATCCTTGATGTTTCATGATTATTATCACGAGTATTTTGATTCCATTTTTTGTCAGTTTATTTAATTAATGGCTTATCCTTATTTTGTTCATTGAAAGCTGATCCATGTTTAAATTAACAAGAGATTGTAATCGGTTGTAAAACATCAATAAACGAGTTCTCTCCACTGCATTTTCATATTACAACCAGTGTATCATATTGAAGCAAGTTGATCCTTCTCAGTGAAATTGCGGAACAGTCATCATGATTACATTTCAATGATCTTAAGTAAAATAATTGATCAATATGGACGTCATTAGGTAAAGTTCATCGCAGATCTAAAAGAAAGAAAAAAGATTTCAAATCAGATTTCAGTAAAATGTGTAAAATTTTGATGATAAAATCTCGGTAATGGGCAATCAACTTACAATTGAAATATTGTTTTCCCTCTTGCTCCACTCATTTATTGGTAATAAATGCCAACTTTTCTGGTCATTATTCTCTATGAGCGTTTGAAATTGAGAAAAAAAATCCACTAGCCAAGTCAACAATAAAGATAGACGAAAAGCAATGAGCTTTATATTGGATAACTGAAAATAAATGTGTGATTAAAGGTTTGTTCAAAGTTCTTATTCTGTTAGTAAATTTGATTGAATATTCCCTAACCTCTGAGCTACTCCTTCTTAAGTCACCAGTTTACCAATTGATAATGACAGGTAAATCTTTTGTTTTTGTAGATCATCATCACCATCACCAGCTTAATACAATGACTAACACAAATGGCGGATGAATCAAATAGATTTGTTAACTTGACGTGTGATGTCGATAAATGTTAACGATCAAGTTCCTATCTAATAATGCATAACATAAAGGATATCCAATTGTAAACCTTGAACCAAAAAGCAACAGGAGGATTATCTTAATCTTGTATACAATTGTTAAGTATCATCTTTTGGGTTGTTTGACATATAAAAAAAGCACAAGTTAAAAAAAGGAGAAAAAGCAAGGTAAAAAAGCAAGTTAAATAAAGCAAAAGAACACACAAAAAGCGCAATATTGGAGTAAATTATTCTGAATTGGTAATCACAGAACAGCTAATGAACAATGACAATTGATATTGATCATCATATGATCAAATATAAATTCAAGGGCAATAAGAAGTTTCACATTTCAAAACAATATCACATTGTTGTACCATAAACATGGTTAAATGGTACTTGCAAGTACTAAACAAAATAAAACGTACAAAATGGTAGACAGAATATAAAATCAACAAAATAAAATCATTTTTGTGTCATTTATTTTTTAACCAGAGTTTCATTTTTGGAGGGATTTTTAATAAACCAAAGTTGTTTATCACAAGTAAAAAAGGTTAACTGAAAATACAAAAATAAACCGTTGAAGACACTGAGATAATCGTTATCAACTTTTATGTCTGAAGATAAAGGGCAAATGAATTTTTAATGACCTCTGTGAGAAAAGAGCAAACTGCGACAAACAAAAGTAAACCAATTTTTTCCTCACTTGTTAGGTTTTTAGGTTTCTCATTGCCGCTTATTTTTGCCAGTGAATCTTCAACAGTTTAATTTCATGTTATTTATTATTAATATTTATTCTGGTTTTTTCTTCTTTTGTTATATGTTACATTTTTTTGTTGTGTTTTCACCATATTATCTGACATTTACAGTTATTATTAATCATCAAAATATTGGTTGTTTCAAGAAAAAAAGGTAATTCTCTCTTCCTTTCTAACTCCCTCTCTCCCTCTCTCTCTTAAAATCCAAGAAAGATATCTTCGTCTATTTTTTCACTCTGTCTTCTCTCTGTCTTCCTTTTTTCCCTTCTCTTTCTTTTTGCTATTTTTTTCATTTGTTAAGTGATTTTTATTATATTATTTCCCTATTTTCATGGTCTTACACTTGTTATTTTTTTCTGTGATCATTCATCATCACCAAAATTTTTGATCAACTCATGTCTTCCAATGGTGTCGAATGTTCTCATCAATTCATCCATTCTTCTTCTTCTCGTCAACAACACAAATTTGACAGCCAGGTAAACTTTCGTGTCTAAAAAAGCTTCTGTTGTTTTTCCACTTACCATACAAACATCCATATATATCTTGCCTTTCCTTCTTTTGCCGCATCACATGGGTAAGATGGTTATTCTTTTACACCATCAACTTTCGAATGAATATTAAGAAAAATCAATGTGTTATTGTGTACCTTGTGATCATGCAAAGAACATAAATATCAAACCATTTTTTGTGTTATGAAATATCATTAAAGCCTGAATCATCGATTGATGCTCATGATGCTTTCCTTATAATCATCAATATTCATCTGATTGTTTTCAGTCTTGCTTAGCCTAATTGTCTTTCTTTTTTTTCCTTTTCACTCTTTCATCCCTCTCTTTCTTTCTCTCCCTTGCTTGAATTGACTCTTCCTAACGTACCTCCTTACCGATTGTCAGTAAAAATCATCTCTCATTCTCCCTTTTCTCATCATCAGTGATGATCCCATTCTGATTCTATTTGGTCCTCATTGTTTTTTTCCTCTCTCCTCTCTTTCGTATTGCTGTCATCATCAACTCAACTCACGTTTGATAATCATTTACTCACCTAATATAAACTTCACTCTCATTGTATTCACACTTTTACAGTCTCAGCCTGAGTTTTAAAGACTTGTTTTGTTCTCGTGTGCGAGTCATTTTCTTTCTTCTGTCTTCATTTTGTTTGGTTATGTCTTTTTGTTATGAGTTTTTATCATAAACTATAGTATAAGAGTCTGTGTATGATGATTTATCCCAACTCTAAACTCACTCATTCTCCCTCATTCTTCTGTGTATCTCAACTGAAATGCTCTTCTGTTTTACCGGCATTAGAGAAATAAATAATCAATCAAATTTCATTCCTCGCTAACCCAAACATCTTCTTGTCTTTCGTTTTCTTCTTTAATCGAACACACAACGTAAATATTTAATTCAAAAATATCATCTTTAAGAGAGCCATGAGGTTAACCTTTGAAACACTTGGTTTTCATGGTTATGGTTTGAAATTTAGTCCATTTTCACCTAATTTATTGGCTTGTGCTGCTTCGCAAAATTATGGTCTCGTAGGTAAGTCGCTTTTATTCCACCCCAAATTGACTCGAATCAAAGTCCCAAATATTATTTTTAGAACAAAACTTCATAGATGCAATTACTACAACTTCTTCACAATATTCCTTTTTTTGCTTTTTTATGTATTAATATGCTACAATCATAATTGATTATCAGGTAGATGATCCTTGAGTATCAAGGGTAGTGAATGATGGAAATGGAAAGGGAAATGAAATTGTTTATCGAAGAAGTGAAAATAAATAGTAAATATCAATTTGTAACAAAGTAGCTTTTGTCTAGTTGACGAGAAGTTGATGCTTTTGATAGATTGGTTAATTTCGATTGCCCGCCTTATTATCCTTTTTCTCTCATCCCTTTTCTCGATACCTGACTGGAGTATCTATCATATCTCTGTTATCTTTAGCTTCGAATCTTTATTTTCTCCTTTTTACAGTTTTTCTTGAGTCACTTTTTTATTGACTTTTTTTAATCTCAATTATATTTGCAGGACAAGGTTGTCTATTTATTCTTGATCATGACCCAGACAAAGGAATAAGATGTCTGAGAAAATTAGACTGGTCAAAAGATGGTTTATTTGATCTTACCTGGTCCGAAGCTGACGCTGGAACGATATGGACTGCTGGAGCTGACGGCACTATTCAAATTTGGGACATTGGATCAGGAGGAAACAGTGAAGGTCCTGTCAAAGATGCTAAACTAGCATCCGTTGTACCTGCTCATCAGTCAGTTATCAGTTCTATTCAATGGAGTCAAGTACGGTCTGATCAACCAACCGTTTTAACATCGTCCTGGGACTCAACAATCAAACTTTGGGATGGTCTGACCGCTCATCACCTGACAACTTTCAATGGTCATCAAGCCTTAGTTTACGAGATTGCCTGGTCACCTCTTCTTTCATCAACTTTTGCCTCTTGCTCACGTGATGGTACAATCCGAGTTTGGGATAAATCGACACCGCCCGATCAAGCTAGTCTAGTTATTCAAGCTTCTCAATCTGAGATTCTTTCCTGTGATTGGTGTAAATATGATTCAAATATAATCGTTGCAGGATGTTCAGATAAATCAATAAAAATTTGGGATCTTCGATCCATTGACAATGGTCCACTAACCGTACTTATGGGTCATGATAGAGCTGTGAAAAAAGTACGGTTCAGTCCTCATAGCGCCTCAATAATTGCCTCTGTCTCATATGATTTCACCACTCGTTTATGGAACTACCTTAACTCGGACCAAAGTTTCTCATCAAAATCAAAATTGATCATCACACGACAAAATCATAGTGAATTTGTTTATGGCCTGGACTTCAATATTCATCTACCTTATGTTTTAGCTGATTGTGGTTGGGATAGATACATTTGTATCTTTGCCAATCAGATTTAGACATGAAAGATCAACCTGATCACCCTGTGAAAAGGCGGCTGAAAGTTTATTTAAAAGCTTTCCATGCCTTTACCCTCCTACTTCCGTCTATTCATTTACTCATTTCTATTTTCTATTTTCTCTCTTTCTATCTCTCTCTCTCTCTCTCGCATTTCTTCTCCCACATGCTCTCAGTCACCTTAGCTTATTTCACTCATAGCTTTCAACTTTTCATTTCGTCATCATAGCTGACATTGGAAGGCTGATTAATCCCGCCAAAGTTAAGCTCATTTCGTTATACGTTTACTGCGTATGCTAATTTTTTTGTTCTCTTTTTTTCTCTTCATTATTTCTAATTTATAAACCAAAGTTAACAGATTGGTTAACCAGCCAATGTTCTTTAAATCTTACTCCACCTCTTCCTTGCCTTGCTTCTCCATCCCTATTTTTCATGCTATTGTATTATATAAATAGTCGGGCTGGTTTTTGAAAAAAAATTGAAACCAATTATTATGATAAAATCCTACAAAAAATACAAATACAATTCTTACCCTAGTTAATTAGACGAGATGAAAAAAAGGACTAGTTGTAAAATAAGATTAAAAAAGATAGTTTCTGGTATGGTGTTATTCAAATATTGAGGTTTGATTGTATTTGAATTTTTCTCCCTTCTCCTCTTTTCGCACCTTTTTGTCACCTTTTGTCTCATAGTTTCTACAAAATTTTCATGCATTTATATAACTATACAAACAAGAGTATGTTAAATTATATCTTTACACCGAATTAGGAGACTCAAATAAATCCAAACAATTAAATTGTAAGTTTGGGTTATTTGTTTCTCCCGCAATTTGTTTGCTCTTTGCGAATCTCATTCAATTGTGATCTTTCTTATCTCTTTTTTTCTTGATATTTTCTTAATGAAAAGTTTCTCTTCTCTCTATCTTTCCTCTTTTCTTCTTTCACTCTTATATTGTTTGTTACCTTAAATTTGGAATCAATCAAGTAAATTAAATCTTGCTCTTTTTCAATGATTATTTTATCAATTAATTTATCCTTTCAGTTCTCTCTCTCCCTTCAATATTCAAATATTTTTATTAACAGTCGATTCATCTTTTTGATTCAGCATTTCTGCTTTTACCATGTTTACATTATGATTGTTCCCATACTGATCAAGTTACCCATCTATTTATAAGACCCATCCATCTATTCAAGCCAGATCATGGGTAGAGCCAGGAAGATGACAGTTAATAAAGAGATGGCAATGCAATGGGTCATTCATGTGTTGAAAAATTACCGGTTGAGAAGTGTTCAGATTGTGAAAAGTGAATCACGTAAATCTGCCGATGAGGAATCTAACGATTTGAAAGTTTATTGAAGGAGGACAAAGATTTGTAACTTGATTAAATTACTCATGAATTTGTCTGCTTTTGTCGGGTCTTTTGTTGCTCAATGTTCAATTTTTGGTAATCAGTTGAACCTTGATTTTAGTGAAAATTGCATTTAAGAGAGTAAACGTCGTTTAAATTGTAATTTTTGAACATATTTTCAACAACTTTCTTCCTAATGATACTTTTCATGACGATAAAGCACTTCAATGTGTACATGTGAAAGTTAACGTAACTGATGACATTATGAACCATACGCACGACCGAGTTTTCATTGTAATAACTTAAATTGTTAGACTATCTTAATGACCTCTCATTTCAGTAAAAATATATCTCTATATTAAAATAAGTAAATCATTTGCAAGATAAACAGACTTGGTCTATCGCTTGTCAACCGTCATGAATGATCATCAGTAAAAGATGATTTACACTTAAATTGAAGCCAAACACAAAACCGTCTTTTGTTTAACCTTCATCTTATTTCAAAACGAGTTTTAATTAACTGGTAAAAGATGACATTTGGTGTGTAGTTAATTGATCAACATAAATGTTCAATTGTCTATCCTCTATGCATTGTATTCAATTTATAATGAGAGAAACAATTTGAACTTGAATCTTTTTAAAATCTATTTAATTGTTACATTTACTGTCTCATTCAGCCCTAAATCAACAAAACATTTAGACTGTTTAAGCTGATCACCTTCTGAATATAAACTTCTCTTGATTCCATAGAAGTATCACTTTGATTGAATCCCTAATAATTTTTAGGCTGAGCATGCTTATTGTAAATTAATAGTAAGATCCGAAGAGTAAGATTGTAAGTCTTTCTCTACTCTTTGGTAAAATCTGATACAAATAAGATAGACGTGTTCATTGCGATAAAACAATAAGCAATTGAATTCAAATCATTTTGAAAATTGCTTCAAACAAACATCCTTCATATCATTTCATTTTCAGCCTTTAACTGTTAATTAATCTAGTTTAATGGTCGCCATTGATCAACCTACAGTAAAATCCAAAGGAAAGGAAAGCAGGTCAAAAAGAGTTTGAGTAATATTTACCTTTTTCAGGTAAGAATCGTGGGAAGCAGTGAGTATGAAGTGATTTCACTGGTTATTACATTGACTGAATCTTTTTCCTTGACTCTTTCTGTTTTTTTTTGCTGTTTCATTGTAATTGAAATTCAACTTTACCACTGAATCGCAAACACCATCAGACTTTAACTGTTTTTATTGGAAAGGGTCAACAATCATAATCTTTCCATATAAACATGGAACTCAATACCAGAGTAATCAAAGAGCCTCGAGGATTTATTCGTATATTGCAATTGGTAAGTCTTTTATCTGTTTTAATTCCACCTTTGATTTATCATCCTCCTGTCAATCTTATTTTGATCATTCTGGTCAGTTACAGTAAATAAGCTGATCTATTGACTTGACTCCAGATTTATGCCTTCAATTCAGGTGAACAAAATGATGTGATCTACATCCATATACTGTAGATGAAACGGTTTCTAAGGGTAAAAGATCATCTTCAAAAATTTGAGTTTGAGTTTTAGATATTTCATAAATTTACCGAGTAATTTGCTATTTTGCTGATTAAGCATTTGGTTGACATTGATTGGACATTGGTTCAGCTGTTTGTGAGCTCAGAAAATTGAATGTCTAATTTTTAGGTTTCCCAAATTGGTCTTTCAATACTTACCAGAAAATATAGGAGACGCAGTACCTCATTTAAATGATAGATTTGCCATCTCAATTGCAATCAAGAGGCAATTATTTGGATTAACTCAATCTTCAGAGCAATAATGTTAAGAAATTAATAAGGACATGATACAGAAAAAATGGTTAGAAAGTGTATTCATTGTGCTATTCCACGCAGTTTTTTTCAATGCTGGTCCTAAATCCATGAATTTCATCCTGGAATTTCATTACTATTTCACTAATTTTTGTCTTTTCTTTTTATTTGAAGATTTTCGCAATATTTGCTTTTGCAACGACTTCTGGTTTTAAAGGAACTTCGGAATTGGAAATGTACTGTTCAGGGCAGTTAACGGAAAGCGAGCCAGTAAACACAGAAAAGTTGACCAGAAAGATTGAATACAAAATTGAATATCCATTCGAATTAGAGAAAAGTCAATTTACAATAATTCCTAACTGCACGAATCCAGATACTATTGTCTCTCGAAATTTCCCAATGGATTTTTCCAGTTCGGCAAGATTTTTCGTAACAACAGGAGTCCTCTGTATGTTATATTGTATTGGAGCTTTAGCCTTTTACCTGACCTCGGCTCCTATTTATGCAACCAATCCATTGATCCCTGTTCTTGATCTGGTGGCAACTGGTATTTTCACCATTTTCTGGTTTGCTGGATCATGTGCTTGGGCTGCCGGTGTCTCGGACCTCAAATATTATACCAATCCAAGTACTTTCAAAAGACACTTGAAAGTTTGTGATGTAAAACCAACAATTTGTTCAACTAAATCTTTAGCTAATTGGTCTTCTCTTAATGTATCATTGGTAAGATTACGTTATCCCTACATTGAAACATCTGATTTCATTCAAAAATCTAATTTTATCCTTTTGTTTTACAGATATTTGGGTTTGCTAACTTCTTCTTATGGGCAGCCAGCATGTGGTTTGTTTATAAAGAGACTCAATTCCACCCTAAATCAGAAGCTGGTCCTATGCCTCCTGGACCACCAATGCCAAATTATCCTCCTCAAGCTCAAGATAGCTTTGGTGGTTATGGTGATCCCATAGGAGCTCAACAAAAGTCTGGTGGGCAATATCCAAATGAGCAACAATTTGTTGGACAGTATTAAATCGAGATATGAATCTACTTTTAAGCTAAATATATCAGAACTAATTTCTTAAAAAGAGTTCGAAAACATGATGGAAGTGAAACATTTGAATATTGAGTTAAACAAAAGCAATACGTTTTGATTTGTGAACTAGTCGCCAAAAAAAGTAAACCCATAAGATAAAAGCACAATTAATTATATTGAGAATGTTCCATGTAGAAAATTTTTCGTTTGTTTGAATATCATGTTTGTTTTTCAGTGTCACTCATTGTAAATATCCACTGTAATAAAAGAGAATGCGATTATAAAATTTAGCTAGTTTATAGTAAAAATTAATTTATATTTTATTTAAGATGAATCAATATCTACACGTTTAAAGCTTTTGGTTCATCGTTTTATCACAATGTAAAAGATGAAACGTTTTTTGTTGATACATAAAGCTTAAAAATGATTGATTTCAATTTCCGATCCCATTATTTGGATTGAAACTGTTAGGCAATTTTTTTAAGAACTAAAATCACTCTTGACTGTATCAATGGATTTAATTTAAAGATGTCTGCCTATTAAAAGGTTGTGCTTTAATGAAGTTTCTTATTTATTCAAACATGGAATCAAATCTAAACTCAAAAGATAGAAATGGTTAGAATGGGCTTTTTACTTCAATAAAACATATCTGAATACGGACAACACAAGTTTGGTTAAATTCAGGTTGAAATAAGTTGGTGCAAGTGATTTTCAAGCGACTCGGAAGATAAAGTTTTAACAGCTTTTTCCTCAATTCAGACCATTCAATTCAGATTAATAAAGCAGTTCTAGGTGAAGAAAAAGAAAACTTACAATTCTATCATTTTTTAGTTCCTCATTAGTAATAGTTTGTTCAAATATTATTATAATTACAATTATTACCAGAATTTGTGTTTTATTTTTTTAACGCTAGATAGCGTTGGCTAAACATGAACAAAGCAACGCTTTCAAATTGTAAGCACTCCTTATCATACAATCCGATACTTTTTTGTTACTAGATCCATATTTTAATCTTTAAAATTTTAAATTAAAGAATTAATATTATTGATTTAATGAACTATGTTGATATTAATTTATCTTACTGATGATTAAGGTTTGTATTCTGGCATGAAAAATAAACTTAATAACAATAAGCAATCTAATTGATTGAGAGCAAATTATTTTCGGTTACGAAAGGCTGGATCCAAATCCAAACTGTACTCATTTCTGTCTTGTCTTCAAAACCTTATCAGATATCATCTTAACCGGATTCACCCAAAGAATATTACCCTAACATCGCAATTTGCATTTGATTTGTTTAAATTTGGTTTAAATTGGATTTATTCAACGCCGTTTAAGTTTTTTAAATTCAAATCTGTTCTCATCTAGATGTCAGACATATTTTAAACAGTGTTGTTTCATTGTCTTTTGGTGTTAAGTTTTTCCCATTAAGAGCGCGGGACTTTTTTTATTATCCTCCCTCAAAGTGTTATATCATTTATTGATAATCTGATTTTTTATTCTTGCTTAATCTGCTTATTGAAATGGCTACTTCTGTTAAAAACAACGGTGACGAGGTAAGCTCTCAACAACCTGCTAAAAAATTTAAAAAAGATTCTGAGGATGCCGGTATTGCTGGTAAAAATGGTGAAGAGCTGAAAGGCGGTCACGTTGAAGATCAAGTTAAAAGAGATGGAGCCAACCATCAGTCTGAAGCTGCATCTAATGATAAAGACAATAAATCTTCTGGTGATAATGCAAATTCTGCAGCAAAATCAGAGGAAGAACTTCAAAAGGTAATTAAAGAGCTTCAAAAGTGTCAACAAAAAATCAGTTCTTGTGTTATTAAGCAAGCCTTCTCATCGGCACTCGAACAAGAATTTAATGATATCAGAAGACCTTTCATTGAGGAAAGAGACGAACTCATCAAGAAAATTCCTGATTTTTGGGTACAATCTTTCATTAACCATCCAACCTTAACTACTATTCTGGATGAGGAGGATGAAAAATGCTTGCATCATCTGAAAAAAATAGAAGTAGAAGAATTTGATGATGCCAAATCTGGATTTAGAATTAAATTTCACTTTGATGATAATCCATACTTCGAGAATAAAGTTTTGATTAAAGAATTCCATCAAGGTTCAGGTGGTGGTGAACCAGCGCCTACATCTACTCCCATCAACTGGAAGAACACTGAATGGGCAGAAAGGCTTAGAGAGCAAGCCGTAAATCGATCAAAAAATGATAAATCTCGTAAACGTAAGAGCTCTGGACCTTCTCAAACATTCTTTTCTTGGTATCTTCACTATGGTGGCCAAGCTGTAGATGATATTGCTAAAATTTTGAAGGAAGAGATGTGGCTTGATCCTGTTCAATTTTTCCTCATTCACGACCAAGAAGATGAGGAATCTATAGAGGACGAAGAAGACTACGAAGAAGATGAAGAAGATGAATCTGTTGATGATAAATCCATCGATTTGGATTCCGAAGATGACGAAGCAGATGAAGAAGAGGAAGAAGATGGAGAAGGAGATGAAGGTGATGATGATGAAGATGGTAATGAAGAAAGTGCTGAGGAAGGTGAAGGTGAAGGAGTCGCAGACGACGATGACGATGATGATGCAGAATAATTCATTTAATAACAATTCTTGAATCTGTCATAAACTCTCTTACCATCTCGATCAAATCTTCCAGCTTAATGCTTCTTTTTACTTTTTATGGATCAAGAAAATTATCATAAACTGTCCGTGTCAATTTAGAGCATCATATTTTGGCATCATTGTTCCATTTCAATCTGATTAATTCTTAGAGAAATCACTTTCTTGCTTTTAAGATAAAACCAATTTTGCTACCGGTGTTTCTTGGATCAGAAAACGATCAACTTTAACTGTTGAAGTCTTTCTAAAATTGATAAGCATCACTATGAACTCATTACACCAGTTGAAACCAAATTGTTTTCTTCAACTCCCTATGACTCAATCATTAAAATTTCCCTCTCATTTTTCACCCCAGCATACATGTTAATCCATCTCTCAAAATTGGATATACTTTATATTTAGTTTGTTACATTTGAGGTAGCAACTAACTTGCATTAAAGTACATTAATTTTCTTGAAACCGCTCATGAGTTTATTTCTTTATTCTTTATATGAACTTCGTTTACCAAAGTCATACTCGATTTGGCCAAAAGTCTTTCATAAAAAATTAAATAATCGATTACAATGTTAGTTTTTGATTCTCCTGAATAAATTAAACAAAATCTGAACATGAAGCGATCGGAGAATTGCTTAATCAACAGTGATTTGTGATTAAGATTTGAAATAAAATCAGTACTGTCAAATTTTGCGCCCAAATATTATGTAGACAATTTCAGGTAATCGGTTTTATGCGTATTAAAGCAAATCTTTAGATACAATTACAGTAAAATTACATTTCTCACAACATTTGTCAATATTTTTCCAAAGATGCGCCATCTTTTGATGACCATTTTTTCCCTGAAACTCATAAACACGCAAAAAACAGAGATTAAAGAGAGAGAAGATTCAATCGCTACAAGAGATGACGTTTCAATTTCATAAAGTGAGATGAAAAGATTTGAGCAAGAAAATGATAATTCATTTCAAGAGATCGAATATCGAAAAATCGTAACTTTAATGTAATAGTTTTTTGGTTCCCAAGGTGGAATGCATCCAATATAGTAAAAATACATTTAATCATAAGGATGGATTATCTTTTTCTCTTTGACTGTTTGGCAATTCGACGACTTTTTAAAATCATATTATATAGAATTTCAAGTCCATCATTCAATCCTTCCCCAATGACAGCACAGGCTGGTTGAACATGCCATAGTTGGCCAGGGTTAAGACTGTCGAGACCCAATAAGCTGGCAATCTCTTTAGGATCTTTAGCACCAGGTAAATCTTGCTTATTTGCTAATATTAAAAATGGAACACCGGCATTTTCAGGAGACTTCGCTGTCCTTAAAAGTTCCATCTTGGCTTCTTCCATACGTTCTTCATCAACAGAGTCAACAACAAATACAATACCATCAGTACATCTAGTATACGATCTCCAAAGAGGACGTAATTTGTCTTGCCCACCTATATCCCAGAAAACGAAATTTGTGCCTTTCAGCTTACCCGTCTGTCCTGTAATTTGAATATAAGAAAACAGTATTAAACTTTGATATTGATAAAAGTGTTTAAGAAGTGATATGATAAAATCTTGGAGTGATAGTAAGGGTAAAGGTTAAGGAGATGGGAAGGAAAAAGTTGATGATACATATGAAAGTAGGATCGATTAAGGGAATGAAATGATATTATACCTTTGATTTTCTCACAGTTAAATCCTATAGTGGGCACAGTATTAAGATATTGATCAAATTTAAGTCTGTAAAGTGCTGTTGTTTTTCCAGCTGAATCAAGGCCTAACATAACAATATGAATTTGGTGGAAAGGTGAGAGTATATCCAAAATGGAACCTCCTTTCCCAACAGCGGAGCCCATTTAGGTTTATAAATAAATGCAGAGGAAATCATGAAAAAAACAATAACTGTTTAAATAACAGTTATAACATTATAATAAAATAGTTAACAAAAGGTAAACTAATCAACAAATTCAAAATCTACGTTAAGCTTTCTATCAAGCTGACATCTGTGGTGAAATGAAATAACTATTAGACCATTTTTACAGACGACTGTTCCTGCTCTTTCTCAATCGCTAAATTAAAATACAATGTATGAACTGGATTCAGAATTGATTGAACTAATTCCCGAATCTTTTAATTAAAACAATTAAATTCTTTTGAATCGTGCTCTTTTTGGCTGTAAAATGTTACTCTTAATGGGATTTAATTATATAACTGCAGTTGAAGTGATTAGACTTCTAAGGTCAATTCAATCTTGTTAGGTAAGCTAAAAATGTGATAATCAAATAAAGGGTGAAACAGCAAGCGCCGTGAACAATTTAATGCTTTACTTATTATTCTAAATTTAAAACAATAATCAATTTATTAACCATACGCAAAACTATTTAACTATAATTATGATCTGAAGTGGCTAAGTCTCCTTGGTTAATAATAGTCCTAAAAGAGAGAAAGAAAAGTTCAAAAATTAGAATTAAAATTTTTGGAAACAATGTTATCATTAAATAAAACTCACCAGGAAAATATCGAGCTCCTATAAGACCACATAGGTTATATATCGCTTCATTTTCTCTAGTTATAATTGATAATGCGTCATCAGGAAGTGCAGTGGTTTGTATAGCGGTTAGATGACCAAAAATAAGTGCATCAAACTCTGTTGGACTGTAAATCAAGTAAAAAATAATTAGCTGATTCATTTTAGTATCACATCACAAATTACCTGTCTCCAAAGAAATATGGCCCAACCATAAGCTTAGATAGATTTTCGAGTTCGCATTCAACCCTCCTGATTGCCTAAATTACAAAAAAAATACATCAGATTTTCACTTATTGATTGAAAAATGTCTACATTAATTAAGTAAATTAACATACTTCATCATAGTTTGTAATCGGTTCACTACCAGATTTGATTCTCTTTGTAATATTCCTTTTTTTGCTATAATAGAGTATAGAACTTAAAGGCCATGGGTATTTCGAAACGTATCTTGGATATGTATACTGAAAAAGACCAAGCATAAAATGTTAAAAAATATCAATTTGCACAGTTATAAATTTAAAAACTTACTTCTTGGACTATCTTTTCATGGCACCAGATGAAATATAACTATCGAACGAAAAAGAGACATTAGACTGAATAAAAAATACCGATATCAATACAATAAGCTTCAGAAATGAATATTTTCTGCATATATTACCTCAGCATCTGTTAAAACTTGGTGAAAATGGTTCATATAAACTCTAGTATCGCGTTCAATTTCTTCACTTCTCTTCGTAAAGCTTTTGTCATAGGACTTTGCAAAATCAATTATTGCTTCGATTCCAGAAATTAATGTGTTTCCTGTTTTTATGAAAGGTACATCACCTAAAAAATGCGGAAAACAACAATATTAGAGTCAGGACAATTCATTAAAGCGAAGGTATAAAAATTGATTACCTGTGGGCGACATGTATTCTGCATTAGGCCGGTATTCAATCTCAAAAGACAAACCACACATCTTAAGGATGGCTTCAACACTAATACAATTAGCTTTCTCATGTAGAAATAAGTATTCTGTGTAAATAATAATAGAAAATTGATGAGTAACGAAAAAATATCCTCAAAAATCACAATTACAGACCAGGTATGGGATGAAATAGTTTCAAATCAATTGGCCAATTTTCTGGAAAAGAATAAAAGCGATTGTCATTAATATGCACAATTTTTGTTGAAAAAGTTTTTACCTGATTGTTCGTCCATGGGTGCAGAGAATTGGTGATATTCCATTGAACAGAATACAAAAACCTAGACAATCACGAAAAAACGAAAATGAGAATTTCATCATTTAATGAGAACTTCTTTAAAGAGGAGGTTATTGATTGGTTATTGGAGGACAGAACTTATAAATAAACTTACCTTTAACTTTGAATAGGAATGAGAGAAAAATCAAAAATCATCCCAGAAACAAATATAAAGTAAATTGCCTTTAATAATTCAAAATTGAATGTACAAATTAAAGAGAGAAATCTTTTCAAAACATATGTAACTTTGGTAATCATTTGTCGAGTGATGGAGCCACAAACTTGAGTTTGATGTTAAATTCAAATCGGGAAATTACTCGTCGAGTAAAAAACTAATATTTATACAAAAATTAAATCTTTGAATTCATTTTGAAGCTTGACTTTTCGCAATATCCAATTAAAATTTCTACAAAAGTGGAAGTAGTCAAGAAATTTTATTAATTTGAGTTTACAAAAGTTTCTGAAACAACAATATGGTGTCAATATTTATTGAAATGTCAATAAATGAAGAGTATTTAAAACAACTATTTTTGAACTGGGCACAATTTATCCCGAAATCGATGCTGATGACACTCTCAGAATGCTTAACTGTAAATACCGATTTCATAGGTCGTCAGGTTAGGCCCAATCTTCATTTTTCTGATCTCCAATCAGCAAAAATTTTGAACATACTTTCTCTCTTCTTTGGATTCCCTACATTGACGGTTGGTATGATTTGCTTGGGTTTAAAAAATTTGATGAACCGCTCTAGCTCGGAGTAACTCGAATGCTCACTGTACGGAACACCTGTCAAAATGTGTCAAAATACAATGTAAGAATAGATCAAATTAAATAATTTTCAGTTAACTTACCATATATGGTAACATTTTCCTTCACATTTGGTTTTAGTTCACTTAAAGATTTTCCACCTTCTGTCCAGCCAGTAGGCTTGAATGCTAATAATGAGGTATATTTTTCACCATATTGTTTGAGATAATCACGAAGAGCCTTCAAAGGAATCAAAAAGTTTTGATTAGATATTTATAAAAGTAGAACACGGTATAATAATTACCTGGTGATTAATATCTCTCATTGGTAAAACATGAACTTGGGCTTTACTTTTCTCATGAACTAGATATGAGTTGATTTCTGGATCATCTATACATTTAATGAGCCTTAATTTTGCTGATGATACCCAAACATTTGACTTTAAAGAGCTACAAATTATTTTGAACACCTTCTCTTTTCCAATACTATAAGTTCCGCAGACAATCAAGGTTTTCTTGTGTATTTTGAGATGGTTAAGTGTAATGTTTTGAATGGCTTTTAAAGTCTCACTTTGGGCTGGGAATTTATAATTAGGATCACAATAAGTTGTATCAAGGTATATTGAATCGATTGGTTTTTCAATTAGATAAACGTCCTTTTCCATTTCAGGCGAAGCTCTGAAATCTCCGGTATGTAGTATTCTTTTGCCATTTGGCATAATCATCAGAAACATAACTGCACCAGGACAATGAAAGGCATCGACAGCAATCACATTAGAACCGTCAATCATGGTTGGCTGGTGGGGATCAACGATAATAAACTGATTCTCAGCAACTCCAATTTGACTCATCACGAGTTTGGCTGTGATTGAACTGCAAACAATTGTTCCAACAAAAGACTTTCTCAAACCATTGTAATGATCCGAGTGAAAATGAGTGAGAAAATAAAATTGTATTCCAGGTATTAGACCAAAATTAAAGGCATCAACAGCGAATTTGGTTCCGGGTATTTTTTTATAAAAAGGGCACAATCTTGGTCCATTCCGTGTTTCTTCTTTAATGGCAGATTTAACAGGTCCTTGCTTTTTACGCTTAGTAGTGTTTCCATAATCTTCAACAAAATCATCCTCTTCAAATTTACGAAACATTGAACTGTCATCAATAGTAATCACTCCAAGTTCATCTGTTTTCACCTCCAATTTCGGTTTAGCCTTCATGAAAGCCGTAATTTTCAACTGCTTAGCCATGATTGTTAAGTGTTGGCCTGTCTGTAAAATGAGGATTAAAGAAAATAAGAAATTATTATATGTAAATAAGAAATGATAAAGAAAAATCTTAAACAAAGAAACTCAAAAAGTCTAATTATTAAAAGATAAGGAAATAAACAAAAGCAATATTATCTTACCTCTTTGTGGTCGTTAAAATTTTTTCAAATAAAAGATGGATTGTTGATAGCAACACGTGACAAATATGATTAATTTAACAAAATCCCGGTACTGAGAACAGTTTGTTTATAAAGATCTCAAGCATTGAAAGGTAAATGACACTACGGTCAAAGATGACAAACTCATGTGAACTTAAAATAATGATGCAATTTAGCAGGTTAAGCAATTATAACCCATTTCAAGTATCTTTCCAATTTCCATAGAGAGAGCTGGGTGATTAGAATTGACCTGAATTTAATTAGACGTTTAATGAGATGAGTGAAACCCTTTAGACTGAAGCTTGTTGAGCTTTAGGAGTAAACAACTTTGTTTACATACAAAGACCATCCATTTATTTTGAGTCTTGGGCAGCTAAGCGTAAAGAAAAGTTAAGGCGCTAAATTAAAAATTAGGAAAACTTGAGTTTAATATTGAAAATCAAGAAATCAAAAGCAAAACAAAATATCAAGTCTTACGCTTGTTGTCATAGCGGTGGATAATCTTATGAAGATTATTAAATTCTGTATGGTTTCACTCCAGTTTATCACTTAACTTGGATCGTTATTTAATCTATAAGCACAAGATTATTCTATTTCAATTAAATCATGAATATGGCAGTTGATTTATAGTTAAAAGTGAATTATATTTAAAATGAGGAATAAACTAAGGCAAAGAATTTTATGCTCTTGTCAAGAAGACTACAAATCCAAACCAGCTGATTCGCGCTCTAATTTTAACCAAAATACTTACATTTAAAAATTATTAATGCTGGCGCTGATCATGGAAATCTGATTGAAATGTTTTCTCATATGTAGTAGCTCTATAGTCAAAGAATATTAAACCAACTTTTAAAAAAAAATTATAGCTCACATCTGAACACTCTGAAAATGAGGTGGAAACCATTCTTATTTTTCTTTCTTGTGGCAATACTTCTTTCGTTTATTTCACTTCTCTATTCTCTCATTTAGAATCAGTTGCCAAATTAAACGAACTTAAATCTAGTTATCAAAGATCACTTTAAGAAGCAATGCTGGTACTGATCTCATAGATACTCCTTTTTCTGGTGCTGTTGTTCTAACCTCCATGTGTGGTGGTAAAGCCGATTTTGGTGAACAAAGTTTGAAACTCCACTACTTTGCATGGAACGTAGGGTTATCCATTGTGCTGGCACAGATGCTATGACCGTCAATGATCATGGAGACTGAGATTGAGAAAAGATAAATAATATCAAGAAATTGGATCATGATCGGCTAACAAAAGTAACTTTGTGATCTGAAATACTTTTTAGTTTTCAGTGTAAGACTTTATTTTGTAATAGTGGAAATTATCCAGAGTGTGAAATTTATAAAATTTTAATGCATATTGCACTTGAATAGCATGAAAATAGTTTTGCTAAAATTTTATCCATTACTAATTTGCAATAAGTTTGTGCTCATATTTCTACCATTCCTTGAATACTTCTATTATATTTTTGCTATTTTAAGTAGTTCAATTTACAATTAACCGTCTCTTATTTTATGAGCAACTTTAGGATCAAAGAAGATGGAGCTGATAAATTTGAAGACACTCGGAGCATATTGGTTGAAGTATAGAAATAGCAAAGGTGGCTGAATAGACATCCAAGCTTCATCTAATTCATTAACTATTGAAACAGCAATCAACTTTGCACATCTATCAGATGACATTCTTTTCATTTCCTCTGGATGTTTCCGTCCAACAGTTTCACCAATTTGTCCAGTATAAGCATTTTCCAGAACTCTCGATTCAACTGGACCTGGACAGCACATTGTGATTTTAATATTTTTACGAAAAGATTCAACTCGTAAGCATTCAAAATAACCCTGAAAAAAGAAGAGATTTTTGAATATACAGGGTGTAAATGTCAAATACGCGGTTTTGAATCGCTAATAACTTTTTTGTTCTTTGTACCATTTCGTAATTTTTTTCGATTATATGTAGTCAGATAGTGCGAGTTTTGTTCACAATAGTTCGAAAATTTATGTGATTACATTTAGTGCGAGAAATTTCGCCTCAAAGTCAAAAAAGTTGATTTTTGCTTCGGAAATAGTCGAATCCAGAATTTTTTTTTGCCAGGATTCAAGATTGGAAAATTGAAAAATCAGGTAATTCTAATCCTGAAAATATTGAATGATTAAATTTTTCGAGTGAAAATATCATGATAAGAAAAGTAGACCAATCCAAAATAAAATGTCAATGTTCAATGCGCGTTTTGCCTACCTTCAAGATCCGATATTTTTCGAATGCAAAATCATACAACCACAAAGTGGACATCATTCGATAGATAATTTTTTGTTGAATTTTTCAGGCAAAAAATATTCATGAAATTGCGAAAATTTGACTATTTTTGAGGTGATTTGCGGCAGAAATCAACTTTTTAGACTTTGAGGCGAAATTTCTCGCACTGAATGCAATCACATAAATTTTCGAACTACTGTGAACAAAACTCGCACTATTTGGCTACATATAATCGAAAAAAATTACGAAATCGGACAAAGAACAAAAAAGTTATTAGCGATTCAAAACCGCGTATTTGACATTTACACCCTGTATACTGAAAAATCACAAAATGACAGTTTCCAATCACATACATGAAGTGCGTGTTTACTTGCAGTATACGATGCTGAAAATGGCGCCCCAAGTTTACCAGCAACACTAGTTACTACAGCAATCGCTCCCGCGCTATCTGTTTGTTCCCAATGTTTTAAAACCAATCTAGTTAAGTTAACTGGCCCTAGAGTATTGATTTTGTACAATTCTTCATCGACGGACACATCAATCTCATTGAAGGAAGCCCTTTGTGATCTGCCCGCATTATTGACCAACACATCTATCTACAAAGCATTTCGATAATTAAGAGTTCAAAAGTTAAATTATCGAAAACTTTATCCATGTTAACAGACGAAATGTCATTTATACGTACTCTTCCAAATGTTTTTATCGCCTTTTCGACCATCTCAGAATGAACTTTAAAATCTTTCATATCAAAGACCAAAGCCAAAATATCCTTCTCAGGTACACCTTTAAAATATGAATACAAATACCACGTTTAAACATTTAAATGTAGTTAGCATCATAGTTTAGATTCATTTGATGTGAGATCGTAACAACCTTCAGAAATACAATTAAGCCGGACATTATCCAATCGATCTTTAGTGGTAGCAGAGATAATAAGCTTGCAGCCGTTTTTAGCCAGCAAATAAGTAAGAGATTCACCAATACCACTGGATGCTCCTGTAATCCAAACCACTTTTCCTTTCAAACCACCTGTGATATTGATAAAAATAATGAATAGTGAAATTATAATACATTGTACATTGTAATACATTTTGAATGCAATATACGATTTTAGGATTACTGCAACATATGAAAGAAAAAATTATTACTCTCTGTCAATATTAGATTCTGCATGTGTTGTGCTGACATGATAGATTACTAATATTTAATCTACAGATAGTAAAACATACAGCAATTCAATCAAATAATTGCTGCTGTTGTTTGTCACTGTTATTGCAATCAACAAGTTAAAAATAAAACGAGGAAAAGGGAGAAAAATTTAGGTATAAATGGATACTTACTAATGGATTTGCCAAATTTTTCAGCAAAGTAGAGAGTCAGGTCAGAGTCAAGGCTTATAATAAACAAAATTATTAAAGTGATGACAATAACCAAAGATGTCAAAATTAAAAATATAATCAAACTTGGATCCATTATAAAAAAACAAGTGTCCAAACAACAATAATCTGAGGAGAGTTTTGAGATGATCCTTCAATGTTGAAACAAACAAGTCAGCTTTTTTCCTTGCACTTCAATCCAAGCTGGTCAACATGTCGCTGTTGTATCTTCATGGCAAGGGTTGTTATAATTACAGTCGATAATAATTATCTCCTTTCATAGAAAGATAATAAAAAGTCAAACTGAACTAAGAATTAAACAGACTTTGAAACTAAACTCTTAACAAGCTTAAAGAAATCAGCAAAGAATCCATCAACTATTTTGTTTATAAAGCAGCTTCTAACAAGTTCTCCTGTTCTGATTATAGAGACTTACAGTGAGATCTATAGTCAATTTTTTGCATTAAAATAATTTTACAGCAAAAGTAAGATTTATTATAAAAGTTAACATAATTAAGTTTCAATGGTTTAAGCTAATTTTTTGACAAAAAAATATTTTAATGAAAACTTACATCGATCATTACATGAGTTACTGTTACAAAGACCTTGTTTTTAGACCAAAAAGTTCATCAATAAGGACTGATTAAAGGTGCGAAAGTTTGGGTTACCTCAATGGGTTACGGGTGTCTAATAACATGTAAGTTAAAATGTAATGTGTTCGTTTGAAAGTGAAGCACTGTGCATGGTGGGAAAAAGCCGCTTATTTCAATAACACTTAACATGATCAGATAAATCAGTCATCCAATTGAATGACATTATCGTATAGTGAAAAATTTGATTTGAGCGTCAAAAAAATTATGAAAACTTGAAATTAAAAGCTTTGCAAATTTATTAATGTACTTTTTTGAAACAATCAAGATGAAAACATTTTGAGATTTTAGTTTTTTATTGTTTTCACGTATTTTCAATGACCATTTATGATGACAATTCAAAGTGTTGTTGCCAAATTTATTGGAATGGTTTCTTCTTATTACTGTATTATATTGTCATTATCATTGATAGTTGCATTATTGTTACAATCACTCGACAATTACCAGGATCGAGAATCAGGTAAGAAAAATTCGTAGGCAGTTAATGTCGCGGCCAAGTGATTAAACGTTGAAACATTGTGACCATTTGACAGTGAATAATAATCAGCTTTTAAACCATTGTAAATTGCATCAACAAATTAACCATTGACAATTAACTTGACCATCTAAGACATGATTATTTTCAACTTTTATTAACATTAGTAACAAATAACCCAAAATTGGGTTGGGATAAGAAGAGAAAGAAATGAAAAGGAAGAATAAGAATAAGGAATCTGAGCGTTTCTCTATTTTTTCAATCGAAAATATTGATATGTTTTATGTTTAAAACTCTTACTCTGTTAATTTAAAAGTGTTACATTATTAATATTAATCAATGTATTTATATTTAACTATGTTATCGGAATAGATTTGTAATTTCTTGTCTTATTCAACATGTTTTAATAAGGACTACGACAATAGCTTCAGCTCTATTTGATTTTGGCAAGAGAAAAGGTTTTGTTTTTTTTGTGTGTTTTGCGAGGGGAAAAATATTTCAATTATTATCAATGTAACAGATTATGATGACAAAAATAAAAGCAGATTAACTGAAAAGTTAATTACATGATAAATCTAGTGAGACTCTGTGAGTGATTAATTTTATGTAAGTGTTTGTTGTGAATGTTAATCTGGTAAAACAAAATCATCTATGGTTTTCCTTGTGTTGCTTCATTTGTTTTTGTATTAAGTGAATGTTGGATTTTTTCATTTCGCTTTAGTTTGCCAATGGGTTGGAATTGTTGATTATTATTGTTGTATTTAGTTGAAAAATTGCTATTTCATATTATTTTTGAGTCTTCGGTAACAGTTTTTGATAATTAATTCCTTGGTTTCATCTGAATCTGCTGTTGCTATTGTTTGATTTTTGCGCTTCGTTTGTTATTGGCTTTTATGATATGATGCAAGCTGGATCAGGCTTTACTTTTCCACTTTCTTCCAGGGAAAGTTGATGGTGTACATTACTTTTTGGCCTAACAATATCTAAATCGACTCCATCATCATTACAGGTAATTCCATTATTATTATTACTATTTTTATTATTACCATCACCACCTAGTCCACCCCCACCTCCACCATTACCATGCTTAACCGGACTTCCTTCACCTGAAGGTTTTCGTTTCAATTTACTGATATTAGGTAATGACCCAAAGGATCCCAGCCGTCGTATTAGGGTTCGATTTTTTTTCAAATTATTTCCATCCCCTCGAGCTTGAAGTAGAAGCTCATGGAATAGCTTTTTTACATTGGTATTCAGTTTGGCACTAGTCTCAACATAAGGTATATTGTTCATCACTTCACTTCGAGTTGTATCAATCAGATCAGCATCAACTTTACGTTCTTCATCAAGGTCACTCTTATTTCCAACCAGGACAATGGGAACTTCATGTCCTGTCATGAAAAGAGATATCAACATGAATATATAAATATAACTTGGATTATCATAATGGTTAGACATGGTACATTTTTGGATTGCTAGTTTATAAGGTGCGTTTCATGACTCGGTGCTAAATTGGGCCTAATGCAGATTAATTTTTGATTAAGCCTGGCTTTCACCAAATCTGTTTGAAAATTATCTGAAAATTTCTTTGACTTATAAATTTTGTCTTTCCAATCTACAGATAAATCATATTTCATAAGCATTCCTGCAAAACATCAACAATTGATGTTTAAATGTGCAACTTAATGATCCTAGGAAAAATCTGCAAACGAAAAATGCCTTGACTCTTATGTAATATTATGCCAAATGGTCAATAATGGTTGAGAAATAATCAGAGTAACAATTGATGAATATCAATAATAATCCAAAAAGGCAGTAAAAATAAACTGGCGAATGGTGCAACTTGAACTTGCTGGGCAATCGTGTGATTAGGAATAATGTTTACCTCTTATTTTGGTGATGAGCTCGTATAAGTTGATGGTCTCATAGAAAGACTGAAGGCTATCAACGGAAAAAACCAATACAAATGCTCTCCCGGTTTGAATGCTGAGCTGACGCATTGCAGGGAAGCAATGAGTTCCCGCTGTATCCAAAATTTCAACCGTATGACGCATACCATCTTTATGATAACAAATATAAACAAAAATGAAACAATTGAAAGATTAGATAAAGCGCAAAAATTATATCGGCACACTTTTTATTATTTTAAATTAAACGGTTATTTGGATTGGAGTTGACCTAAACCTGAAATATATGACAAACCCATAAAATTTGAAACTGCCTCAGTTAACCTGCATTATAAATACATCAAAATTAAATTTGTCCTGCATCTATTCAAAGTGCTAAGATAAGTATTATGAATCAGTGAAATAAAAAACAAAAGGATAAACAGTGAACAAGCAAAATAATAGATCAAACATGATTTGTTTCTGATAGATTTTATTATACTTCTCGAAGCAGAGCACTGAAACTCTGACTGAGCGGTTCAGAAACATTCTCCTATTCAGCATACAAAAATCTTGACCAGCTCTTGATGAATACTTGCAGAAAACATGATTACATGTGTCTAAAAAATAATTGCATTTGCATATTACAAGTTCCGACCTTGTTCCATTTGCCTAAGTTATTCTTCAAGTGGCTCTAAATTATGTTCCCATTGAATGATTTCCAAAAGCTCAGTCCAGGTTTGACCAAGCTAAGGCAAACATTCTAGCTTGAAATAGACGAGCAAATTATCTAGTCCTTCATATCATCTGAAGTCTTCAATTTATTATTAATAATTTCCTTGTTTCAACTAACAGCTATTCCTCGATTCCTAGAGTAGTCATTTATTTTGTATCGCTTCATTTTATAATTTCCAATTTATAATATATTATTCCAGAGTCTTATTAAAGTTTTATGCTCAAAAAACAAGTCTAAACAGGGTTACTTCTAGACCTTTATTTATGTTAATGCACAATGACCCACTAACAATAGTAATTGAAAGCAACCAACACATGGATCAACCCATACGGTACTTACCTTATTCAGTTTTAAACACGAGATAAATGTAAAACTAGACTTTTTATTAGAGCAACAATTAGTGCAAAGCGCATTGAAATTGTTTAATTTACTTAACCAAGAAGTGAACTTTAATCAAAATTAAAATAATCAAAAAGGATAGGTAAAGGTGAAGCAATACTATCTCTTTCTTTTTCCTCTTTCTTCATGTAAGATATAACAAGAAGTATTATAATATAAAAGAGGAAGGAACCCGGAAATAAAGACAGAGAAATGTAGAAAGGTCGGTTCAAATAGACAGAGTTGATCGAAACAAGGATCGATATTCAGCTAACAGTCTGACCTTGAGAATGTGGGTCAAGCTCTTGACAGTTTCAAGCTTAAAGGGTTTATTAGGCTAAATTTCAATAACTTTTTTGCTCAACAAAACGAGGTTCATGTGAAAAGAAAGGCATATCAGGTCAGGTCAATCCAGGGAAAAACAAAAATCCAAAGAAACAGCAAAAATGTAAACTAATCATTGTATTGTATTACACATTTTGCTGCTTCTTTTTGTACATTTGCTCATTTTATATCAACAGATGTATCAACAATTAGAAATATGATCAGCTTAATTGTGATTAAATGTTTTTGCAATAATATTTAATTGTTGACTTACCTGGAAGTGTTATTGTGTGCGAGTAAAAGTCCTCAACGGTGGGTTTATATGATGATGGAAAAAGTTGTGATACAAATTGGGTTACAAGTGAAGTTTTACCAACTCCACCGGCACCCATAACAACTACTTTGTGCAGTGTAAGTATTTTCATAATTAACTCTAATTATAAATAGATTGACAAAAAATGGCAATAAAATTTGAACGCAAAAAAGGTGTAAATTGTGTAAAATGGAGTTGTGTAAATAACTTGTAAATGTAAACAATCAACACACAAATATACCAAATGGATAAAAATTTGTTACATTTAGACAACTAGTTAAATTTGAGTTTTCGTTGATTTGTATTTTTTATCAATGATTAGTTGATTCACTTTAAATTGCCGTTCCTTGTTGATATGGTTTGGTTGATATAGCAGAGTTGGAAATAGGAAAATAAAAATTGGAAAATGTTGTACTTTTAGTTTTGGGTTGATATGGTTTTAATATTGTTGATTGGGTTAAATTTGATCAAGGTGAATTCAATTCCTTGGGATGTTGCATCCTTACTTGAACTTGTTAACGAACCAAATAAAACTGGTAAAAAGATGAGTGAATGGTAAAAAAAGGGTAACAACCATAGAGAAAGAGAAGATAAAAAGATGACGATGATGATGAGAAACAAGAATAAGATGATGAAGGAATCGGGGTCACCGAATTTGTACTTGGTAAAAGTGATTTGAGTGTGTAGAGTGAGTTAGTTGATAGAGAAATGGATTGAGAACGGTAAATGTCTGAGCACAGAATAGCAGTTCATTTGATATACACACAAGTTCGCAGCTCTTTCTTTCTTCTCTTTCTTTTTACCTTCCTTTTTCCCTCTCTTTTCTTCAACAAACTGGGAGTGAAAATGTTATTCACTCTCAGTTATATTATATTCTTGAAGGCAAAGTCTTCCTCTCTTTAGATCTATCTTTCTTTCTCTCTCTCTTTCTATTCGTCTCTTGCTATCTCCTTTCCAACTCCAGATTTCGAAGTAACTAATAGCAATTTTTCATCCAATTCATCTGACCTCATTTCACTTGCTTTACTTTCTTTTTTTTTCTCATTATCATCATCTCTTCTCATCGTTTCCTCATTTTCCCCTTCTATCTTACTTTCCTTTCTCTCGCCATCTTCTAGGTGTAAATCAACTTTCTTTCAGCATTGTACACTGGCACTCATACACATACTTTTGTTGTATTCTGCCTTTGTATGTCTCATGTTCATTATTCCAATCGGTGAACTTCCCAGATTTTAAGTGTCATTCCAAATTAATTCCACTCTTTAATTGCTTGTCCATTGGTCTATTGGTTGTATATCTCAGGTTCATCAAATCAGTTTTCCTGAAAAGATGACAAATGTTTGAATGGTGAACAGATATATTAGCGTTTGACTTGATTCCTTATACACTTTTCGTTTACCCTGGGAATTTATTTCAGTAGTTTAGCAGATTATTTTCTTTAGATGGAATAAGATGTGGAAATTGAAAATTGTTTACCAAATCTTTTATTTGTATGCAAAGAATCGACCTTTAATTTAAAGTAAATTCATTTAAAAAGTAGTTTTTCGGGTACTAATTTATAAATAGATGTTTAGAAAATTTAGTTTATGAGCTTTTGGTGGACTTGTGACAAAAATTCATCGACGTTCATAGTTTTCAAAAGTTGCGGAGTCATACTCTTGGATGTTTTAGGATCATATTTTACTACTGCAGAAGATTCATCATCTACTTTTTCAATTGTGGTGACCATTGCTACCTCTGGGTTATTTTCACGTCCACGTTTCTTTTTCAATCCAATGGCGTTGTAATTTCTAAATTTATCTAAATTAAATCTTTTACTTCTAAATACTTTTCTTGTTTCACTACCAGAAGGCGATGCAATCATGGCTGATTTTGCTTGGGTGACAACATATGTACAATCATTATTTTCTGGATTTCTGTTGGTCTGGGGGTCAGATTGTGTAGTTGCAGGAGTTGTCGTCTGTGTTTCATTGACGAGAAAATCAAATTTCAATACGGGAGCAACAGGAGTATCTGAAGGGATATTACATGTAGATGATGATGCAAGTGGAGATGAAGGTTGTTCCTCAACACTCTGGAATTCCTTTATCAAGTCTCTGACAACATCATACCCGTGAAGAGGCGTTTTAAGAGGCGAATCAGTATTAATTTTGCCAGATTTGGGTGTCGTAAAAGTTAATGAAAATGATGAAGCAACAGAGGCAGCAATAGGAGATGAGAAAAAGTCACTAAAAATTGGATCACTCTCAGAGATACCATTAAGAATTGTATTTCCTACATGCTGCATTGAATCTGTCAATGATCCTGAGTCAATGTTTCCACACTCTGATGTGTTTGTCGAATCATGTATAATTTCATTTGTCGGTTTCTTTGGAGTTTGCTGGGTATCACAGTCATAAACAATGGCATCATATTTGATTTCTAGGTTGTTCATTTCATTCAAAAACACGTAAAAATTGTCCATACTTTTTTGCAGTTGAGCTAGTTTATCTTCAACCTCTTTAAAAATCAATCGAGATGATCGTGATTTAAGATGTGATCCATCTTCACGAATCTTACCAATCTTTGTTGCCTTGTAGTGAAGATCATCTTCCGCCACAATTAGAAAATTTTTGAGCTTTTGGAACCATAGTTTGTCTCTATTACAGTCAAAGTCTGGATCTTTAAAGCGAGAGTGATCTGAATGGAACTGTTGATGATGATGATGGGGCATATCATGAACACTATTATTAGAATGGGGTTGAAAATTTGGTTTATGCATTATCAACAGCTAATTCATACACAATTAAAACAATTACAAGTTGACTAAAAATCTTTGAGAGAAATATTTCCCGCCTTAGTGTCTAAGACCAGCTGTGTAAAGAAAGAAGCCACAGCCTGATCCACTGATCAAGAATCCCGCAATGGTCTAAACAACGCCATCTACAGTATTAACATATCCTAGCCATTTAATTAGAATCAGTGGATTTGTTTAACAATCAGTTTAAACTAAGCTAATAAAAATGGTTGGTCAAGAAAACTATAGAAAGCTAAAGAAATATCAATATTATAAACTAAAGTGATTTTTTAATAAGTTAAACCAATGATCAATAGAATAGCTTTTCGTCTCATAAATCATAATCTCATGAGACATTTTTTCAAGACAATCATCGACCAATGTTTTAAATGATTAGCTAATATTTTCGATCTTCAATTTGAATTCAGTTCGCTTGCAGGATTTCTCAAGCTTATTTATAGCATTTTATTGAATTCAAAAGAGTCTATTTTTTATGATTAAAAATTATTGATCAATTCAAGCTATTAAAAGAAAGATTTAATTTGCAATACTAAGCCGGGTAATTCAAAATTCGGGTTATTTTTTCTCTGCACACTGCATACAGCCATCTATGGTTTTAAAAAGTAACTTTTAAAATTACAGTTGATTATTAAACTCAAGTTGCAGTAATTGTTCGCAGATGACGCCACCAAAAATCTCTTCAAAGCGACATTAAAAAGGAAACTCTTTCTTTGCAACTTTTGAGAGGTTTGATTGGATTTATCTTTTCATTATCATAATTGTGAGACAATTTATCTAAATAATCCTAAGATACCTTTGATTTAAAAAGTTGCCAATTTACAGTTCAGTTTAAGATCATAAAATATAAAATAATAACAGAAAGATGGTTACTGGTTTATAGTTACTGAAATACATTTTTTGGTTATCAGTTACCGAACCATGACTATAAATCCTAGACAAAGAACCATTCAGTTGCGCAGCAGTCGGGGATTGAAACCCGTCCAGCCTGATTCTCCATTTTAGACTATGGTTTCGGTTATGTTTATACCTAAATCTGGTTATTTGAGAGTAAAAGCCTAAAACCAGTTTCTGGTTTTCATTTCAGTTTGGTTTTATTGTACTTTGCCTCACAGTGTGACAATAAAAACCTCATCAAAAAGACCTTTGAACTACCAAAATAATTTTTTCATTTAAAGATGAAAGTCTTTCAATTTTGAAACTATGATTTTTCAAGCAAAGAATCTCCAACACGAGTGATTAAGAGTGATAATTAAATCATAATAAAAGTGTTATATTTGTAAAATAAGATTGTTCATTTTGTATTGGCTGATTCTTATTTTAATAAACTGGTTTAATGAGTTATATTCAGGTTTGTTAGTTGTATAGTTATATTAATAATTAATATTCAGGCCATTAATCCAGTATTGTTTTTATTCGATGTTATTATATTTTATAGATATGGTTAATAAATAAATTATAGTTTTTCCTGATTAGGTTAATCTAACAGTGTTCGTCTGTGATTCTATTATCTGTCTTCTGGAGATGCACATAATCACATAAACTAAGATTGATAAGGATTTTATCAAATTTTATCTAATTATTGAACTCATTGCTGAGTAAAATGACTTCCATAGTATCTTTGTAAAGCTTATTATCTGGACTTAATTTTAAATTGTATACCTTTAAGCCTAAAGACAAGTTAATTGGGATATAAACTATAAAGTGATAAATTATTATATTGGTTACAAAATGAGGCATTTTTTGGATGAGGAATTTTTCATTTTTATAACCATGTCAATAAGAAAATTTGATAAACAGATGATAAGGAGATGGAAACAAAACGGGAAATATTTCTTGAGAGAAGAATAAACAAGACAAAAAGAAGATACAACATAAATGAAAATTTAAGGATTTTTTTTCATTTGAGAATGATTGCTCAAATTTAAAGATAAACTGTATTTGTTTATGTTGTTGCCGTTTTGTATTGATCTGAACCAAATAGTTGTCGTTTGATTGATAATCAGTAAATTTCCTCTTGCATCTTCTTATTACATCGCCTTTAATCTGCATCTTCATCACCTTCTTCTTCCTCGCCTATTTCATCCTCGTATTCTTCTTCTTCACCAACTTCCTCTTCACCTTCTTCTTCCTCGCCTTCCTCACCGATTTCTTCGTCATCTTCTTCAAGTAAAACGACTGATTCATCGCCCTGAAAATTGAAAACAAAAAATTTAGATACATAAACTTATGACAATAAGATTTACTTACTTCTTCAACCTCCGAATCATCTTCATCGTGTTCGCCTTCGTCCAAGCCATTTTCTACTTCCATGTCTGGTACAAGAAAATATTGTAGTGGATTAGGCCACATATCATCCTTAATTACTTCTGCAATATCATCAGCCGATGCATCACCATTCTGAAGGTACCAAGTGAAAAAAGTTTGCCTTCCTACTGATCGTTTCTTTTTCCTAAATGAAATATTTACTCTGTTCATGGTTTGTTCTTTCAATCGACCAGCTAGTTCAGTATTTTTCCAATTTATAGGTGTTGATGTCGAAGCAGGGTCTCCGGTCGAGCCCAAGTGAAATTCTTTTATGAGCGTTTCATTGTCAAAATACGGATTCGATTCGAAATGAAAAATTATCCGGTATCCTGATTTGATGTCTTCAAATTCTTCAACCTCTAATTTGGACAAATAATTAAGACATTCTTCCTCCTCTTCTTCCAAAATTGTTGTTAATGTTGGGTGATTGACAAATGCAGTAACCCAGAAGTTAGGAATTTTCTTGATGAGATCATTTCGTTTTTCAAAATAGGGTTTTCTTAGTTTGTTGTATTTCTGCTCAACTTTAAGTATCTCTTCAGATGCTTTCTCATTCAAAGAATCAATTTCATTTTGACAAGCGTCAATTTCTTCGAGCGCTTTTTGCGTCTCCGGGTCATATTCTCTATCCTTACCACTGTCGTCACCACTAACAACATCAACGACCTCACCATCACCACCAGAATCGATGTTGTTTGCTTCTTTGTTGTTATTCTTGTGAGATCCGGCATCCTCCACCTTTTCACTAACATCACTTGTCTTCAACTTTTTAGTCTGCGGTCCATCATCAGCAGAGACATTTTGCTCATTGGTCGATGACATTTTCAAAGTTGCACTATTGAAGCTTGTGTATAAGGTAATCCTTTGATTTATCTAAATAACTAATTAATAGACACTTAAAAAACTAATTTAATTAATCAAAAACTAGAAACGCTGAAATAATGAGAAAAGAAATGAAAAAAATCACACAGATTTTAGACAGTAATGCCCTCTGAATTTTTATAAAAAAATTATAGGCTTTGGCGCCATCTAATATCAGAAAATATCTGACAAAATCTATTTTAATTTTAAACAAATTTTATTGATAATCAATTTATCAATCCAAGTTAATATTGAATTTTCGCAGTCAGGTTGCTCTGTTACACACGAAATCTACTTACAACATGCTATTATCGATTGATAGCGATTTGCTAAATTATTAGATCATCTCCATCTAACCTTTGCAATAACGTTTAAGTTAAAACAAAAATTGTTGGCTTGTTTGATAATAACGGCAACATTTTAAGCTGATCACCATCATGCATTAGACTACTACATTTAACGCTAATCTGTATAACAACCCATGTTATTTAATTTTTATTTCAAAGAGATAAACTCAAGCTTTGCATTTCGTTTTCAAAAACCCGCTGCGGTTTAAAAACAAGACATGCGTGAAAATGAAAATTTTCAGTTTAACCAGCTGAATTATTAGTTTCCATGTAAATTTGCTTAATTAATGTTACAGTTTAAGCTTTCATTATAGTGTCTATCAACTCGAATCATGGATGATGTCTTTGATGAAGATGGAGATGAATTAGCCTTGATGAGTAAGGAATACGAAAAGATAAGTGAAGCTATTGGTAAAGAAGGATTACGTGATGGTATTTCAGAGGGTCGCTCAGCTGGTACTCAAAAAGGATTTGATGCTGGATATGCTGAAGTTTTCCCAATCGTTGAAAAAATACACTTTTTCAAAGGATTGATACAAGCAATTTACTATAGACCAGAAGAGGTATCTCAATCGGCCGATGTGAATGATGAATGTAATAAGTGCCTTGGAGAAATGTTGAAAGAGTTAAAAGTTATAGAGAGCAATGTGTTGCGTGATTTAACTGACAATCAAGCATTGCAACCAGCGACTACTGATTCTATAAACCAATTTAAGATCAAATTAAAAGCTCAATTAGAAAAAATAGATTTTCAAGTTGAATTGTAACTCCAATAAAGAATGAAAAAATTTATTCTCTTATCATAAACGAAAAACTTTGCATTTTTTTATGATCTCGAAATTCATCCTGACATTGACATTTTCCAGAATAAGCAAATTATTGACTGAGTATAAGCACTTTGCAAATTTAGTGAGTGAGTAAATATAAAAATTTCCAATCTGAGTCTGTTTCTTTAAGGCATGGACGTAAGGCTGGAAGACAGTTAGAAAATCGATTTTCAAGCCAAACATTCAGCACTTAAAGCTCATCATGTTTCATCAACGCTTCACCAAAATCGGTAGCTTGGCTGCCGACAAACAAATCATAATTATTCAAAATTTCTTCTTTTGTTAAATAACCATCCTGAAGTAAAAAAGAAAAAGAAATATTTCGATTAAAAAACATTCACGGGTTTTAACCGTTTTCAAATTAATTTATCAACAAACCTTATCTTCATCTGATTCAGAAACTAAATGTTTTGCTTCAACTCCACTTAAATCTGAATCATCAGGAATAATCCAATCTTTGACTTCGTTGCGATCAAGGAAACCATCCTTATCCTTATCACGAATAGTATTGAATTGATCCTTCTCTCTGAGAACCCAATCAGGAACCTCAGAATCGGCGCCATCACTACCGCTATACATGTCACTTATATATTCATTGAGCGATATTTTACCATCTCCATCTTTATCAACATCTTCCAATGTTTCATCAATAACAATATTTTTCATATGATCAGCTTCTTCTGGATGAAGAAAATTAGTAAATTCCTCTTTAGTCAAAAGATCATCGCCATTGACATCAGCTGCCTTCCAACGCCTCTCATCCCTTCTCATCATGTCATTATAAACTTTGGCATCTTCTTCACTGACTCCACTATCCAAATCATCCATGAAGCCGTAAGTTGATTTTTTATAATCACTCCATGAGAGTAAATCTTTGTCCGAGTTTCTGTGAGTTTTCCATTGCCTTTCTACATCATCTAAAATGTATTTAGCTTGGCTTTTGTGTATCCATATTCTCAATTCGTCGAATGATACTTTACCATCGTTGTTGGTGTCAATTTTATCTACTATTTTGGATAATCTATCTTTTGATTCCTCTGGACTTAAATTATCAAATGCTTTAGATTCATCGGCTCCAAGGAAAGCTTCGTGATCATACTCGGGATTGTGGTGATTGTCATCTGTAAAATGTGACTCTTTGCTCAACTGTTGAAAGGAATGGTAAAAGGTTGATTATCAATAATTAGACAATTATTGGTCACTTACATGATCATGTTGAGATTGTTTGCAAAATACTGAGTTGATTAAGACAACAGTTATAACTAAAATAAATAATAGATTAGACATTTAAGATTATCAATAGGACACAAGATAAATTGATGAAAAATAGATTATTGTTGATCAGATAATCATAGATGTAAGATACTTATAATTATTAATTAAATACACAGTTAGAGAAACTGATAAAAGAAAATGTAAAAATGAAAAAAAGATGAGTGTTGTTTTTTAGCTCTTATGAACATATGATGAGGTGTACAAAAGACATGCCCCTATATGAAGCACAGCAAAAATCTTTACATTTGGCCAACTATTTATTTTCAATCACTTCAAGTTAATAAACCACAATATTCACTGTAATCAAACAGTTAAGGAGCTGAACATGATTTTAAACAGATTTGAAAATTTCTCGAATTTTTACATTGAAACTGTTAAATTGCACATAGATGGATACAACCAATGATTGCTTACCTTGCAGTTGAAAGGAGTTATCGTATCAATTATAATTGTTTCAACAGCATTTGAGTATATTGTAATCTGACTAATCACAAGTATATTTATAAATTCACTAAAACCAATTAAACTGTTGAACAAATGCTTACTCTGGAAATTGGCACGGCTCATTGATTGTTTACAGATAAGTTGAATGTAATAAAACGTGTTACGAAACGATATTTTTAAAAGCAGAGATTTTTTCCAAGTAAGTTGACAAAAAATTAACTTGATTATTCCAAGTAAAAATGCCTATACTTGAGGTACACTCAACGGTGCATAAGTATCAGTCAAGGATAAAACCTATGTATAATTGCTGCCAAAGTTTAATGAAAAGCAATTGTTGGAGTTGAAAATGGGAAAAATCTGGTAACATTTAGTTGCATAAATTCAGATTCTTAATAATTGTTAGCCCATCTGAAAAACTTTATAATCGGTGCAATCAAGCGGTAATTAACTTGGTCTTTGAGATTGTTTACATTGTATTTTCAGACATGTTGACCATTTGAGACGATACTCATTTGCCTAAAAGTGACAATTTTTGGTCATTCTTGCAGCAAATCACAACTTGACAACTTGGTGTTCAAAAGTACTCGACCAGTCACTTGGGGCTAGATCTGGCTATTAAGTCTCATGTTTCTTTCATGCCCATCCAAGATCGACAGATTGACAATTCTGTTCTCTTATAACTTTACGCCAATCTTTTTGAATGAATAAAAATGAAAAACCAACGAATGAAATGAGAAATATCAAACTCGTCAGAGATAAGAAAAGAAGACCAGAGCAGAATAAACCAACTCTGTTTATTAAAGAAAATAAAATTATCTCAACGAAATCACTATCTATTCGAGTAAATCATAAATTTCTACCAAATTGTTTTGAATATGGCAAATTAAAAGTCCAAAATGAGAGCATCATTTTATCATCTTTAAGAAATTAACACGATTAGTATTGATTTTTAAGTTAAGTTTTATTAATTTTTAAATTAAATTTGGTCAACTTATTTTTATTATTTAAAAATCTAAGAAAGTTCAATAAGAGAAAACAGAAAGACAAGGTTAAGAAGTTCCATATGAAGTGGTTGATGTATAAAAAGAAAAATGACCAACGTCACATAAACTCGAAACCTTGGTTCGATCTCTTAATTTTGTTAATTTTGTTTACTTTCTGTATACATATATATATTTGATAGTTATATATATTTTTATTTTATATTGCCATAGAAGCAAAAGTTGGGTTTGCTGTAAATGATTTTTTTTCGTTTTACTCAGTCACAACTTTAGAAATAATATATCTTTGTGATTTTGGGAGAAATGGAGGGTATTTAAGAAATATCATTTTCATATTCGGTGTTTTTAGGCTCCTTTTGTAGTCGATTTGTCTTTTTCGGTGCCTGATTACTCGTAAATGTGGTGATACTGGTGAGAATCGATGATCACATAAATGCATAAAAAATTTGATGGATGAAAAATAATCGAAGATAAAGAAGCGATCAAGTTGATGAAAATGTTACTGATGGTGGTGATAATAGTGGAACTGGTTATAAGGTTGGTGATCAACATGATTATACAGAACAGGAATAAGTTGAGACGAAACAAAATTAGGAAAAGAATAGATGCTTTTAAAGAGGAAATGGAGACATTTCATGTTAAATTTTCAACAAGATGTACAAAAATGGACGAAAAGGAAAGGAAAGGAAAAAAATGAAATTAATATAAGATGAAAAGGCAAACTTTTAAGATAGTAGAGGCTAACAAAGAGATGTGGACGAAGGGAGAGTTGAGGGGAATAGATGAAGAAAAGATGAGGCGCACCATCCACCGACGACGAAGATTGTTTAAATCAACAACCAAGATGTAAATTCACTTTGTTAATACCTGGTCAATTAATCCAAAATATGTCTTTTTTGTAAATCTCTTTGTTTTTATGTTGAATCACTATCGTCAATAGAAGTTGTAACGATCAGGCTCATTATGAGAGTGAAAAAATGAACTTGTTTTGTAAAAATGAATATATGTTTATATGAGAGTGTAGAGCTGAAAAATCACTTGAGAAATGTTGACAAAATTCCTGATTGATTCCAATAAGTTCATGCAATTGAGTTTAGCTTGTTAACTTTTTTAGTCCAATTGTCATAATAAATGTTTCCAAAAAAGATGTCACGATTTGTACAAAGATACGACATAAAAACTTTCTTTCTTGACAGGATTAGCAAAAAATTAACAATCCAAAACAATTATAATTCCATGGTTACATTTCTTGATTTGCCAGCTAATAAATATTTAACCAATAAAATTCCTATTTTTTATAACAACAACACTTTGCTTGATTTCTAGCGATTTGGATTAGTTTTAGTGATATCTAATTCTGTAGATTTATAATTACCATCACCAACACTTTCATTAATAGCCAATTCAGTTTGATCGGAGTCGACAGTTCTATCATTTTGAGCAGCGGCTGTTATTGTACCAGCATTAACAGTTTCTGCGTCACTTTGGTTTTGCTGATTGACTTTTTTAGCTTGATGAGTCTTGAGATGTTTAGATAGATGATCACTTCTCATGAAACGTTTTAAGCACTCGGCACATTGGAAACGTTTTTCACCTAATTAAAAAACAGCAAAATAAAAAATATTGTCAATTTAAATATTAAAAAGTTGAATTAATGTGGATGGAAATTAGAACAAATTAATTTGATCACTAACCTGTATGAGTTCTTCTATGTCTCTGTAATTCATCAGAACGAGTAAACCTTTTACCACAGAATAACCAATTGCACACAAAAGGCCTTTCTCCAGTGTGCCAACGAAGGTGAGCTCGAAGATGAGATGTTTTACCATATACCTTGTTACAACCAGGAATATGACAAATATGTTGCTTCTTTTTTGTTTCACTATTTCTACCCTCCCCATCACGACAATTTGGACAAGTGCAAGCTACTCGACGCATTTTACGTCCAGTTCCAGCTTCGGCTCCTGGAGTAGAAGCAGTTTCACTGCCAGAGGTATTGTTTGTGAATGCGGCGGGAGTGGACGTACCTGCAGCTTGAATAGTTGCAGGAGAGGTTGATATGATTTGCCATTTAGTAGGATCATTAGGATCTTGTTGTATCTGCAAGGCAAAGTTAAACAATAAAACAGTTAATAATAAGCAAAATAATGACAAAACTGCTTTTAACTGACCTGTTGACCACTAGAGCCAGGCACTGTAACGAAATTACCATTTGGGGTGATACTTAAACTTTGAATAGCAGCAGGCGATGCTGTAATTATTTGCTGTTGGCCTCCACCTTGCACTTGAATAGTTTGGACACCGGTGGATAATCCTTGAACCTGAATTACATTAGGCCCACGTATACCTATGTAAATTTATAAATAAAATAGCAAAATATCAGAATATAAACATGTAAATATTGCTCAGAATTGAGCTGAATAAAACAAGATGAAAGTGAATTTGAACTAACCCGTGAATTGTGATAAATTTAGAGCGTTTGTACCCCATAATTGATTTGGAGCAGCAATTAATTGACCAACTTGCCCATTTGGAAGTTGAACATTAGCCACAACAGTTTGACCGGCATTCGTTGTTGTTGTAGTAGATGTGCTTGAATTCTGCGAAATAAAATTAAAAGAAAAATCCATGTTAGTGTGAAATTTTGCACAATTTTCCATAAAAGTTCTTACCTGAGTTTGATTTGCGTTGGAAGATTCGATTCCGGGCTCTTGTTTAACTTGAGTATTTGTGGGTGTATTGGCTTGAGAAACTTGAATAGGGGTTGCAACTTGCATTTGCTAATATATCAAATATTGAAAAAAGGAAAATAGGACGATTAAAATCAACACGAAATAAAAATAAATGAAAAATCACGGAGTGAAATAATAAATGTCAATCTAGAAGAGACTAGGAAAGAGGAAACATACGAGAAACATGGTAGATAGAGCATTTGACCTCAAGGAAAACAAATGAGTAGTAACGGTTCTTTTGAGATTGCATGAACTTAAGCTACACTAGCAGCCAGGATTGAATTAACAAAGACGGAGGTTTCTTTCTAGTCGCCCTCTAAAGATAAATTTTGTTCAGCTTTCTATTATAAATGCTCGAGATGGTGACACCAAAAAATAAATTAATTGTGATCCTTAATTTGTTAAAATAATGTTAGCCTAATGGTTAGCATTGGCGATAAGGCTACTAAATTTCATATGTTGCAATTAGCATCTAGGGCTAGCGTTCGAATCTCGCCAAGCTCCAAAGAAAAGGTTACATAGGTAAAGCCCCTGGAGTTTATCTCAATATCCTCCCGTCGCCTTAAAAGCTTTCTTGGCTGTTTGATCCACAAAAGCAAAAAGTAAACTTAACCATGTCTCCTTAATGTAGAGTATTATTTCTATAGTCATTCTATGCAGTATCAAATAGTCAACTGATGATTTCTCAGCTCATTTCCTAGACTCTCTTCTGAATTTGACATAAATTTGTACCTGTCCTAACGGAGGAACCACTTGAACTGTCACTTGTTGACCCGTAGCTACTGCTTGTATTGCTTGCAAAGGAAGATGAATAGTTTGAAATATCGTTTGTCCGTTCGCCGTTGACATGGGAACTTGCAATGGTATCGTCTGTTGAACATTCCCAATCGGTAATTGGAGGGTTTGAAGTACATTGCCCTGCCGCATTGTGAGAGGTACCGTCGTTTGGCCACCTGATAACTGGGCAAAATTAACGACATTGCCTGCCACACTTTGGACAACTGTCTGTGCCTGATTAGCCTGGTTAACTGCTGCTGCCACGGCTGCTTGTTGCTGCTGCTGCTGCTGTTGTTGAGCCTGTTGAGCCTATGAAATTATTGTGATCATTCGTAACGAAATAATAATATTGAGATGAAAAAACCATTGGATGATATTAATATTATTATTATGTACAAACTGTGAATATAGTGTCTTATGTATTGGGCGTGGCACTTACCAGCAAATTCAGATCCAGTTCTGCCATTGTTGTAAGGTGGTGGATATGATTACACTCTGTTGTTCTGTGAGCCTATTTTTCCACAGTTTTATAAGTGTTGATCAAGTTTGTTGATTAATTTCTTTACACCGAGTAAAAACTATTTAAAGAAAAATAAGAGGAAGAGAAAGAGAAAGAAAGGTAGATACGTCGACAAGAAGGTTTGGTCAGAGGTTTACCAAATTTGCAGTTGGTTGGGGGAAATCATTCAACTCATTCAATATAAGCACTATTCGCGCATACACATTATGTGTAACACATATACAATTTTTTCTGGGTTACATCAAATAAATTAACAATTGAATGGATAGAAGGATGGATAAATCAGGAATTCCGGCCCACAATCAGTAGACTGTCCGAAAGTTTGGTGTGATACACAAAAAACTAGCAAGTGGGTGGCAAATGCTGAGGGATGCTCAAGATTTCAAAGAGGCGAGGTAGAGGATGATAGGATAGAAATACACTGAGAAGGGAGTTATTTTGGATATAAACCTGGCCTTTAATTCAGAAAATGTCTAACAAAACTGAAATCTCTTTCCTCTTCTTCCTCCTCCCAAAAACAAGGCCTACCTCTTTGTCTTTATATTGCCATCTACCGATGGTTCGTTTTACTAAACTCGCTTGAGCATCGGAAAAGCGGCACATTGAAAAGTCGTTAAGATTTCAGTCAATTGATCATATAAGATGAAAGAGATTCATCGTTATATCACTGATAATCATCCAGATATGGCTCAAAACACGAGAAAAGTTATAGCAACTCAAGAAAATAGATTTATCAATTGATATGCTCCAATTTTGAGCGATCGTATGACCTAGTATAGAAATATGAAATAAGACTGATCAATTTGATTGACAGTACTTGAAGTAACAACCGAGTGATAGCTTTCAAATTTATTTTTGCTGATGGCGATTGAAGTTGCTGAGAAATCAATTATTGTTACATATGGATTAAATAGTTTAATGATGCAGTTTTATGGAGCTCTAAGAAAAATTTACGATTTCCTCTCTTTTAAAAGAAAATTTTTAATTTTATTATGCGATTTCAATAGGCATTGAGATGCAAGCAAACATAAGAACTTACAAGTAAGTGACAATAATTTAAGGACAAAAATTTACAAGCAAACAATCCCTTTTAATAAGTTTGTTATTGAACTGTCTCAAAGTTTGATTGAACCGCGATCATTGTTGTTGATTTAAAGTTGATGATAGTGATGAAGTAAATGTTGAAGATGATGTTGATGATAGTCGGTGATAGTGATGGTTATGTTTAGGGTGAAAGCGATAGTAATAGTGATGATTGAAGTAATATTAATGTGAAATTGATATACAATCAAACAATTTTATACCAATTTGGATTAGATTTTTCTTTTCAAAATTAATCCAAATTTAAAAGTGAAATTTACACAATTTTGATTACTCGTTGATCAATTGAGAAAGTGAAGTCAGATAAAACAAAACAAAAAACATAAATTTAATTAAGTAATCAAAAGCAAATTTCGTGTTATATAATCTATTAGACCACGCAGTCAAAAGCGTGAATTGATTACATTGATCTGAATGTGATGAGATTAAAGAGGAAAAAGGAGAGAAAAACCGGAATCTGAGGATATTTTTTTTTGAATATTTTCAATCAGTTTCAAATTGAAATTTTGACCGAAAATTAAAGTATGGCTGAACATAAAGAATCAAGAAGAAGAAGAAGTTGTGAAAATTGTAGCAACGCAGAAAAAACGTTCCATTTTTTGTTGGATGAAAAATGAAGATTTGTGATGATAGCTTCCATTGTATTTTTGCTTTTCATCTTTTATTGATTAATTTTTATCCCTGTCACTGATTGGATCCATTGGATCTAATTAAAATGAACAATTAACCTTGTGCTTTTATTCATTTGGATGTCATCATCGTTACAAATTCTGTTTACAAAGAGAGAGAGAGAAAATAAATAAATGATAGAAATAGAGAAATAGTAATAGAGTAATAGAGTAATAGAGTAGTCGAGAAATGGAGAAATAGTAACAGAGTGATAGAGAAATACAGAAATTACAGAGATAGAAACAGAAAAAATAGAAAAATAGGAAAAATGGGAAAAAAATAAAAAAAAAATAGAAAAATGAGACAAATAAATACATGACAAAATATCAACTATAATAGGTAATAAATGTACTATTGATTGAAAATTTGAAATATTACTTACCTTCATAATTAACTTGACCATCACCGTCAATATCGGCTTCACGAATCATTTCATCTACTTCTTCGTCGGTCAATTTTTCACCCAAATTGGTCATTACATGTCTCAATTCAGCAGCAGAAATAAAACCATTACCATCTTTATCAAAAACACGGAAAGCTTCACGGATTTCCTCCTCTGAGTCTGTATCCTTCATTTTTCTAGCCATCATAGTCAAGAATTCAGGAAAATCAATAGTACCATTACCATCGGCATCAACTTCATTGATCATATCTTGTAATTCCGCTTCTGTTGGATTTTGACCTAGACTTCTCATAACAGTTCCCAATTCCTTGGTGGTAATTGTACCATCACCATCTTTATCAAACAATGAAAAGGCTTCCTTAAATTCAGCAATTTGCTCTTCAGTTAGCTGGTCAGCCATCTTATATAATACTATTGTTTTAATTCAGGTACAAGGTGAATAATTTTAAATCTGATGAAGATGAAGATGTCGATGAAGTAAATGTATGTTTATAATAAGTTGACCAATAGAAGATTATTGAGAAAAAGATTAAATTGAAACACAATTACAGAGAGAAAAACAGTCAGAAACAGAGACAAATTTAGGTTTTGGTTTGAGCAGAGACAAGTAATGAGACTTCAGCCTAGTTTAGCGATCTTTCGATACTAGTAATAGTATTGATATTCACAAAATTACACTTTTCGATATATTGTTAGATAGTATCGATAATCGATAAGTAAAGTGAATATTTTGATTTCTAATTGTGGCTGATTATGATTAGTTCATCTTCCCTTGAGTGAAAACTCACAAATATACAATTATCATCGATAAAAAGATCAAAAATTCGACCACAAAATAATGCAATCTCTTAGTTGCCAACTGATTTCATCTATTAGGTAATCAACTATGTTTTTGCGTAAAATTTATTAATTCAGTTTAAATTTAATTGTAATTCAATAGGTAATACAAATTAATCGAAATAGTCTCCATTTTGTGACGAAAATTGTATCCCTCTCCGTTACTCATTCACTCAGATCTTCCGTTCTCACCATTCGTTTATTCCATATTTGAAATATCCTGTCATTCACAATTATGTTTAACCTTTCATGGTGTCAACCTTAAAAGGACTGATTCTAGAATGTAACATTTATTATTACTTACAAGGGAAGTGAGGCAAGTGGTACGGTTAGGATCGGATAAAAAGTGTATAATTCCATTGGTCATGATGAAAATAGTTGGTTACCGTACAAAGTTGAGAACGCAATTGTCCTTTTCTACCTCGAAATTCGATCATTGCTTTTCAAAGCGCATAAAGCCATACTGAATATAATCATGAATTTCCCCTCGCGTAACTTTCCAACCCTTACCATTAATGATTTTTTTCTCAATACTCAATCTGCCCTTTGTACACACCGCCCGTCGCTACTACCGATTGAATGATTTAGTGAGGATTTCGGACTGGTCAATCCAGACCATTGGGAAACTAGTGGTCGGATTGTGCTGGAAAGATGTTCAAACTTGATCATTTAGAGGAAGTAAAAGTCGTAACAAGGTTTCCGTAGGTCAACCTGCGGAAGGATCATTAACGTATTACCCTCTTATTATAAGAGAAATACAACCTTCAAACAATCAAACACTCTGCATAGTGATATTGTAGATGCTAATATGGTGAATGCAATTGAATTGTATTTGCATTAGAGTCGCAATTGTGAATGTTTAATGCAAACATTTAGCCATTGCAACACGTTATTTGTATTACATTCGTTCATTCATACATCCATCTTTCATTATCCAATGCAACAAAGGGTGAGGGTTATCTAACGATAGCCATAATTTATTTTTGTAATAAATTTTGACTTTTCAATAAATCAAAAGTTTACCTCTGTGGTAAGCTACGCAATTTCAGCTTACCATTGAGGTTAACTTTACCAAAACTTGACGACTTCAACCTTCGACTCACAAGCAAAATTTTATCTTATTTCAACATGATATTTGAATATGTAATTCAGATTGAGTATTGAGAAAAAAAATCATGATGATATGGGTTGGAAGGTGACGCGAGTTGGAAATTCATGATTATATTCACTATAGCTTTATGCGCTTTGAAAAGCAATAATCGAATTTCGAGGTAGAAAAGGACGATTGCGTTCTCAACTTTGTACGGTAACCAACTATTTTCATCATGACCAATGGAATTATACACTTTTTATCCGATTCTAACCGTACCAATACCCTCACTTCCCTTGTTAGTACCCCGTATCCCAACAGCTTTTTAAAAATAAAATTCAAATAACTCGAAAATAGTTAGCTCTTTTTTCACTAAAGGGTGCCAAAAACTTTGATTTCACCGTTAAGAGTTGGGACTTACAAGCGGTTACAGAAAGCGGTCAATTTAACTCAAAATCGAAGTGATCTGTTCTTGATCTGAACAGAGAATTTTTCATTGAAAATAACTGCATTTTCTGGTTAATTGACAAAAGTTACACCAGGAAAATGAGTTTCATGAAAAAATCTGGTTTTATTATTGAAATAAAGGCGATCGAAGCTTCAACTTTGACCTCAATTTTATCGAAAACTGGCGACTCAAACAAATTTTCAATAGCACTGATAGACTCAGTTTTTATACCCCTAAAAACTCACTAAGTCCCAACTCTTAACAATCAAAGTTTTTGGACATTGTCCTTTGTGTCAATTTGTGCATAAATGTGACGATTGTGTTTCTTTTTATTAATATTAATAATAACAACCATGTATTAATACCATATATAACAACTGTTTTCGTTGAAATAGAAATTTTCATTGGAATGATTAAAAGATAATTGATTTACCGATTTTGCTGATAGCGAATGAATGTCAAAATGTCATGATTAAATATAAATATTCTCAATAGATCGTGTAAATTTTGATTCTATAATAATAATAAGTGAAGAGAAAGTAAGGTTATATGACTTTTCAGAGCGACTAGATAGAAGACATATTATTCAATTGACCCATGAATAGATTGACTTTTGTAAGATTATCACGAATGAAAAATAGAAATGGCCTATCCGCAATGAAATTAATGACTTTTGGTGGTGCACATGCCAACACTGCTTCAAGTTGAGTTACCGCCGTTGCTACAGTACCAGTCTCAGTGACTTCAATTAAAGCTTTTTGTATTGATTGTGATATGTATACTGATCTTTCAGTAATTTTGGGAAATTCGGCATTCCCTTGGTCAAATGGTAGAATCATTCCCATGTTTGGTAAAATTTCGTGTAATTGATGTTTGTCTTCCAGTTTGAATTTTGGTACCATCAAACTATCCAAACGCGTTCTTGTCATGGAGTCTATCAATCTGGAAAGCTCAGTTGAGTCTAAATTATCGACCATCTTTTTTAGATTGTTGTCACCAATTGGAAGGACCAATATCATGCTCATATTTCCACCATATGGAATCTCGACAATCTGTTGATGAAAAACGATTGGTGTAACGTATATTATAAAAGTTGAGATTAAAGAATGTACAGGGTGACAATTCATAACCGAGAGACTTTTTTCGAGATAACGGCCGAACGGTACATGCAGTGGCCCTCATATTTTTTTCTGGGCATAAGGGCCTCAAAGGTAAA